TGTAATACCCCGTAATTTTAAAGAATGTATTTAAATTAATTTTGTGTTAGGTTAATTAATTTTATTTATTTGTGCATACTACATTATTTTATTAAATTCATTTAATTGTGCATGTAAATTAATTGTGTATGTTAAAATAGTAAATTTATTCATTTAATTGTGCATGTATTATTTTAATTACTTTTATTTGTTGATTATGTTTAATAAAGCTATATTAGTTAATTAGAGTATTATATTTGTGTTATATAGTATTATGATGATATAATGTATTATTTTGTAATAATAATAATTATATTAGTTTAATAATAATAATAATAATAATAATATAATAATAATAATTATTATTATAAAAGTTTATTAATAATAATATTAGTAATAAATTATTAGTTTTATTTTATTCAATTAATGGAATTTTAATTATATAGGATGGTATATATTTATTTAATGTCCTATGAAATTAATAATGGCTAAAAATAATTAAATAAGACTTTAGGGATTTTTCTAGAATTTTCTAGATTTTTCCGGGCATTTTCTGCAATTTCCGGCGACCTTCCGGCGAGTTTTCCGGTCGCCGGCAGTGGGGGAGACGACCGGAGTGATCCGGTGCGACGCGGCACACCATAGGAGGGTGTACGCGCGCATCCTGGCCATTAGTGGAGTCTGAGTGATCCGGTGCATCGCGGTCCATGATACCGCGGTACACCCGGATCCGTGGACGTTGGATGGAGGAGATGCAGATGAGATGATCCGGTGTGGCGCGCATGTAGGAAAGATGATGCAGCCAACCAACCGGAGAACGCCACGTCAGCAGGAAGCCATCAACGTGCGCGTGGCAGCGCGTGCGCGCGCGTGGGACTCTCCAAACGCGCGTGGGAGCGCGTGTGCGCGCGTGGCTGACGCCAGACGCGCGTGGAGGCGCGTGGGAGAGTGGGAAAGCTTGGCAGCGCGTGTGGGGAACTCTGGGAGGCGCGTGGGGGCGCGTGAAGGGCCTCTGCGGCTGCTGGAAAAGTCCAGAATACCCCTAGGGACTGTTTTGTCATTGCCAGGACCTTCACTATACATTTTGGGGCCTCGGGTTGGCATTTTTGGAATTTACGGGACATTATATTATTATTTTATTTCTCGTTAATTATTATAATTGTCCGATTAATATTTCTAAATATTAATTGTATCAGTTAAAGTGCGAATCGCTAGTAAACATATGTAATTGATTTAACGACTATTAATGGTATTATTTTATTAAACTGTAATAACCATTAATGTTAAATTAATTAGTGCTTGGTTTTCTTCATATAAATAACCCATTATATATTATGGAATATTTATACTGTTAATCGTATATAAACCATGATTATTATGCTGTGTGCATTTCAGGGAATAAATGGACTGTTTATTATGTCGCATTTATATTATATGGATGTGTTGCCATATAGAACCATGTGAGCTGACTAATAAGTTTAGACTCATTTATACCTTATGCATTCGTTGCGATAGACAGATGTGTGGCTGTCGGGGTATGTGGTTTAATATTATTGGCATGTGTTGCCTAATTGACATACTCGGTATATTTATTAATATTATTGGCATGTGTTGCCTAATTGACATACTCGGTATATTTATTAATATTATTGGCATGTGTTGCCTAATTGACATACTCGGTATATTTATTAATATTATTGGCATGTGTTGCCTAAATTGACATTCTCGGTATCTTTATTAATATTGTTGGCATGTGTTGCCTAATTTATATGCTCAGTATATTCATCAGTACTTTGCGAGGTGTTATCACTGTGTAGTTCGTTATAGTCTGTGTTGTCAGTACCGTGCACCATGTATAATAGCTGATTTCCCGGGTAGGGAAAGGCGACACTTAACCACCTAGTGTGAGTCTAAGTGATCACCGTCTATTCTGGTTGAGGTCATGTTATACATCGGATAGTTCCCGTAGGATGTATACAGATATAGTACTCATCCGATTCATAATGATTAATTTATTTGATTCTCTGATTTGGGTCATAGTAGAGAGGACTTGCTCGTGGGGTTGACCCACCATTGTTGTTATTTCAGGATACGGTCAGTATCCGTTTCAAGGCTGAGGTTAGCAGTGTGGGACCATCATCCGAACTCATCTACTCTTACGATCCAGTGCAGGGTAGAAGTTTTATGTAATACTTCAGTTTCAGTTTTTATTTACTTTTGACGTTGAACTCTCAGGGTTATATTTAAGGATCCCTGACGTAGGATTTCCAAGTTGTAATGAAGTACTGCATTAAATAAAGGTTGGATGGATGTTGTATTATTTAATGTTTCTTTCCTGTCTAAATTCTTTTAATTCCATCATTTTGTATTCCATGCTTGTATATTGCCAATTGTTTTTGATATCCCTCGTTTTTCGTGTATAAGCCTGATCAACTTATGCGTGGAAAATGTGGGGGTGTTACACCATTAATATATTTTGACTAAATATTCGGTAGAATCACTACTTACTAAAATTCTACAATTGTGCACGTCATTCAATCTTCAAAGATTCAAGATCTTAGTATTATATCCCAAGTCCAGGAATTAATTCAACAGTTTCAACTTTACCGCAATTAAACGGAGTATGCAGGGCGGAGTTGGTATTTTGTCTACCGGAGTAGGGGCAGGGATGGTATACCAATTATAAACCCGTCTCGGAGTTGGAGCGGAGTTGGTATGATGAATTTTTTAATAGGGCAGAGTAGGGTTTAGCCAACTCCATCTCAACTCCGCCCCGTTGCCATCCCTAGGGATGGCACCATTAGCCCTATCCTCGGCGGTGGCGATCAACCAAAAAACTCACGCTTCTGCACTCCAAGATCTTCATATGCCCCGTTCAGGGAAGCCTCATTGTCTAAGTCTTCCTTTAGAAAACCTAACAAGATACCTCATTTAGAGAAGCCCCGCCTAGGGACGCCCATATAGGGAAGCCTCGTTATTTAACTAGATACCTCGTTCAGAGATGCTCAACGTGTCGGATCAACGGTGCCAGTAGTTGTGCCACGTCAGTTGCCACGCAGCAGAGTTGCCAGCAGTAGTGCCAAGTCACCTACCACTTCAGTTGTCATGTCATCAGCCACGTTAGCATCGATGCCATGTCAACTACATCAAGGTGAAAGGATTGTCTTCAAACTCAAGATGGCTTCATATAACCCACCTTGACTTTAAGAGGGGCTGTTAAAATATATTCTATAATATATCATTACCATGTAGTAGTATAACATTACCTTATATGGTAGCTATCTTAACCTACCATCATTACCATATATAACATTACCTTATATGGTAATGACTTGTTTTCCACACATGACCTCTCCTATATAAACCCTCGTGTACTTTTGTATTACATATATCTCGTGATAGAGTTGATCCGACACGTTGAGCATCTCTGAACTAGGCATCTCGTTAAACAACGAAGCTTCCCTATACGGGGCATCCCTAGGCGGGGCTTCTCTAAACGAAACATCTCATTGGACAGGGCATATGAAGATCTTGGAGTGTGGAAGCGTGTTGGTTAACCGCCGTCAGCCGAGGATGGGGCTAATGGTGCCGTCCCCGGCGGTGACTACGATAAACTGGTAGATTGTTTACTAGAGATCGAAAGACTCTGATACCATGTTAAAAAAAAAAAAAGATCTTGGAGTGTGGAAGCGTGTTGGTTAACTGCCGTCAGCCGAGGATGGGGCTAATGGTGCTGTCCCCGGCGGTGACTACGATAAACTGGTAGATTGTTTACTAGAGATCGAAAGACTCTGATACCATGTTAAAAAAAAAAAAAAAAGTATAGAATGGGGACGGCAACTACGATAAACTGGTAGATTGTTTATTAGAGATCGAAAGACTTTGATAACATGTTAGAAAAAGAAAATAAATAAATTAAATTAATAAAATAAAGGAAGAAGAAGAAGAAGGAAAAAAAGAAAAGAAAAAAAGAGTATAGAACTCTGTATGTATTGATATATATGAAATATGTAATACAAGAGTATATGGAGGTTTATATAGGAGAGATCATGTGTCGAGAACAAATAATTATCATATAAAGTAATGTTATATATGATTATGATATATTATAGAATATATTCTAACAATATACAGTAATAATATAGTACAAAATATATTCTAAAGCAACAAAACGTTTAAACTTTAAACCTATGTTAATATGACGAAGTTATGGCTCCAAGTATTCAAATCAAATGAAATCAAATTCCCAAATACAAACATATATCTATTTATCATAATTGACGACCCACCTACCATTACCACAATTAAAGTGGAATTGCATCACTATACTATCTACTTATCATAATTGATGACCCACCTACCATTACCACAATTAAAGTGGAATTGCATCACTATACCATCTACTTATCATACTTGACAACCCACCAACCGTTACCACAATTAAAGTGGAATTGCATCACCCACCAACTGTTTCATCAAAAATATAATATGAAAAAATAAAAAAGTTGTAAATTGAACTATGGTCTTTCCAACTGTTAAGAAATTACTGCATCTAGCCCAACGATAGGATGCTTATTGTTTGGTGTCTATGGCCCGTGTTCAAAAGTTCAAAACCCCACCAGCATTATTTCTCTCCTAATAACATCTAATTCTCTAATCCCACTAACCATTGCCAAGCTATTAAAAAAAAAAAACAGAAGGAAATTTTAGGGCTACCATCAATGTGAACCAAAAATATAGTTCAAACAATACTCTGTTCTCTGTTTGAATAAATTACTAACCATTGCCAAGCTATTAAAAAAAAAAACAGAAGGAAATTTTAGGGCTACCATCAATGTGAACCAAAAATATAGTTCAAACAATACTCTGTTCTCTGTTTGAATAAATTACTGTCCATCCGCACAAGAAAGCCAGATGAACAGAACCACGAGGACAAATATAGAAGCAAACTACCAATTACGAAAAAAAAAAAAAAAAAATTGAAGAAAGATAAATTTTGAGTCCCAAATAACAACTTATAAAGAAAAGAAAAAAAATATACAGTCTGTGTGTATATTTTATACATCTAGGTCAGAGAACAAATGAATATTGAGAAACATAACTCAAGAAAAAAAAAATTCCGAAAAAAAAAAAAAAAAAATTGTATCAAGTTGGCAAAATTACACATGGGCTAAATCCACACGACAGCCCTTTAAACTCAGTATCATACTTCTATATCAAATGAAGAACCATATCATCATACCTACTACACCAACAAACCTCAAAAAAAAGGGCTTCGAACGAGAACAAAGATAATGCTGTTGAATTAAATACTAAATCGCCTGACTAAAAAGCTCTACGGTTGTCAGAATCTCTCCTCTGAGTTTGACTCTCCACTGACGTCTTAAATGGCCCGCTTGACCCAAATGGATCTGCATCGTCAAAAGATGGGAACCTGTGACTATAATCAGAATCTTTAGTGGTGCTGCGGAAGGAATCAAACCTTGCATAGGAGTCAGGTGGCGGGAAGAACCCTTGACCATAATCAGTGTCTTTGGTGTTGCTGCGGAAGGAGTCAAACCTCAAGGAGTCAGTTGGCGGGACGAACCCTTGACCGTGATCGGAGTCTTTGGTGGTGCTGTGGAAGGAGTCAAACCTAGAGAATGAGTCAGGAGGCGGGAAGAACCCTTGACCATAATCAGAGTCTCTGGTGCTGCGGATGGAATCAAACCTTGAGAAGGAATCAGGTGGCGGGGCAAACCCTTGACCATAATCAGAGTCTCTGGTGGTGCTGCCGAAGGATTCAAACCTTGAGAAGGAGTCATGCGGCGGGAAGAATTCATGACCATAATCGGAGTCTCTGGTGCTGCGGGTGGAATCGAATCTTGTGAGGGACTCACGAGGTGGAAATAATCCACTATCATGCGTGCTGAAGGAGTCAAATCTTGAGAAGTTGTCAAATGAGTGCTTTTCTAACCCTTCACTGAACCTTTGAGGGGAGTTGCCAGAACTGAACATGGGGGTGCTTGGAACAGAATCAGCAAAACCAAATGGGCTCTTCTTTCGAAACATGTTATCTCCTTGCGGTGAGTTGCCAGAACTGAACATGGGAGTGCTTGGAACAGAATCGTCAAAAGCAAAAGCACTCTTCTTCTGGAAAATTCCATCTCTATGTGTGGGCTCTGTTCTTATTGGGTTTAGACCCCAGACATCAGAACCAAAGAAAGAACTCTCACTATGCTTCTCTTGATCTGCATCCTGCAAAAAAATAGGTTTGAACAGATGAAGAATGAAGCTTTCTGCAACTAAAAAAGGCATCATATCTGTAATCCAATTATTTAAATGGGTAATGTCAACATCGACCATATGATTAGTTATGTTTTTCCTATGCAAGAAGTAGATGCCAATACCTTACAACTTACATCTGCTTTACAAATGAAGTAAATATATCAAATTTTACCAACAGTAAGAACTGAACTCATAACCACCCCCATCTTATAATTGTCATGCCAGCACTGAATCAGTGTGCTGCAATAGCTTTGACAAAGTAACAATATTATTAGGAGCTGCTATATGTTTGGAAAGAAACTTCACGCTGACAATCAGAGAGAAAACTATACTGCCCATATGCCCCACCCCACCCTTCTCCCTGTTATTTTTGGATGTGTTTCCTTCGGTTTCACAACTCTTTGTGATATTCTGTGTTCCTTAATTTAGATTCACATTCCTTAGTACGGAGTAATATTTTTCATACCTTACCTTAGAATATTTACTGTCGAGGATCAGAACAAGTATTTTTGTCATTAAAACAAGTATTTTGTTTACTTGGGATTATCCACTATTCACATCCAACATTTTTAACAAAAACTATTATTAGTTATCAATGACTGAGGCTTCTTTTTAACAAAAACTATATAGCATGTGGTTTGACTGAGGCTACGGCCTTAGATAGAGTGGAATGGAAACATTGGATTCATGTAGCCAACCCAAATAGTTGGGAAAATTGCTTGTTTGCTGTTATTTTAGTTATCAATAAAAATAGCAACATCAATTTTGTTCGTTATTTTGTATTGTTGCCATGTTTGTTATTGTATCTTTATTTTGCTTTTGACATATGTATCTATAATTAATCCGTGTTTGATGCTTTTTTGTGGTGTTAAATTGGGTAGTCAGCTTTATATATACAATACACACTTTTTGCACCTTAAGATCAAGTACGCATCACACATACATTCATTTGGAAACTTTACAATTCTAAATGATGTATTATCATCTTCTATCAACAACTCCAGTATTTCATTCCAACTTACATCAATTGGTATAAATTTACATCATTTTCAGAAAAGTTGCAATATTGATTTACAGTTGAAGATATCCCCCCAATACATCTGTATTTTATTGCAGATATATCATTTCTAATTATTCTGTGTGCGTGTAGAGTGAGAACTAGATCAGTTTGGCAGTCGCCTCAGCTACTTAATGGTGATGCGTCTAAAATGAAAGAAGTAGGAACTCCTTCGATAGGTGGAATTGCCTGAATTGAGGCTGAAGCATTTATTATTATTATTATTATATTTTTTTGGTAAATAAGCATTTTATAGAAGAACCAACAAGGGAAGCTGAAGCATTTAACTCTAAGCTCTTTGTTCCTTTGGATCATGTTAAGGTCTTCAATTTTGTTGAATTCTTTTGTAGATTATACATTACCATAATTTTTGTAGGGTCTTTAGTACACATTGTGTGTATTTACTGACCCTTGGGCATTTTTTAGTGACTCTCTTTATCTAATGGGAATGAATCACATACCTTTGCATAATGCATAATTTTAAAAGCCATTCACTCTCGAAAAGGATTGTCATGCCAACATCAAATAAAAGATCAAGTGAATTACTATCAATATACCAAAACAACATATATATATATATATATATAAAATAAATAATCAAACCAACTTGGATCAAACCTAGAGAAGCATGGCAGAAATGCCAATTTTTAACTAATGCACGGTCCTAAAACAATTTTTTTTTTTTTTTTTTGATAAGTAAAACAATTTGCCACACATACATTAGGAATATGTATATATAATATAAAATCAAAAATAAAACCAACATGGATCAAACCTAAAGAAGCATGGCAGCAATCCCCAACTAACGCAAGTCCTAAAACAATTTGCCACACATACATTAGGAAGTTTTCACATACCTTAGAAGTAGCAGGATTAAAGTCCCAAACAGAGTCTGTATCATAATGAGTGTCAAACGTTCCCCAGCTGGGTTCATCAAAAATTTTGTCCCCAGATAGCACGGATTCGGCACCCCCCTGATCACTGTGCAATAGGAAATCACAAATAAGTTCAGATTTTTAATAAAGCACCCATAGTGCAGAAAGCTGGATAAAAACCAACAAGTAAATAAACGAAAAAAACATTTCCCCAAGATATGATCACACAACAATTTAAAATCTTGCTCGTCGGAGAAGTATAAAAAAACTGAAGCAGAAGGAAACCACAAGCAAAAGGCGCAAAGTAATCACGCTACCTTTTCGTCTCTATAGTATCCAGAGAATCTTGATGGGGTGAACCATCTTGACGAGTGTTCTTTTTAAATTGGGGGGAATCTTGGTGCCTATCAGATGGGCTATCCAGTCCATTCCTTCCAGATAGACTTTCAGGTGGACTTCTTGCTACACCCTCTTCACTTTGAGCATGTGCTGATTCATCCTCAGCGATCCTTCCCCCTGAGCTTGGTGGCTTCTCTGACTTGCCATCATCATTTGAGGATGAAACAGTTGCATCCTTATCCGTGGAAGATGCTTTATTACAAACTGAAGAGGACTTTGGTTTGGGAGGGGCTATGACATTTTGGACATCAAGAGTGAGCTCTTTGACAAATGAGAATCCTGGAAGTCACAAAAATTCATCAGGTTTAAATTGCAATTACAGCTTACATCCAAAAGGCACCATGGAGAAGCAAGAGGGAAAAAAGGAATATTCAGAGCACATGACTAGACCTCCTTTTTTTATATATTCATACACATGCCTAGATTTTTTTATCTAAAAGATTCTAAAACTCAATGTCAACTTTAAACTACAGGTGACTATTTAACATACCTTCATCTTCAAATTTATCCCAATCTTCATCCCAATCTGCTGTTCCTTCTTGGATGCCAGGTTGCCAGCCTGAACAAAATCGTTATACAACAAAGAATAAGAAAAGAGAAATATGGCAGAATGAAAAGACGGTAGTGGAAATAAACTTAAAAGAGCATTGAAAAATTAATAACACTTAAATATTGACTTGCTAAGCAGAAAATTGTTCAGTCTCTCTCATGCTGAATGGTTACAAACATGCAAACTTCCGAAACTGGTTCCTAGAAAGCTGACATGCAACTCACATTCTTGCACAGCTCTTCGACTGTTCCATTCTAATGGGAATATAGACAGATGTACCAAACAAGGGGGGAAAAGGAAGAGAGAGAGGAGGGGGGGAGTGAGGGTGAAGAGCACGTTATGTTACTCAACCAGTAACAAATAAAGAAGAGAAAGGAATATACAATATTAAAATTCAAAACAATAAAATTAAAAACCTGTTTACCTATTAGAGGGAGTATGTATGAAAAGTAAATGAATAATAGTAGAATAAGAGGCCATAATTTCACATTTTATTTCTGATAAGCTAAAAAAATTCATGTTGTCTAATTTAATAAATAAAAAAACAGAAAATACTGCCAAATCAGATGTTAAAAGCTAGAAATATGCTCGAAAAATGTACAATACGAAAATATAGAAATCAAATGGAAGAAAATGAGATGAAAAGGTGATGCATGGAAAGTGGTTGAACTAAACAACTACCTTCATATGCTCAATGTTTCTAATACCCACAATGAAAAGCAAAAAACAAACCATTTTAATTGGCCTAAGGAAAATAACTGAAACATTCCAATATTAGACTCCATAACGTGCTTGAAAAGAAACATGAGGTTTGTTAAACAAAATTTAAGAACCACAACTGCACACATAAGGGTACAAAAGGCAAACAACGAACTTTGAATGACTAGTATAAAACAAGTGCAATGCACGTGATTAAAAGGTCTCATTGTTTCTGTATATCCATTTAAATTTCAGATAGATATATCTAAATAGGGTGGAAGAAGATGAAAAAAAGGGAAAAAAATGAAAAAAAAGAAAAAGGAAATTATTATGCCAGCAAAGTTCAATAAAAATAGACACATAAGTAGGAGGGGATAGTTGGAATAAGTCTCAAAAGAAATAGAAAAACGCCACTCAATGCATGAAAGTATCTATAGCTTGAAAGAAGAGTGAAAGTAAACCAAAATTTCTCTTCACTTACCTTTCAATGATTTCAATGGATGGAAAGCATCATCACTTTAAAATATAGTTGATTTATTGCTTTAAAAAAAATAGTAGATTTAAGAACTTCTAATAAGATAGAATAACCATGTTAAACAAATAATCACTATAATAAACTAAGTCTAACCACATCATATCCTAAATTAATCAGTAAGTCCTAACAGAAAAAGTCTATTTAAAAAAGAACAGTTAGTAATAAATCCAGTTGGAGTAATCCATATCTATATATATGTATATGTATGTAAGTACGTACGTATGAAAGGAATTAAAATCCAAAAAATACATATATGTACATCTTGGAGAATAATTATATGAGTGATTTAAGCCCTTAAATCACTCCTTGACAAAACGTTAAGTTGCTAGGCAACAAGTTGTTGCCATATTTGCATTTGACTTTTTGTGTAATTCCTTTATTATAGTTACAAGTCTTCCCCGATTCACCTATAAATAGAGGTGGTTATTGTAAACAAAATTAAGAGAGTGTAATGAAAGAGATGTAGCCCTTTGAGCTTTGTGTGTCGTGGATATAAGCCCTAGTGGCTAAACCACGTTATATTCTTGTGTTCTTCATGTTTTAATTTCTCTCTTCAACTTTTTTATTTCTTTCAACAGTATACATATGTAAGTATTATAAACCGATAAGATTCAAAATAAATGATGAATTTAAAATTTTGTAAAAATCTAATCGCTATTACATAAGAATTTAAACTTAAGCATTAATTTAACTGAATCTAAAGGAATTTTAAAAACTAATAAAATTTCATCTGTCTATAATATGAAATGAATTGAAGGTCCTCCTTGTGTGCAAAACTACAAGCATTTATTTTTTCTCTTTTCTTTTTTGTTTTGGGGAGCTAAATAAGTCAGGATCTTCCCGCATCAGAAACGCTTATGCATGTATATAGAGGGAGAGAATACCGGCAAGAGAGAAATTCGTGAATTATTCTTTCATTAATTGATAGAAGAGGATAGAAGAGGATTTATTTTGGCTTAGTATCTCAGAGTCCTAAAGTGGGGAGAATTCTGTGAATATATAACTTCAATTAATTAAATTTTATAACTTTCAAAAGATGTATATAAAAAATGAAAATTCTATTGACATTCTTATATATAAAAAATGAAATTCTATTGACATACATAGATAATATATATCTCATATGTTCAATTAGGAAAAATTAACTCATATATCAGTCTTGAAGAGTGAATTTGATAAATAGGTTCACCACCAAAGTTGGAAAAAAAACAAAACGATTATTTTGATGCTATCATGTAAACTTCTTACATCAAAGCCAATAGAATAAGGAAAAGTGCCCTTATTAACTACAGATCACACAAAGTGAATAGATGTACACTTCTTACATCAAAGTCAGTAGAATAAACAAAATTCTCCTATAAAATATAGATTTACACAAAGTAATTAACAAAGATTATAAGAAATACTAATTTTTTTTTTTTTTTTTTTTTTTTTTTTTTTTTTTTTTTTTTGCTGGTCTAGCAAGTAAATAGATGATGCACTACAATTAAAATGGGACTAAAAGTATGATACTATGATTCCACCAAAAGGTGAATAGATCACACAAAGTTAGTAGATTACACTTCTTACATCAAAGTCAGTAGAATAAACAAAATTCTCCTATAAATATAGATTCGCACAAAGTAATTAACAAAGATTATAAGAAATACTAAATTTGATTTTTTTTTTTTTTTTTTTGCTGGTCTAGCGAGTAACAAATCAAAGCAGTTGAATAGATGATGCACTACAATTAAAATGGGACTCAAAGTATGATACTATGATTACACCAAAAGGTTAGGAATTAGCATGGTTGTGGAAATACCAAAGGGAAGCTCAACAAGTGCAGTGGGCTTTGTTCGTAATCCATAATCTTTGCAACGATCATTCAAAGTTTTAACTAGTTCCTCAAGATCCAACTGGATTTGATCAGCATCAACCTGCACAAGCCAAAAAATTGGACTGAGACAAATTTCAGGCAGTCTCTACCAAATCAATAGTGCTACAATCTACCTGGGCATCATCGGCACTACCATCTTGTTCCATTTTGAGAATTGCCCGATATAGCTCCATTTTTCTCTCCTAAAAGGATCCAGTGAAGTGTCATAGCATTTGATGAAAGATGAAGCAAGGGAAATTAATATCGTTTGCACAATGGACATTCAAAAAAGTCACTGGAAAACCAATGATGAGCGCCACTCAACATAAAAAATAAAAAGTGATATACCTGAATCCCACGAAAAGAAGCCTCTTCAATGGTTAATTTAGAAGCCACATCTCCAACCTGCTTGCATTTTTCTTCATATTTCTTTTCCAGGGACTCAACCTGAAAAGCAAGTTGCTCTTGGTCCAACAAACAACACAAACTATGTGGAACAACCATACAATCCTCAATATTCAGAGAGATACCTCGCGTTTGTCAGCAGAAGCCCTTTCGGTGATCTCGTTTAATCTATTATCACATCGGCTTTTGTATAAAATCTGACACCAAACAGTGGACATATAAAGAGTATTAATAATGCATTTCTATTTCCAATAATAACTGCCCAACAAGACTCAATCCTAAAGCAACAACAAACAAAATATATCGAAAACTTCAGGCTGTTCAAAGAAGTAACTCCAAATTCTGAAGATCTAACTCCTTTACTCAAAAACAAGATATGATCTGTATTATATGCATTGACAATTCTTCAGAGTAGAGATGTTTGACAAGCTCTCTTGTGCTTGAAAACTGGGTAATTTTTCTAAGACTTCTTGGTATTAATTGCTTCCCATTTTTCTTAGCTTTACACATTATCAACTTTTGTGATTTTTGTTTCACAGATCAGATTTGGTTAACAATTTGGGAAAACAGCAAGATCGGGTGACAAGGAATTCAAGGACAAGCAACAATCAGGAGCAGACATGAGCACACTCGGTCCATAAGATGAAAAAAAATTCCCCCAGTTGGTCACAATTTGTGGTTTGGAGTTATTGATAGGTGGCTAATTCCTAGGTCTCTCGACAAGAATAGTGTTATTTGTTTGGTGGTTGGGGTTTTAGAGGATGATAAAAGTTTTGAGTTCACAAATTGAGATGTTTACATTAGCAACAGTGAAATGGAGGTGAACAGGTGGTGTTCAGTTTAATGGAGGTCACAGAATGTAACATGGGCCCTCACTGACTGACTGCTAGATAGAGTGAGTTCCAGAGAGAAATTAGGGTCCACAAATACATAGACAGATGCACCTCTACATTAAAGATATTCCATGTAAAACCTTTTCAATGATTTGTTAATTAAGCCCTATGAACCCAAACTTTCCACCACATCACTTCAGTACAATAACTCATTTTCCTTTTTTTCTGAAAATTGCCAAAAATAAATCTATGAGTGAACAGGGTAACAGAAACACACAAATAGTTTTTTTCCCTTTAATAGGTTTAAGCCAAGACAGATGAAGACTTAATTATATTTGACACTTATGGGGGCTATAAATTGCCTAAAATTTAAGATATTGACCCCCCCCAATAAACATGTCAGCATTGTAGGACCATCTGTCTACATCTCCCAAGCTTGAATAAAGTTAAAGGCGAAGAGATATTTATACCAAGGTTTACTAATAATCACAATATTATAGTGGTTTTAGGAATATCTATTCAACTTCAATAAACCCGTTTAAGCTGTATACATATTGTCCCCGTCCGTCAGAAGAAGACCCAGAACCCTAAAAGTCTTCCACACGTAATAGAAAACAATTCATTTTTTCTCAAGAAGTAAATCTAAATGTAATGGTCTTCTAGAGCGGACAAACATCAGTTGAAAGGGGGAAATACTCACAATTTCCTGCATCTTGGTGCGGTAGAACTCGATCTTCTCTTTGGAATCTAAAATCTCCTTTTCCAGTTCTTCTACCTGCAATTACAAAGAACAAAATCAGGCGCCAAAGTGTCAGAGAGACTAAAGTTTCCTGGAAAGGTATAAGTTCTCCTGCAAAGACAATTATTGAAAAAGACGCACAAATGCAGAGTAAAATTAAAAGTATAGAGAGAGAGAGAGAGAGAGAGAGAGAGAGAGAGAGAGATGGAGGGACTTATATTCTGTATTGAGTTTTTGACTGACCAAAAATAACATAACTCAAAACATGCTCTTACACACACAAGTAACCCTTTAATAGACGGTACAGACTGTAATACGTAATATGTTATAACTCTCCTGAAAATTATCAATAGCTATAATAAATTACGTGGTAATCAAAATAGAATTCCAGTGATTAGTAAATATAATTTTACTCATAAGCACTCCAAATCGAGCACGAGCCAAGATGGCAATTCCACCAAAAAATTAAAAAAAAAAAAGAGTTAACTGAAAGGTCGTGATTCTGCCACCAAAGCATCCACAAGGAAAGAACTGATACAACAGCAATCAAGTTTTTCAATTCTTCCCATCAGTTTATTCCATATTCTGACTTCGACCACCACCCAACATACCATATTGAACTTTAGACGGGAGAAACAACAATATAACAACCAGAGAGAGAGAAACCCTCCTATAAATAAGATATAAAAACAACTTTGTTCCACAAATGGCAAGATCAATTAGCCTGTGTGTGCATATATACCGCAGACCAAACATGATTCAGGATAGACAAAGAAAATTTAACACAGCAGAAAAGTTAATAGGAAATATATTTAAAAGAAGTACTTTTTTATCTGCTTCAGTTGCCTCTTTAAACTTCAAGTCCAATGAATCTTGTTCCTCTTTACTAAGTTGGTCCACAAGATGCTTCTCCAGCTCAGGAACTCTGGGCTTTTGCTGACTGGGCTGCATAGATTCATCAGCCTGAGGAATGGGAAATTGACTTGGTTGTCTCAATCGAGCAGCAGGATTGACTGGCCTTACACCAGTCATGCCTTGCGGCTGTTGCATACCTATTAAAAGATTGAAAATGACAATAAATCTAATAAAATAAATGTATTAATAAATGAATGAAAACTGGCACAGACAGGAAACATATATACCAGGAGTAGATCCCCAACTTGCATTGCCATAAGCCGGAGCACGCTGATTGGCAGCAGGCAACAGTGACTCATCTAACACAACACTACTTGGAAGCACGGTAGGAAGAGGGCGACCTTCTCTGTACCGTTCCATCAGATACAGTGCAATACAGAATTCCCTCAAAGAAAGCATGCTGTCATTGTCTTGATCAGACAAGTCCCACACCTGCTTTAAGACCTCTGGCAGGCCAACAATAATAACATAGTAAACATAATGTGATTGGGGAAGATAAGAACTAGATCTGCTTTTGAAGTAAATATTTAACTCGTTCCCCTGCCCCCTGGTATTAAATAATTGAGGTTGACACAAGTATTACAATCAAGATTTGTAATTAATTCATAATCGTGTCAGAGAGAGAGAGAGAGGGGTGAAACAATCAAGATACCAAGAAAAGATAATGCACTCTGTTGGCACTTCATTGTATACGCATGCCTGAAATTCACAAATATATAATCTTGCCCAAATCATAATAACCAAACACTCAAAACAGATGAAGCTGATATATTGTACCTTCTAGCAACACATTAATTCCATTTGAGCCTTCGCCATAATCTCAAAGTGAAAATCCTATTTCAGGCTTATCTATATTATAACTAAGAACCCCTCTATTGAACAAAAATTAACCTAAAATTAATAGATTTGATGATGTTGAAGGATTTATTTTTTTTTCATAAGTATGTTGAAGGATTTATATATTTAAGTTACACCCTCTCTAACAGCTTAAGCTTTTGGAGTAGATGGTTGTTAACAGATGATATTCCAGAGCAGTTAAGTTATCAAGTATTTCTTGCCAATATACAGCCTTTTGAGCAGAATACTAATTTTAACAGGAGATTAATAGGGTAGCCTTGCATAATAACACCTTGCTCTCTGTGGCTAAGCCCCAATCACCTTGCACCCAAAAAAAGAGAAATAAAAAAATAAAAAAGAAGAAGAAGCACATGTAAGGGTTTTCCAAAATTGAGTTGTGCTGACAAATTCCTAATCAAAACTAGGGTTTGAATGTGTGTTACAAGTCTTTTCATTTGTCTACAATTGAAAGACGATGATGGAAATGAAGAAAAGCGAAGAACACTCCGAAAACCACTCAAACTCAATCACATTACCTAGTTACATGTTTTACAAAATTATCTAGGAATTTAAATAGAACAAAATCAAAAATCTTAAACAGAGATTTCAACAAGAACAGAGAACTTCGATTGATATTTCAATCAATCAAAATTGTCAAGCAAAATTTTTATCAAAGTTCAGTAAGCTTCGAAACCTGGACAGTGCCTCACAATCAATCGGCACAAAAACTTTTTGGAAACTTCTCAAGAACAAAATTTTAAAAGGATTCATCTTCTTATTTCACATAGGACTCCAATATAAGGCTATAGCATTTTTCTATAGGCCATACACATGCATGATTGACAGAATAAAAGCAAGGAGCAGATTGAAGAGTATCAATCAATGAATCAACTGGACAAGCTAGAAGGTGATAAGTTAATTGACTTGCAGCGGTGGAGATCGTAGAGGATACTCTTGCATGAGTCTGGGTCACTGGTAACTATGGATTCTTAGGGTACATTCTGTTCAACCTAGTTGTAAGACCTTTCTCCAATAGTGCATTATTCAAGCCTAGACTGATGATCCCAGGGTTTTTCCCTTTCCAGGGTTTTCCACGTAAAAAATCTAATTAACTGAAACAGAGACACATGATTAACTAATTATTATATGTTACTTTATTTATTGTTGTATGTGTTTGTGTGACTGCAATAAAGACACAGGATTAAAAATAACAAGGATTAATGAGAATTTAAAAGAATTAGTTCTTCACAAATTAATATGGCTCTGAAATTTAAGAGCCTTGGGCAACTATCCTTATATTCCTTAATTGCAGATTTTTCAGGTACAATGGTAAAAGCTCAAGATATTTGAGGTGCATTCTGGTTTGTTTTCAGGCGGTTTCAGGACTGAAGGTCAATGTGGCCAAGAGTGTGCTTGTTCCGGTTGGGGATGTACAAGACATTTCCTCCTTAGCTGCAGTTCTAAGGTGTAGGGTAAGTTCTTTCCCTATTCCTTATTTGGGACTGCCTTTGGGGGTCTCCTCTAGGAGGGTGGGGAGTTGGGACCCTATGATTGATAGATATGTTAAAAAGCTGGCAGGATGGAAGAAGCAATATCTATCGAAGGGAGGGAAAGTTACTCTCATAAAGAGTACTCTCTCGAGCTTGCCTACTTATTTTTTATCTGTGTTCCAAATCCCATGCTCTGTTGTTGAAAGGATTGAAAAGATCCAAAGAGGTTTCCTTTGGAATGGAAGGGGTGAAGAGTTTAAATATCATCTCGTCAGATGGGAGCAAGTTTGCAAGCCCATCAAGTTGGGTGGTCTGGGTATTCGGAGGTTGGTTCCTTTTAATCAAGCTTTCTTGGGTAAATGGTTATGGAGATTCAGCAGGGAAAGGCATCGCCCTTGGAGAAGGCTCGTCACATGTCGTTTTGGAGAAGAGAGTGGCGGGTGGTCTACTCGTCCAATCTCTATTGCAGGAAGAATTGGTGCGTGGAAATCCATTCAGAATGATTGGGATGTTTTCTCTTCCCATATTAGATTTAAGGTGCGTAACGGTAGATATGTTTGTTTTTGGGAGGATTTATGGTGCGGTGATCAGCCGTTATCTTGCACCTTCCCAAGTTTGTACAGCATCGCCACCGATAGACATGCCTGCGTAGTTGACTGTTATCGGCTTGATGGTAGTGGGATTACGTGGGATGTAAGCTTTCGGCGTTCCGAGATGGACGAGGTATGTGTTCTTCTAGATATGTTGTATAAACAGGAGGCAATTGGCAAAGGTAGTGATGATATTAGGTGGATCCCCTCATCCCATGGTCGATTTGAAGTTCGATCCCTGTTTCGATGCCTAACCAACTTCATAGGCATTGATTTCCCATGGAAGACCATATAGCGTTCTACTGCTCTTACTAGAGTGGCATTTTTTGTTTGGACAGCTGTATGGGGTAAGATTTTAACAATGGACAATTTGAGGAAGAGAGGCAATTGTATTGCTAATTGGTTTTGCCTTTGCAAACGAGATGGTAAGTCAGTGGATCATATCCTCCTGCATTGTCCAGTGGCGTACAACTGTTGGAACCTCATATTTGGTTTTGGATAATGCCTGGATCTTCCAAGGGATTGATTAGCTCATAGAGAGGATGCCGTGTGAGAAGCAGTGTTCGCGATCACTGGAGGACAGTTCCGCATTGCTTTTGGTGGTACATATGGAAGGAGAGGAATAATAGAATGGTCGAAGGGAATGAGTCGTCCATGGCGACGTTGAAACTTCATATTCTTCGTTCTATTTTTAGTTACGTGAAGAGGAGCTCATATTCTTCGTTCTATTTTTAGTTAATTTTTTGGATTCTTTGGGTCCTTAGAACCCAGTTCCACTCTTGTAATAGGACGCATTCCCCTTTTGAACGCTTTTTAATCAATTCTTATTTATCAAAAAAAAAAAAAATGGTAAAAGCTTAAGATCTGTGTTACCCGGACTTGGGTACAAGTGTCAGACTCAGGTGCGTGTCTAGAGGTCGGATTTGTCAATTCATCAAATTAAGGGACACGGGAACTCGGCTAAAAAGTATCCAATATCTAGACACGGGTACTTGGACACTTCTATAAATGAAAATTGTATAAATTTTTAATGTACGAGTAGGGATGGCAACGGGGGCGGTTTATGGCGGGTGTACCATCCCCCGCCCCCGCAACCGTTTAGAAACCCGCCCCGTCCCCGCCAAAAACCGCCTAAACGAGGGGCTTTTCCACCCCATCCCCGCCCCCCGTTTAACTTTTTTATCCCCGCAGGCACCCGCCCCACCCCGTTTAGTTCCAGAATTTCTCCCTTTTAATTTTTTTTTCTACGAATACAATTGTAAAACTATTGAAAAAAATCATTAAAAAATGGACAATCAATAATTTAACATAAAATTCAAGGGTATGAACGTTCTTAGTTCGTAGGGCTCTGCTGGTCTCTAGAACAACCGGGAAAGGAAGTGAATCTGACCTAGGATTTTTAGAACTAACTATATATACTAATAAAATAAGGGTAATTTAGTAATTTACATACCTAAATAGGGCGAGGCGGGGTGACCTAACCCAGCCCCCGTCCCAAACCCGCGCGGTTTTTCACTAATAAAAACCATCCCCGCCCAAAGAAGCTAAACTGTCTCCCAAAACTGCTATAAAGGGGGCGGGGCGGGTACCCGGTCCCTGCGGGGTAAATTGCCATCCCTATGTACGAGCCATCAATTTTCCAATATATATATATCGGAAGGTGAATAAAAAACAAATATTGATCAGCTTTCATGCCATAGTTGTACCTCTTATTTATGTTAGTTGTACCTTTTGAATACCATTTGAAAGAAATATGCCAGTTGTTTTTAAAATTTGTTTAAGAAAAGTAACCATTAGTTACAGCCGTAACTAATGAGTATTGTATTTTTGTAAGGAAAAATATACTATTACTTTTTATTAGTTAGAGCAGTAATTAATGGCTTCCAGCTGTAACCCATTACATACAGCTGTATCCCATTAACTAAAAGGTTATGTCTACCATGACAAATGGCGTCCTATTTGCCGTAAAAAAAGAAAAAAGCATTAAGAGATAGCTTCATCTTAGCCGTTAAATTAAAAAATGCATCACAGGAAAGATCTGAAGCACGCTAGCCGAGACACATCTTCAACCTTTAAAGAACTAACACCATCGTCAATGGCAGCCAACCCCTTTCATGAACAAGCTTTCTAGCACCACCATCAATGGCAGCCATGTCCGGTAGACAAATGAGGAGTCCGACTCATATCCAGTGTCCGTGTCAGCGTCGTGTCGTGTCGACACGGACACTCTCGCCGGTTCATGCGAGTTCAGGTAACATAGCTCAAGATAACAAACATGAGGAGTCAGTCCAAGTTTGAAAGCAGCTACTTTGTGCAAAATAATGCCGGTTAGGAATGTCTATGTACTTCCCCTCCAAAAATCCCACGTAGGCAAGAGGCTTTCATTTTATAATCCAACAAGAATCACCAAGAGCACTGAGGTCTTCATCAGAAAACCAAAACCCAAATTGCTCAATTCATTGAAACTAAAGGAGACAGAAATGTGCAAGTTGGATAACAGGCATTTTTTTTTTGGAGAAGTATTATATAAGGCACTCAAAGGGGGAAATAGCAAAAGTTGGATAACAGACATAGGAAATGAAATTGCAAAAGTTTATAATTAACAGCATCATAAATTCATAATCAGCTATTTTAGTCAAATTCTCTGCAATTTGTATAAGACTTGTAGCCTTACATCCCAAAATATGTTTTCCCATAAGGTCACTTTCCCCTTCCTAACTTCTCCTTGACCTTTCCTACTCCGTTTCAAAAGTTACTTGCACAGCAAAATTTTCAGCAGGGGGATTACCAACAACTTGTTATCTATCCTTTCCTAAAATTCTCCTTAAAACAAGAGGATCTTTCCTAATTTATCTTTTCCCATGTCAATTTTGAAACCGAAGAGCCCTATAATCTCTCTCTGCAAGTTTGCATGAAGGCCCCATGTTCTGCTAAACAAATTTACTTTTGTATTGGACCCAACTATCTTTAGACCCCAAGAGGTGATTATTTAGAAGAAAAAAATAATAATAAAAAATAAAAATAAAAAGATTGGATCTAATCTCATCTTTTGACTCAAAATAGCTTTGCTAAGAAAATCCTAATCAAACTTCAATTACAAATCCATTCCTAGTCAGACTCTTATTGAAAAGCCCCAACCCTTCAACACCATCAAGGGCACGAATTTTACTCTGACTCTCAGACACTACTCCTTCATATACCATATTTCATATACATGTGGATGAAGGTAGAGCATTAATGCTGTTCAACATAACAATTACCGTCGCCTCAAAATAAAAACAAAAATAAATAAACCAAGCCCCAGTAACAAGAATAGCAATCAAGCACATCTCCAATCAGAATAACATACACTAGTTGACTAATCCTAGTGACATGTGATTTTTTGAGCTCTCTTCAATTTTCTTCTGGATACACATTGAATTGTCCCCTAAGGAATATCTTCTGGTCATATAATTCCTTGATGATATGCACAAATCAATTTGTGTGGCAGTAAAAAATGTGTGATTAATTTTTTTTTTTATGCCCACATGCAAATATTACTTATATGAGTAGTCATTTTGCAGAATTTATTTGTTGGTTGTTAGCAATAAGAATCGAACACCTTACCCCATCTTCCCCTTTTAGATTTCAGCACTTACTATGCTAAAATTTCAGAGTGATTTTGAAGAATTTATTGGGATGAACAACTCCCTTCCAATAATTACAGTAATCCTTACACCTTAAATTTGATCGGCCTTTTGTTCAACATGATGTCACTAGAACTAGAAGATACTTCTCATTCCATGAGAAGGTTGGTTCTGAACCCCTTCTTATCACATAACATCACTTTCCAACTCTCCCCGATCTTCAAGCCGAATTTCATTGGAAAATTAGCTCTATCAATGTAAATCCCGGTTCTGACATGGCAAGGATGAGTGTCTGACCCCTTTCACAGCTACATATACAGTGCCCGCATTTTCTAAAGACAAGGTCGGAGTGTCTGACCCCTTTCAGCCACGAAAATCATCCTTGAACCCGAGTAAAGTTCAAGTTGGATTCCCATTTTTATTGCCTCTATTTTTTTTATTTATCTTCACATTATTCGTTTCAGTTTTTTATAGCATGTTTTTTGGATGTGTTGCTTCACCTAATTTGGCATAGAAGGGTATTGGGTTACCAAATGGATAAAACAAATGAGCACTCAAAGACATGTCAGGTAGCCATTTACAGCTCAATGGTGTTTGCAAACAAGCAACTCAGTCTACTAAATATTGATTATGATAACTCAACTCAACATAACAATTCCAACCACTTGAGGTTGGTAACATGAATCCTCTTTTTCCATACCGAACTATTAAAGTCACACGTCAGTCAAACCACAGCTTAATTTTGGTCTTCTCCTTCTCCTAGCATTACCCTCAATGTGACCATGTCACTATTCCTAATTGGCGCACTTAGTGGTATTCTTTTCATATGTCCAAACCATCTTAATCGATCTTCTCTCATTTTTTCTCCAATTGGTGTTACTTAAACCATCTCACAAATGTGTTTATTCTAATTCTATTCCTTCACATCCATCTCAACATTCACATTTCTGTCATACTCACTTTAAGCATATATTGTTTCTTAATTGTCCAACATTGTCGCATAAAAAACAATTAGGGAAATAGTTGTTTTATAGAACTTCCCTTTCAATCTTAGCAGAATACGCTGATCACATAGTATACGAGATGCACTTCTACATTTAACCCATCCTGTCTTGATTCTACGATCAAGAGCATCTCCAATTTCCCTTCATAGTAAATTGATCTTGGTCTTCGAAATAATAGTATATCGATAAAAGAGATTCATTGGCATAAGATCACATTTTGCAGGACGACGTGCTCATGAATTTACAAAGCACTAGGTATAATATTGTACCAGGCCCCAATATGTGGCACCACATCTAGCACCATCCAATCATAAAGGGGAAGCAAATGGTGTTAGTCAAGCTTTAGTTCAAGTTTAAATAATCACCATTGAAATAAAATAAAAAACTAGGGTAACTGATTGCAACTTGCAAGTAATATCACCAGGGGCACCTAGCCTCAACACGTTACACAAACTGCGATTCCCTTGTTTATAACACATTATACTTTCAACTTTTAATAGAGCATTTATTAGACAATGATAAACTGAAAAATAATATAGAAACCACACACACACACACACACACACACACAAACACGGAGGGAGGGAACTCAAAACCTAAAGTTTAAATGAGGCAGGTCCTACCTCGTGGCAGCCTCCAACTTAAGAACAGGTTGCGTGCCTGCCCACCAGTAATTTTACCGTCTCTGTCCGTGTCTACTTCCACAAATACTTTGGTGTACTTTTGAACATCAGTCTGAGTCATCCTTGGCCATGGAGGTTGGGATTGGACAGGAGCAGAATTTCCAGCTCCTACTGGAAACCCAGTTGAAGTAAATGTTGATGAACTTTGCACTGAAGCTTGTTGATTTTGTTTCAGTGTTGATTGAACTGGCTGATGTTGACTGCCAACAGGCGGCAGAGTAGATTTGCTCTGCAACGATCCAAGTGGTCTTGGCTCAACTGTAGTTTGGGACACAACAGATGGTGGAACAATAGCTGATGAGACAGATGAGCTGCCAGCAGATGACGTAGGTACCAGAGAATTTTGCTTTGAATGAGATACCAAGTCAGGTGCAAACCCATTTCCTGAAACAACCGATGCCTTAGGATCCTTAGCTCCCACCTGGTAGGATGGCAAGGTTGGATTATGTAGTGCTGGTGCAGCAGGGTGAGTCAGCCCAGTGGTTGCCTGCGGTCTAGGTTGTGCAGAGGGTGTCAATCCTGATGGTGCCAGCCCAAATACATCCCGAGATGTGGAAGAGGAAGAAGTAATTCCTCCATCAGAAACTTGAGAAACTCCCACTGGAGTGCCACCTGTCCTTCCACCGAGCCAATCAGTGGAGATGTTTGAACTTAAAGGACGAGAAGCTGCCATGGTACCTACCCCAGGAATCCCTTGACTTGCAATACCATGCTGTGGATGCAAGGCAGTACCTGGAGGCATGGGTCGAGGTGGTTTCATAAATTGATTTTGTTGAGATGGGAAGACATGCTGGCCCATGTTTGCATTCGCAGATACCTGTGGCCCTCTAATTCCAATATTTTGAGATACCGTTGGAGCCGCACTACTTAACTGTGGGACAGGTGTACCTGCCGCAGGATTTGGCTGAGCAGCAGGTACAGCTGCAAGATTAATCTGGGGAGCGGGAATTTTAGCTGCAGCATGACCATATAATGCTGCCTTCACAATCTCAGGAGTTAGCTCTCTCTTACTTTGTGCCACAGTCACAAGCTTAAGAGCATTATAAAACTCAGCTCGGCCAAGGAATCCGATACGATTTTGATCAGCATGCATCCATATCTAAACAAAGAACCACCAATAATGAATTTCTCGTAAAAAATAAACTAAAATATACTAACAACACAAAAGTAAGCTCGAAGAGTTGCAGAAGTGTATGTATACATATATCACATCTTCCATCTATAAGAAATTAGTAATTACTACGTGTGGACATGTTGCAGTTGTTTCCAAGTTGTCGACCCCACCACAATGCTGAGAACTGGAGAAATATTTATATGTCTCCTTCGAGAATGTTCATTACAGACCCTATTAATTCAGGAAAACCAGGAAGGAATTACTTACTGGCATTGACTCTATGGCATAAGTCCTAGATATCACACATGGTTTCAAGGTAGCCTAAGAACATGACCAGAACTCATAAACCCTCTTGGAAGCAAATACAAGCACAACTACTACAATTCACCAGACCTTCGTGAACTCATCCCAACTAACATAGAACCAAAACCCACTCAAACTAGACCCTATTAATTCAGGAAAACCAAGAAGGAATTACTTTCTGGCATTGACTCTATGGCATAAGTCCTAGATATCACACATGGTTTCAAGGTAGCCTAAGAACATGACCAGAACTCATAAACCCTCTTGGAAGCAAATACAAGCACAACTCCTACAATTCACCAGACCTTCGTGAACTCATCCCAACTAACATAGAACCAAAACCCACTCAAACTAGACCTGTACTACATTCTGTATTTCCATTTCAACATGAACCACAAATTACAAATCTTCAACTCTACATATAACTTCTCCCAACGCTCATTATAATACATTGGAAACAGATATATCAAAATTCCCTACAAGATTCTTTAATTTGGCACTCAATGATTGAATTGGATTTAAATCTGGACATTGATCTACAATACTCAAATGGAGAAGAGAAAATTCATGAAGTTGACTCTGAGTATTCAAAATCAAAACTTGTTTTGTTTACCAAGGTTCAGAATAACCCAGTAGCAAATCCGTACAGAAAACCATGTTGGAATCACACTACTTCTGACAAAATATATATACACACACACATATTGAACAAAGCAAATGATAAATAATGAATCGTAAATTCAATAATACCCAGTGTATGTCAATTAAGCAGGAAAATAGTAACGTAAAATTCAATTCTATAATTTTGTGTGGACGAATTATACACACCAGAAGACCTAATTGGATGGAGAGTAGAGAACAAGAGAAGTATTGATAGTACCTGTGCAAGGACTGGCTTGGGCAAATTGGATCCTTGAAAGAAAGAGACGGCCTCATCTCCACTGATCCGACCGTCCCGATCCAAATCTGCTCTCCGAAAATACACATCGAACAAATCCGTAATCTGCGTCTGGTTCTGCCCCGCCATATTCAAATATGTATAAAGAAAACACAAGAATTCAAATGATCTCGCAGATCGCAACTCTGTAACAGCGAGAAGAACTCTATAATCGAAGAAGGTGCGAAAGATCCGAGACGTTTAGACAAGGCAGGTTAGAGAGAGAGATTTAGTTTGAGAAATTAAAAGATGGGAATGGGTCGGTGATTTTGAGGAGAGAGAGAGAGAGGAAAGGGCAAGATGGATGACGTCAGAATTCCAATGGGTTTCGTCTGGACATCACTGCGAATCGGCTGTGGCGATTGTCATCTCTCTCTTCTTGTCTTGCAACGCTGAACTGAGAGACGCACGGCGTGTTTGCTTTATTAATTTTAAAAGGAAAATCATTATTTTTATTTTTATTTTTATTTTATTGTTGTTGACAGCGATGATAAGGACCTGTTTGGTAAATCACAAATGTAATTCAGTTCAGGTTAGAACCGGTAAGCTAAACCGACATTTCCATATAAGTGAAATTTCACGCCATGAAATATTCTCAATTGCTCGAAGCATCAAGATTAAATATATTCCGTGATGAATTATTTAATATCTTTGTAAGGATAAAACTATTACGTTATTATTATAATTATATTTTTATTCTATGTGATTCAAAAAAATAAAATTAAAATCTTGAATGCCTCGAAATGTGTATATTATTTTCACAAACATTGGACATGGCTACTCCTGATATATTTGTAAGACTTTATAAATGTATGGAGAGTGTTAATTAAGTCACAAATAATCAAATTTATTTTAATATTATGGACATATATAAATGAAATTTTAGATATCCTTTCAACTAGTGTGTATGAAGTCAGTGTCAGATTATCTAGGGAAATGTTCGTACTTTCTAGATAGACAAGGATTACTGAATTTGAGAATCTATTGCAAACTGATTTTAGTTTTGGGATGATACAATTTTGCCTCCTGTTTTTTTCTTTTTTTCTAACTGAGAACACTGGAATCTAATTTATGTAATCACCTTTTATTTTTTTATTTTTTTGGATCCTAATTGATTAAGTTTTTGATATACACACGCACATGCATTTTAACAATATATGCATAGGTCTATTGAAAGTTATATTCTAAGGGCCCGTTTAGTATGCGTTTTGTTTTTGGTATTATGTTTTTGGTGTTTTGTTTTTGTTGTAGGATTTTTTGGAACAAATTCGAAAGTGCGTTTAAGAACTATACTTTGCTGTAGATATGTCAAAAACAAAAACATGTAAAACATATTTGGACACACAAATATATATATATATATATATATATATTTATATATATATATAAATTAATTTTTGCAAGGGTAGCAGACCCATCTCTCTCTCAAAAATCACTCTGCAACTCTCTCTTTTCATTGACTGGTAGTCTTCCATCTTGGGTGTTTAAAATGGGTTTACAGAGTGTGTTGCTTTCGGGGAACAGATTGAGTGGGGATATGGACAGTTTATTTTCTTCCTCGAAGAATAGCTTGAATGGAGGGCTTCAGGTCTTGGACTTATCCCACAATGGTTTAACTGGTGAAATTCCCTCTGCTATTGGGGATTTTGGTGGCTTGAAGTTCTTAAATTTGTCTAGAAACTCGCTTATAGGTGGTATTCCAGCAAATATTAGAGAATTAAAGGCCTTGGATGTTATTGATTTGAGCAAAAATCAGCTGACTGGAAGCATTCCATTGGAAATTGCTTTTGAGGTTGATTGATTTCAGTGAGAATTCCTTTTCTGGGAGTCTTCCAAACATGTATGAAGAAAGAAGACGACCGGTGATGAAGCTAGGGACACAACACAGGGCGACGATGGCAAGGAAACTCCGGCGATAGCAAAGAATGAGATCGCGGCACGAAGAAACAGATAAACTCTGGTAATAATAGGTTTTGATTCTTGCAGACAGATAGATAAACTAAAATAAATGGGTTTTGAACTTCTAATTCTTGTAGATTTGGGCGAGTTCAGAGTAGAAAACGAGAATAGAGATGAAGGCGATTAGAAATCGCCCTTGAATCGTAGAGAGAGTATCGGGAGAGGAGAGAGAAAATTTGTGCAAAAATGACCTAAAATGTTTATATAGCTGAAACAAATTGGGCAGACTGTTTCATCCGCTACAGTGCTTTTTATTGGGCTACAGTGTTGAAACAACAAGAAACACCAAATTGGTGTTTCACCTTTGGGCCAAAATTTGGTACTGTTTAAAACAAAACAAGTGCTATCGAACATGTTTTTAGGCCTGAAATGAAGCCCTGTAACAAAAACACCAAAGTAAAACACCAACCAAACAGGCCCTAAAACTTAGATATGTTTGATTAAGCCTTTTGAAGTATCAGGTTTCATAATAAAGTATTCTTAGGTATAAATAATTTATTACAGGTCAAGTCCACAGACACAATCTTAATTTTACCAGATCTGTGTGAGAGCCCTTGCAAAGATCCCGTAAATTAATGAGGGCAAAATCTTAAACACCCATATTATATATATTCTCAAACGGATAATACTTTAGTCTTGCCCCATCAAAGCATACTACGTCCTGCACACTAACGTGTCCCAATAAGAGGTTGACACAATTTTTAAATTTAAAAAAATACAAAACATGGTTTATACCAATTTTTTAGGTTTAAACCCCACAAATATATATATACGTGTGTGTGTGTGTGTTTGTGTGTTTTCCCTCTCTTTACTCCCATTTATGTATCTCACTCACATAGTCATCCACACCTTTTATTTTTCCTTGGATCCGGTGCCAATCATTTCAAATTATAATATTTCCTAAGAGACCTCCACTTTTTAGAATAATAAAAATTCTTTTAATTCTAAAATAGTTCCAAGCAGTTTTTTAGAATTATATATATATATATATATATATAAAGTGAAATAGTTTTAAAATTACTCAACTTTGAATAAAAAGTGTTACGTTTGGTGTGCAAGAATGAAATGAAATGCAAGTGAGAATGGAATGAGAATGGGAATGGAATGGTCATTCTCATTCTATTGTTTGATTGTAAATATGAAACGTGTAGGAATGAAATGATAATAACTATTATAGTGTTTGGTTGGACCAATTTAAAATTTAGAATGGAATAAATTTGTAATTGAATTCTCCAAAATATCCCTCTTAGTAACAATTAAATTAAATTAAATTAACAAAATGATATTCTTTAATAATTTTTTTTAAATAAATGATGGTTGGTGGAAAGCGGTAGTAGTGTAGGTGGTGGTGTTGGAAGGCGGCGGTGGTGGCAATGGTGGAAATTAGCAGCAGCAGTGGTGGTGGAAGGTGGTGGTGGTGGTGGAAGGTGGTGGCGGTGGTGGTGGTGGTGGAAGGCGATGGCGGTGGCGGTAGTGGTGGCGGTAGTGCTGGTGAAAGGTGGTGCTGGTGATGGAAGGTGGTAGAAGGCGACGGCAGTGATGAAAAGAGATGGCAGCTTTGTTAGTGGTTGTGGAAGGCGGCGGCAGCGGTGGTGAAAGGTGGCTGTGGCGATGGTGGTGGCGGGGGGCTGTGGTGGTGGCGGTGGTGGTAGTAGTGAAAGGCAGTAGCAGTGGTGGTAGTAGAAGGTGATGGCAGTAGTGAAAGACGATGGCGGCGGTGGTGGTGGAAGGTGGTGAAAGGCAATGGCAATGGTGGTGGTGGTAGCGGTGGTGAAAGGCGACGGTGGTGGTTGCGGTAAATGGTGGCAGTAGCGATGGTGAAAGACGGTGGCGATAATGGCGGCGGTGGTGGTAGTGAAAGGCAATAGCAGTGGCGGTGGTGGCAGTGGTGAAAGACGATGGCGGTGGTGGTGGTGGAAAGTGGTGGACGATGGTGGAAGTTGGTGGTGGTGGAAGGCAGTGGTAGTGGTGGTAGTGGTGAAAGGTGGAGATAGTTGTGAACTTGGAATATGAGGGTGTTCTGGGAAGTCGATTTTTTAAAATAAATTACTTGGGAAATGGAATACCCATTCTATAGGTTTAGTTATGGAATAGATTTTCATTCCAATGGAATGGCCATTTTCACTTTAAATTGCATACCAAACAAAGTAATTGTTGGAATGGACATTTCATTCCATTCCTCCACACCAAACGTAGCATGAATGTATTTTATTTTAATTCTGTTTCTATAGAACAACCCGTAGAAATTTGTCTTCCTACCTTTTTCTGCTATTTTTAATTTTCTTAAAATAAAAAACTATTCATAAAAAATTGAACTAACCATTTATATTTCTTCATTTCCAAAATCTACCTCAATTATTTTTTATGCATGTTATATATAAAAGTTATTCATTTTTTCACTCAATTCTACAAAAGGAATGATTGGCCGTTGGAGCTAAGGAAAAATAAAGATGCAGATGAATATATGAGTGAGATACACAGATAGATGCAAAGAGAGGAAAAATATAGATGGGTTTAATCATAAAAAATGAATATAACCCATATTTTGTATTTTTTTAAGTTTAAAAGAGTTGTCAACTTACTTTTTTTTTTTTTCTAAAGTGGGAATTGTAACTATTTGCCCTTTGGACTTGTAGTTATGAGGTAAACTCCTGGTTACTCATCCCGACCTCACAATGCAAATAATATGTAAGTCAGGAACTTGCAATATTGGAGGAGAATCGAACCCACACCCAACTTTGGTGGCGACTAAAGTATCATCCTTCGCCAATCCAACAAAAAAATATACTCGGTCTCCGTATATACAAGTATACAACGTCCATAAATGATATTCGATCAGCCCAATACTTAATTGGAAACACAGTAGATGAAACATTAATACTGTACTCATCTACGAGTACAATTATGTATTCTTCCGGTACAACATCACATTGCTTCCAGCTCCTGACGTTGCTTATTTTTCGAAAATAACCCATCTTTTCTTTTTCTTTTTGTGTAGAGTCCGATTATGTACCAATTTGTGGTCCACATAAGACTAAGTAGCATAGATTATAAGGACTTCAAAGTCTTTTCTTAGAGTTGTCTGATAAGATTGAAGACTAGTAAAGAAGTTTCGTCTCCCATGACTCAATCATGATTCAAGACATCTTGTTTATATCCTAACAATCAATTTGTTGAACGGAATCTGCCAACAATACAATAATGAATTCAACAGACTCGTATTTATAATGAGCGATGCTATGTTACTTGAAAATTTACAGTGACTAAAAAAAACTATCTCAATATAATCAAAGTATATTACAGAAAATATTTTATGTATTTTTTAGTATTTGATTGTCGTAAAGAAAAAATATGAGAATGAACTTGATTTTAATTTGGACTCACACATTTATCAAACGCCAAAAGATAATATATATATATATATATATATATATATATAATCTTAAAAAAGGAAATTAAGAGGAGCCTAAATAAAACGATCACAATATAATCAAGGGTTAAATGCTCCGCGACTCCCTCAGGTTTTTAGTTTATTATTTTTGTATTAAACCTCAGCCAATATTGCTCTCACACCCCTTCTTAAAGTTAAAAAAATGTAAGTTTACTATTATACCCTTTGCTTTATTTCACTATCAAAATTATATATTACTGATATGTATAAGCAAATTGTGAAATGACAATATTACCACCCTACACCTCCACTTTCTCTCTCATCATCTCATCTCTCACTCCTCCGACCACCCACGTCTATCTTCCCCTCCCGACACAGACCTTGTCCGCTCCTTATGCTCCCCGTTGGCAAAGCCAGTCAAGAGGATCTCTGTCATTTGTTCGCCAAGCCTGGCCCACAGGCGATCGATTCTTGCACGAAGTAGCAGAGATGGAGAGATTGGATTTAATTAAGGTTCCGTTTTTAGGTTTCAAAGAAATCAATGTGAATTTAATCGATTTATATGGTCAAACGCCTCTCCATGATGATGACGGTGAAGGACGGGCCTGGAAGTGCTCGGATTGAGCAAGAAGAAACCCAGACCCGAACGGTCGAACCACGACGAGCATAACGTTGAGCGGCGATGCTCAGCTAGATTCCCTCAGCGGCGATGAGCAAGGTGAGCTCGGTTGTTGACGGCGCTTCAATCCATATCACATTGAAATTATCATAAAAAAATTATGTTACAATAGAATCATCCATATATTGCTAGGTCATTTGCTAGATAACTATTGAAGATGAACATACTAATTAATTAAGCATAGAAAACCATACCCACTACTGAAATATATATATATATTTATTTATTTTTTATTCTTCATCTGAAATTCATTGACTTCATGTTCATAATACGGTTTCACCTGAGAATTAGCTGCTGCTGCATTATTCCGGGGTGTATTATGGTCGTGATCATAATACAGTTTCACCTGAGAAATTTTAAGTTATTTTGATACCAAAATTTTATGGTCATGATCATAATACGGTTTCACCTCAAATTTATTTATTTATTTTTTATTTTTAATGATACCTTAGAAATTTCATAATTCTACTATACTCGCCTTGAAAAACATTTATTTGAGACTGTTTGATTTTTAGTCACGCCCATGGCTAATGGTAGGGGGTTTAGTGGTGGTAATGATGTTCACTGTTGCTTGAGCCGTTATCTATCCATGTAGAAAGGGTGCCACCCTAAGGAATACTTGTAAACAGGTTGAATGCGTGCTCTATTGTAGGGATCTGACCCCACCAGTCTGGTAGACGAGGCTTTGGAAGACGAAGATGTATAGACCTGGATGGAATAGGGGAAGTTACAGAAGAAAGAGAGGAGACCAGTTGAGGGTAAAAAGGTCTAACAATTTAAGAATAAAAATGTATTTGGAATAATGAAGGGTAATTTAGGTATTTTATTTTTTCACTTTAAAAAGAGGGGTGTCAAAGCAAATTATATCAAACCTCGTAAGGTGTATTAGTAACTTTTGATCAGGTTTAATATGAAAACAATAAATTAAAACTTGAGGGGGTGTGTGAGCGTTTAACCCTACAATTAAAGTATATTACTGAAAACTTTAGGTGTTAAAGTTTTTAAATGGAAATAATTTTTTTTTTAAAAAGTAATAATTAAAAAAAAAAATTTAGTATTAAGTGAGGTCGATGTCACAAAAATTTTACCTCATATTAAATGTAACTTACCATTTTAGATGATTTTCAAATTGTGTGGAAGTTTATAATTAAGTGTGGAATTAGATTATAAAAAAATAGTTCAACGTGATGTAAATTCCTTAATACTGCTCACATTTTATTTGTACTAAAAAATCATTATAGCTAAAACATAAATTCTCATAAAAAAATCATAAATTAGCATCATCTAAAGTAACAATCCCATAATCATAAAAATATATTATAATAAAACTCCAATAAAAAATTGCGACATTCAAAACTTCATTTTGTTTCAGCGGAAAATGTTTTTCTTAAAAACTATATATTTTTTTAAATAAAATATTTTTTATTTTTATTTTTCGGTATTAAGCAAAGATTTAGGTTGAGTTCATCGGGGTGTGTGAAATCGATGCGTGTAAAATAACTTGATCCAAAATTAATAAATAAATTATTTTAATTATATTTTTTTGTAAATATTTTATAACAACCAACACCAAAATATATATATATATATATATATATTACATCAGGAGATAATTTTGTTTAAAAAAAAAAAAAAAAATTGCAGATACACACAATTAGTACATGTATCAGTCTTGTCTTAAGTTCTTAGCCCCAATTTTTATCAAATAACACAGTGGATCGTAATTGTTGTGATTTAGACGAGACAGGACACAATAAAATTCAATTAATCCTAACTATAACAATTATTAGCATATATCTTTATATCTTAAATGTTAAGATTTATTTATCTGGTGCGTGTTATTTAATGGGCAGTTGGCTGTGGCATATCAGATCTCGCCACATTGATTAGTCCACCTCACCAAACCTCCCAGAGCCACAGGGACAAAACCGGAAAGATATACAATTTCAAAAAGAAGTTGCTTTTCAATTACCAAAAATGAAAATGAAAATGAAAATGAAAATAGAGAGAGAAGAGAAGAGAAGAAAAGGAGAGAAAAGTGGAGAGTCTCTTGTATTGAAAGCCACAAAGGAAAATAACATTCTCCTGAGGAAGTTTGTCTCCAAATCTCTGCGGATACATACACACGCTTTCTCTCTCTACAAACCCAAATCAAACAACAAGAGGACCACAACCGCGATTCACTGAAAGCCCAACTCGGAATCAAGAATCAAAGATCAGAATCAGAGGAAGGAAGAGAGAGACAGAGAGAAAAGAGATCATCACCATGTCGTGTTCTTCGTCATCTGGGTCCGAGGAAGAGGACGAGGGCATCGACTCTTACAGGAAAGGAGGATATCACGCAGTCAGAATCGGCGATTCGTTCGCCGGCGGCCGATACATCGCCCAGAGGAAGCTGGGTTGGGGCCAGTTCTCCACCGTCTGGCTCGCTTACGACACTCAGTCCTCCGTATGTTCTCTCTCTTCGATTTCCTTTTTTACGATCTGAGATTTCTTGTTTTAATATGTCTTTTTTATTTCATTTCTGAAAGATTTTATATTTGGATTTATTCCTGAACCCGAATGTTTATTATCATCAATTCATTATTATATATAAATGATGATTATTAGTATGCGTGCTCGGAATATTAGTCAATGATTGTTTTATTTCATTACTCTTAATTAAGAAATAAATATCTTTTGTTGTTTATTATTGCTATATTCAGTTGTTTCTTTGAATTTTTGCTTATTTACTTCATTTATGAAAAATGGGTTATAGTTGACAGAGCTAATTTGAATGATTAAGTTTCTGATCAAGATTCTTGGACTATCTATTTGGATAAATTATTAGTGTTTTTTTTTCCCCTCATTTGATCTGATATTAGTAAATGTTTAAAATATTAAAACTTTGAAGAATAATAAATGAATGATATTATATTGACCTCTAACTTCCGGTTTTGGATGGTGATGCGAATCATGTAACTTTTTGGTAGGATTGACATTACAAATCATGATCTTTAGATACAGGACCTAAAATGTTTCTTGTAGTCATAGTTAGTTTATCCATTTTATATATAAAGACATGTGCAGAGTTGTACAAGTCAAACCCTCATCGAAAATACATGTCAAGATACCTTCAATTTACTTTACAACCAGGATACAGGCTTGCGGAACCCTTTCATTTTTTATTTTTCTTTCTTTCTGTTTAATCTTCTATTTTCTCCGATCTCACAAGCTAGTTTATGTAAGTCTAGGGAAGAGAATTCATAATATACCAGTCTCAGTCTTGGTGAGCTGCATCTGGGATGGGGGATTATCTACTTGTCTAGTGGGCTAATAAGTGTGATATCCCATTGGTGTTCCAGTGTTCCTTGAATTTTCCTAGCACTTCAGAGTTCTATCTTGGATAATTTTGTTGGCTCTTTTAGTAAATGGTGCTGTATCAGGTTTGTTTCAGAGCCTTCGGGGGAAATTGGCATGTTCTACAAGCTGTATATACAAGAACCGTCGTTGGAATCCAATACGACCATGTGATGTCTCATAGGACAAATTAAGCATATAAGGGCTTATTTATGTAGAGAATTAATTCACAATACATATGAGATTACAAACATATGTATATACACACACACACATATATACATACGTATGTATTTATTTATGTAGGCATCTTATGGAATTTGAATAGCTTAATTGCATAATTTTCATGGGTAAAGTTTGCAATTGTGTTTGGAGACTTCAGGTAAAAAGAAAACTGAAGTTCTGATAATGACCGAAGTTATGGAAACAATATCTGGTTTATTGATTTAGCCAGTTTTAATTTTCATGACCATTTTATAGAGGACCATCTTTTCCTGTAATTGCTCCATTATATATATATATATATATATCAGGTAAGTACTCACACACATTTCCCACGCTGGGGCTCGAACCCTCCCCTCCTCTTTTTGAGGATAGGGGGTTAAACGATTGGGCTAATGGCCCATTGGTCGTATGATAAATTTCTATGGTTGCACAGCTATTAAAATTACAAAAGTTGCATCGAGTGTCCATGCACTTCCATATTAAGAAGTGATTGTTGCTACCTTTAGTCTGAAGAAGCCATGTTTAGTTTGTTGCTGTCTTTGAAATGGGTGATTTTTTGTTTACAGCTAAACATCTCTCGTCTATGCTATATTCCTTAAAATTATAAAACAAAATCTGGCTGATCTCTAGTTGAGCAGCCATTTGATTGAAATAAGTCATTTGTTTTTAGTGCCAAATACCCAATTTCTGCTGGTATTTTCCAGGAAATGCTCATTTAAAAATGGGACACCTGTGACCTGTCAGGCCAGTGATATTTAGTCTCTCAATGAGCATCTCGTTATCTAGCAGATTCTTTGATGGTACTGCTATTATGTCCTACTTATTAAAATAAATAAATTAATTGTAACTTATTTTTTGAAGTACATCAGTTCTTACAATGTAGTTTTTTCCTTTTCACAGGGATACGTCGCTCTTAAGATCCAGAAAAGTGCACCGCAATTTGCTCAAGCTGCTCTCCATGAAATTGAAGTCCTTTCTGCTATTGCAGATGCTGACCCTTCCAGTAGTAAGTGTGTTGTACGATTGGTTGACCACTTTAAGCATACAGGCCCAAATGGACAGCATTTGTGCACGGTCCTTGAATTTCTTGGTGACAGCTTACTTCGGCTGATCAGATATAACCGTTACAGAGGCCTTGAGTTGAATAAAGTTAGGGAGATATGCAAATGTATATTGACTGGTCTGGATTATTTGCATAGAGAACTTGGAATAATTCACACGGACTTGAAGCCCGAAAATATACTTCTTGTTTCCACCATTGATCCTGCCAAAGATCCAGTCAGGACTGGGCTCACCCCAATTCTAGAAAAGCCTGAGGGGAATCCAAACGGTGGAGTTACCATAAATAGTATTGAGAAAAAACTAAAGAGGAGGGCAAGGAGAGCAGTGGCTAGGATAGCACAAAGACGCGCTTCAATGGGAGGGACACCAAAGGCTGAGAGGAGCCTGAATGGGATTGATGTGAACTGCAAGGTTGTGGATTTTGGAAATGCATGTTGGGCTGATAAACAGTTTGCAGAGGAAATTCAAACAAGACAGTATAGAGCTCCTGAAGTTATTCTCGGTACTGGGTACTCCTCCTCTGTTGATATGTGGTCATTTGCTTGCACAGCCTTTGAGCTAGCTACCGGTGAGATGCTGTTTACTCCCAAGGGCGGGCAAGGTTTCAGCGAGGACGAGGTTAGATGGTTTTTGCTATTTGTAGCTCTGTTTAATGAATTACAACATGGCATAATATCGATTATTTGCTGTAGATGCATATACACCAACCATCCTAAATATTGATATAGCTTTTGTCTATGCATATTGGAAGATAGAATGTGGGCTTGGAAAGAACAAAACAAATAGCAAGTAAATGATAAATGATAAGAAAATGCAATACTCAAAATATGTTCATCTTAAACTGTCATCAAAGTTCCGACATTCTCCACGTAAGCAATAAATCATTATTGTAAAGGAATTGTTCATTGGGTTGGTTGCAGGATCACCTTGCTCTAATGATGGAACTCCTTGGGAAGATGCCTCGGAAGGTGAGTTCGTCATCCCTCTCTTATTGCTCTTTTAACCATGTCTTATACCCCTTCTTTATATTTTTTTGGTAAACAGATCGCCATTGGTGGGGCTCAATCCAAAGATTACTTTGACAGACATGGGGATCTGAAGAGGATCCGGAGGCTGAAATACTGGTCACTTGATCGATTACTGATTGATAAATACAAATTTTCTGATGTTGATGCTCGTGAGTTTGCAGAGTTCCTGTGTCCCCTTCTCGATTTTGCACCAGAGAAGCGACCGACTGCTGAGCAGTGTTTGCAACACCCATGGCTCAGTATCAGTGATGTAAACAAGAATGAGCTGAAGAGTGAATCTAGTATGGAAAAGGTGGATGTGGGGATGAGCAGCCTTCAGATTAAGGTGGGTAAGTGAGGAAGGGAATTAAGGTTTTGTTGTGCAACACCTCCTTTACGTCCCTCTCTCCACCTGTATGTGTTTTCTTAACAATTTATTTTTTGGCTTGTTCACGTCTTAATAAAATCTGATTTTTTTTATTAACTAAGATGTAAATTAGTGAATGATTATTTTGAAGAAATGACATCAGCAAAGGAAATTTGACATCTAGATTGGATGGTCTAGCTTGTGTGCATTTGCCAGAAATGTACATTTCTGTCTTCAGGATAGATGTCTAAATTGATAATGAAATTATGTATGTGGACCTATTGCCATCACAGAAAGATTGCAAATAAATATTGTGGGCACACCCTTTTGATGGCAGCATTTGAGCTTTATATGTGAGGACCATGGTTTCTTTTCTTCTTTTTTTCCCCCACCATTTTCATAGAGCAGTTTTGTAAAGATTGTTACTCTGTATTTGTTTTTCAGAAAACTAAACCAAGTCGAATAATGTCGTTGTAGAGGATAAATTATTAACACAAAGTTGATATATTTGCTTACGTGTTAGTTGGTGATTGGTCTGGGGACCATGTAATAATTTTTGGTTCATTGCGTTTGCAAATGTGCAACCCCTGAGAGGCAATTGTTAACTTTGCTTCCAAGTCTTGCTTTGTTTGAAGCAACATGATGAACTAACGATTGTTGTAGCTGAAAAAGGTTTAACCTCCCAGCATGATGAGCTTGCGACTGAAACTAAATGGGTAAAGAAATGTTTCTTTAGTTGTGTATTGAAGTATCTATTTTTTAGTACTAGTCCGAGGGTGGAAAGTGGCATGTGATATCATGAGACAGAAAGCAACAGCTGCACGGAAAAGTAAACAGCACTGAGGGACTGCACGAGCCAACTTGTACTGAAATGGTCATTTTTAGGAGAAATTTTAAAATGTAGGGTCAGTTTCAAATTTTTTTTTTTTCCAAACCTACTATACATAAATACATATTTTTGTTACTTACATATATTTATATGGTAATTTTAAATAGTGCCTGCCTAAAATTTTCAAGTTATTCTTCTTTTTTTTTTAAAAAAAGTTACATATATCCCCCTTCTTTAACTACACCATATATTTTTCCTTTTCAAAAAAATTCTTCTAATTTTTATTTCCTTTTTCAAAAAATTTCTTTTTTCACTTACATATAATTATGTATTGTACCATTTTTTCATTTTCTTTCTTTTTTTCGATGACATTTGTGATTGTATTTAATTAAAATATTATTAATTAATATTTTGATTCTTATATTTGTCAAGTATAAATTTTTTTTTACAGTACTTATTTAACATATTATTTTGCAAACTTTTTTTTTCCTCTCTTGAAATAAAATCTTAGCTCCGCCCCTGTTACCAAACCCAGTAACTAATTATCAAATGGATATAGAAGAACTAATATCTCTATTTTTTTATGATTTTTTGTTTTTTTTTTTTTTTTGGTTCCCTGTAAACTAGGGAGGGGTTGAACACGGTATAATACCCCTAATTTTAGAAAGAATAGTCTAGGTATTTTAATTAATGATTTTTGGATTTTATCGCATTGTGATTTAATTATGTGACTTATTTGCTTATCTACTTAATTGATTATTTGTGAATATTTAAGTTGATTGTTTAATAATAAATTGTTTATCTGTTTTACTTTAATTGTTTAATTATGATTTAATTTAATTATTTGATTAATTGGTGATTTAAATGACGTGTGTTTTATATGGCTTATTTGGTATATATTTTATATGGTCGTGTATATAGTTTAGGATTAGGGTTTTTCTTATTATGGTGATAGATTAGCCGACTTGTGATTTAAGGAGAATTAGAAGTAGGTATAATAAAGGCCTATATATATAGAGCAATATATGTCTGCTATGGTTGGAAAACCCTATTCACGTGAATGTTTCTTGAAAGGAAAAAGATAGGCATGTGGTGATTTTTGAGAGGAAAAAACAGAGGGGAGCTTGTGATGTTTCCAATTTTATTGGATTTTTTCATTTTTCTGAAATTTTGTCGTTGCAAGGGCATTTTCGTCTTTTTTCATTTTGTGAATCGGACATTGCAAAGTGTACCGGTTATGTCTAAGAGTTGTTTCGAGCATTTCATTGAGTTCAGGACTCTTTGAAATGTAAGGGTGATCATTTTGCCATTTTTCAATTTTTTGGGCCAGACGGTCTCGTGTGGGACCCGCGACTGGGTTTGTCGAGTACGAGGATTTTAGTTGAGTTCATTTGCATCATACACATTTTTTATTGATGTATTCTATGTGAATGTAAATTATCACATGTGTATATATGTTATGTGTGGTATGAAATGAGGACAAAAGAAAAAGAGAAAATAAAAAGAAAATTGGTGGGACCCACCACCACCACCTTAAAGGCTTTGAGACCACATTTGGTCTCTATTCTCATTCTTCCCGCTGGTTCTCTCTCCCTCTTCCTTAGCTTCATTTTTTCTTTTTCTTTTTTGCTTCCAACTTCAATCCTAGATCTCTTTCTCAATACTTAGTATTTTTAAGAATCGTTTGCGGCAAATCGAAGCCCACGACGAGGCCTATGAGCTGATCGGAGCCAATCTTCATTTGGCCATCATTTGGAGGATCTCTAATCCTAGGGTTTGAGGTGAAAAAATGGGGGGTTTTGCATCATTTTAAGGTAGGGGTCTCTAATGCTCAAAGTCTTGTCCCTTTGTGAGTTTCCTTATTTTAATTGTTGCCAATCATGCTATATTTGAATTGAATATCTCTTAAATGACCTTAATTGTGTATGTGAACCATGCTATTATGTGTATTTGTTATCTTACATGGAAAGTATGCCTAATTCTTGATCTTCCATGCTTGTTTGTTTATTAAATTGTTAAAGATTGTTATGAGGAAGCATGCTAGTTATGTAACATTATTTTTCCCCAAAATTTTATGGTATCAAGAAGGGCGTGTAACATGCATTCAAAGCAAGGGGCATGAAAAAGGGTAAAATGATTTGAAAAAGATGAAGGAAAGGGATTTTTGGGAAGAATTTTGGATAATTGGTTTTTGAGAAAACCAGGTCGCCGCGGAGTCACCAAAGGGCCGGTGTGTTAATATAGCCTAGAGGGAATTAGGGAGATTGCCTTAGTGTGGTTGAGCTATCTGGGCCCAAAATGACGCTGTGGAGGTACCAAAGGTTAGGGACAGTAGCCAATCCTTCTCTTGTGTCGCTGTAAAGTCACCAAAGGGCGGATTATATTAACAGTTTGTGAAGTGATGGATTTTTCTGAAAATGGGGAGTGACATGCATAACATTGCATTCACGGAATAACATTTAATTATTTTGAACTTGGGATTGATGTGGTATTTTTACACTATTTTGTATGACCCCGTCTCTATTGACCCATTCACTATTTGGATTCACGGGGTTACAAGAGGTATGTCTTAGGCACCACCTACTGAGCTTTACGCTCACCCCATTATTTAACATTTTTCAAGACTCAGAAAAAAGGTAGTGGGCGCCGACCTTCCACAAGCATAAGGATGACTAGGAGTTATTTTGTAACTTTTGTATATTTCCCATTATTGTAAAGCCCCATGCTTTTGAAAAATGTAATTATTTTGGTAGAACATGTTCATGTAATATAATTAAGATACTTGATGATTTATAGATGTAAATTCAATAGCATGTAAACACTTATTGATGAATGGGAAGGGTAATCATATTTGAATCTGTTATTGAGGTCCTTTAACTGTGTATTATCGTATATTGATGCCGTGATTTAAGGAAGGGGTTACAAGACAGGTTTGGTTTGAGCTAAAGGGGTAGTAGACACACTTAGTGATCATTCTAGTGAGGTACAGGGTCCAGAGTCATGTTTCGGCCGGCTGATCCTCACCACTAGCTTATCGAAACCCCAGGCTCGGCCGACCGAACCCTATCATCAGCCGACTGAAACGCCTACAGTGAAAGTCTAGAGAGCCTATAATCTTCATCACTATTTCGGCCGACCGACCATGTAGGTCAGCCAGCCGTTCATGCCTTGACAGCCGGCCGATGAAGGCCTATTAGCCGGCTAATCATCCCTTTTGACCTGTATTGTTTGATTATCTTTGTAAGAATGTATTCTACTATACTTTGGAAACTCAAAATTGATTCCTATGGCTGACGTGGACACTAGAACTTGGTGGTAGAACTCAGTTGACCTCGGGTCAGGGCAAAGACCCTGGTAACGGTCCGGACCCACGGGTTCGAGTTGTTACAGAGCTTGAGAGGAAACTGTGAAAACCAGTTAGGATTTCAGCCATGGACTAAGGGTTAGACCAAGGAGGAAAGAATGGATGGTTTGGGGGACTGAACCTGAGCAGTAGAAGGTTTACCGTTAGTAGCAGTCGTCGGAGAATTTAGAGACGACGTTAAAAGGGTTTCAAACCGAAACCTAAAGGCAAGTCTATCTCTTTCCTGTAAACTTGTGTTCTGTGCATTCTATGTAGTCTCCAGGAATCTAATTAAATTTTAAAACGGATGGTTATGCATGATAGATAGACTGATAACTGTTTTTAGTTCTATAACTGCAATTGTTCCTCTTGCATAACCTATTTTGGTTTGGTTTTAAACTTTGGTAAAATAAATCATAAGTGAATGATAGGAGTTTCTAGGACTGTTTGGATTTAACTTGGACCCTAAAAAGTTTATAAAGAATTCGGCCAGTGACTGGAAATTTCGCCGGAAGCGAAGAAGAAGACCAAAGACGGAGGAGCAGGCTCTCAGGGAGAGAGAGCCGGCTCCTTTGAAAAAAAACCCCTACGGGGTGTTTTGCGACATTTTTCTGCTCACAGGGGCTTAAATGTAGTTTCTGAAAAGTGAAGGGGGTTTTAAATGTTTAAAAATTAACCTATTAAAAACTTAAAACAATTGATTTATGCTAGGGTGCTAATCCTAAAGGGCATCATGAAACATAAACGGATGATAGGCATGCTGTCAAGGAAGGAAGAATGTTTAAATTGCTAGTTTGCTTTAGGAATTTAAATGGACTGGTGTTCAATTATTTATAGGATGTTATATGAATAATATATATATATAATTTAATGAAGGCCAAGAAGGTTGGTTTACTAGGTTAATGGACTTCATGGCATTTTATAATAGTTTGCATGTAGTCACGGAACATGGAAGATATTTCTAGTGATCGTTGTAATAAATTAAACGGACTAATAGGAATGTATTTTAGGATTGGAGTGTAGGTGCTCTGTATATACTTTTGAGCATCAATATATCTTGCTTTGGATTCATAATTGAGAATTTAATGAATATCATGAAATTTATATAATAAGTTGCATGCTGTTAAGGATTGTGGAGGGTTTAAACTACTGGTCTTGTTTAACAAATTTAATGGACTGGTATGATAGTATCTTTGGGATTTTGCTTTGATATGCTCAGCTAATACTGTTGATTATCATTATAACATGCTACGGATGTAAATTGATGAACTGTTATATTTTTTGTTTTGTCAAGTGGATGGATATGGATAGTTTAAATTGTTTATCAATACTTTAGCAATTTAAACGGAAGTTCTATGATTATAATCAGATACTGGATGCATGATAGGATCTTATCAATATCTGATTTTTATTATGTTGGTTTCTGGATATACTTGATGTTCATTTGAGTGTGCATCATTTATAGATCATATGCATGATATGCACCGGTATGGGACGGTGGCATATCAGAGATTGATTAGATCAAAAAGCTAAGTTCTACCTCTTCATACATACGGAATGGATTAACTAAAACAGTTAAATCCTACATGGATGTATGTCCTGTCAACTAAAACAGTTGAACGACATAACAGATGGTTGTTTATTTTTCTATATTAGGAAAGATTTATATATATACCTATGATACTGTGATATGAGCTTGAGTATCAGGATCATGGTCAGGGTGCGTATATCACAAAGGTTAGGTAACTAGATATAACTGATGTTCCTTGGTAGGTTTAGGTACATGGCCGTTGGAAAGTGTGATTTACATGTTACCTTCTACTCAGGCTGAACTACACTATAGGCTAACGAACATCCTTTAGTGTGTATCTATATATATATATGAACTATTTTAGTTATTGCCGTGCTGTCTATAATGTATCTGCGTATCTGGTTTATATATGGATTGTTGTAGGATGAAACTTGCATGTGGGCCTGACCCACTCTTATTTTTCAGGTGTTCGTCAGTACCAGGCTTAGAGCTTAATCGTGATGAAGCAGGTATAGTCATTCACTCTTCCGACTACATATGATTTCCTTTCTTATTTTAGTTTTGGATTTTAGATTTTGTAATTATTATTCATTTCGGATTATTAGGGGTCCACTGATGGATTCCCGAGTTGTAAGGATTGAAAAATTAAATTAAGTAAAACTATAATATTTTTATTTGGAGGATTTTCGTATTTAGAATTATTTTCAGCTTATTATTTTATTTTTAATTCTTTTGTACTCTTACTTGTTTACATGTTAATTGTTTGGTATCTCTTGGATCTGTGCTCAGATTTGATCACCCGTGGCTCTAGAATCGAGGGGTATCACAGTTGGTATCAGAGCACTCCAGGTTCTAGTGTCCTTAGGAGTGTCTTTCGTTATATGACTTCTACGTTGCGTCTCTTAAAAAAAAAAAAAAAACTTAGGCCATATTAGGATTCGTTGTACTCTTTTACGGTTCGTTAGAAGGGGCAGATGTCAATTATATTTCATAATTATGGAATGGTTGACACTAGGAGGAGGATGGGGTCCAAGGCGACAGCGATTTGGACCGAAACGAGTAAAGGAGTACGTTATCGAGTTCTTTGTCAGAAGCAGAACTTGGGATCGAAGGTTTAGTTCTGGTTGGCATCACTTTTAGAAGTATAAGCCAAGGAAGAATTTAGGAGTGTGTTTTAGGTCACCGCATAAAGGGACCAACACGATTTCAGTTGTTCTCATAAAGGAGACAAACGAGGAATAGGAGTCCGAAGAGGATTCTAGTGGAGGAGATTTCAACATACCCAAGAAGGAGGGTATTGAATCTTGAAAATCAAGGATCGCGCGAGGGTGATTTTGCTCGCTAATAGTATAGTGAACGATATTTGTAGAGTTGGTGTGGATCGACCTACATATAGTTAACCTTTCGTATTACTTTTCAAAGAGGTAAATAAAGAGAACTCTTCAGGAGTTTAAATCGGATGGAGTTCTTATCGGAATGCAGCAATGATTTTATATCACGTTCTAGGGAGTATGGGGATTAGGTTGTGACGGTCTAAGCTACTTTATTAAGTTACATTAGACGGTTTGCATTATGCGTATAAGGAGGATGAGGGTTAAGCCTTTGGAATTTGCTGAGGCAAATGGATTTTGTTTTGAGCTATGGTTGAAGCTTAGGTTTCGAGGTTGGATGATTACCTCCGAAACTGTAAAAGGAGATTGTGAACCAATCAGGTAAAGTTGATTTCCAAAAGAGACTTTCTTTTCTGGGAGGAACGATGTTTTACGTAGGATTATATTGGGTTTTATTGTGTGTGCATTATGTGTTTCATTTTCGTCAATTATTTAGGATCGGGAATGCGGTTTAGTTAGGGACACAAGTGTGCGATCAACCAACTACCGTTTTGGAGGAATAACGTTAATTATGCTAGGATTTTGGACATGTGGTAATAGGATTTGGTAAATATACCTACCTTTAGCCAATCTAATGAACCTAGACATGCGTGGTTATAGTACGTTTTCAGGATGGGATAAGTAAACCAGCAGTTTGAGTCAAATGATATAGATTCGTTTGATACACTGTAACGCGACGATGATTTATCGGAGGAATTGACTTTGCTGAATATCTTATCAGAAATTTTAAAAAGGTGCCCAAGTTGGCAGGAGGATTTTGTACTTGTTTAAGTACTTATTGGAATGGCACCGACTGAGGTAGTAGACAGACTAACTAGTTATCAGTCAATTCTTAAGCAAGAATTTTATTCATGAGGGGGTGTCATTAGGAGGGGTTACCGGAGTCGCAGATCGAGGAGGAAGCAAAGTCTCTTCATTTGCACAAATAATATGGATTTATTTATTTATTTATTTTTTTAAAATCACAGTTCACAACAAATAGTTGTTGCTAGGTATTTGCTGACTTTTTGGAGGATGGAAAGATTCCATATTCTTTTGAAGTTAGACAGGAAGTCTAATAGACACTTACTTGGGTTAGAGAAGTATAATGTCAAGTCTTGAAGGTGAGACTGAACATATAAATATGGAAACTGGTGCTACCAGACTAACGATATTTTCGTCAGACAAATTGGAAGGAGAATGTAAGGACTGAGGTTCACAACTCTTAGTTCTTTATTTATTTTGGTAGACATATGATGCTTCACGGAATGAAGCAGATGTTTAGAAGACAGGCAGGAGGAGGGACACAGTGATTTTGTCTCAAAGTCTGATATTTAGTAGATAATCCAGATTGACGATCAGAAATCGCTAGATCCTTGCAGCCATTTCTCATACTAGAGTAGGAATGACAGTAGTTTCCACGGATATAGTTGAGAGATTACTGATTCTACACAAGGGTCAGGATTCTGGTTAGGATATTACTTGACTGATAAAAATTAAATCAGTTCCATTAATTATTTAGAACCGGTAAGATATCAGTTCATACGAATAGCACGGATCACGAGATGGCTTAGATGGATAGATGTGGTGATTCATACTTTGCGTTAAATTTTGTCTGGTGGAAATAGTAGGGAGGAGGATGATTTTATCAACCGATATGGTAATTGAACCTTCGGTGGGTATTGCGCAAACAATTGAGTTTTCGCATGTGTAAAAATAACACTTGCTATTACCAGGGAAATTAGGGAGGTCAACTTAGAATATTGAAGCTAAACCTGAAGGAGGTGGTACCCTACTCAGATGAGTTTAGGGTACTAAAGAAGGATTAGTAGTTTGTCTTAATAATGTTAGGAAGGTCGGAGTAACTGAGATGTAAAATTCATAAATTTTACGGTATAGTCAACTGGATATGAGTTGCATCACGACACACCATGTTAGTTCTGGTGAGCATTACGGATCGGGACAGGTACGTAACTGTCTCCTCGTGTATCACGTGTTAGCGTAATGGAAAGTTGATACTTGGATATCACTGGAGGTTTTAGCCACTTCCTATATCAATATGGGAGTAGGACTAATCAGGAGGGAATGGTTGGTAGAAATTTCCAACATTGTTTGGAATTTTAATTCCATATGGATTAAGAGTGGTGGATAGAGTAAGTTGCTTGTGGACACTAATACTAGGGGTGTTTACTTTGGCATTTCATATTAGTTTTGCATTGCACTGATAATGGTGTTATAGCATGTGGTTATTTATTACAGTAGATAAACAGTGCTATATCAAAGGAAATTTTCTGAAGGTGTTTGAGCAACAATTTTGTTTCGCATCTCTGGACGGAAGATTTGGTTGAGACAACAACTTTGATCATGGAGGGTATGCTTAGGATATATATCCTAGGTTTGCATGGGTACTGGAAAATATTATTTCGCTTTTCAGTTATTATTTGTGCTATTGTTGGCACAAGGAGGTTAGTGCGACAACGTTTGGGGTTTTGGCTATTACGTAGTGTAGATCTCTTACTTGTTGGTCTGGCATGAAAGCGAGGTTATATAATAAGACTTTGCCTTTATTTAAGGATATATCTGAGATAAATACTCTCTTTTGTAATGATTGCGCGCGATTTGGAGGCGGTAGTCGGATTTTGTAAATAGTTGAACTCGTACATGGGAGTTTTATATCAGGAAATGGTTAGTTGGGATGTCTTCTGTATAGGAAACAAGGTGTTTTTTTTGGAGGAAGGTCAGTTCTACATTTTAACTTGACTTTCCACGGATTTTGTTTCTCAGTTTAGGCAATAACCTATGGTTTAGCGTTATCAACTTGTTTAGCGCTGCATGCATGGGCATTATATGCATATGTTTTATGGCACTTAGAGGACTATGGATTTGTACCTTGGTATAGATACCGGATACAAAATAATTGGAGGCCCCGGGTTGTTTTGTCGACTGTCGGGATTAAATTCTTCGGAATAGGGTTTTTCCTTTGGTGAATATTCCGTAGGGTCGTCCCAATGAGGTTGAGTCTACCTGGAAACAAGAGGACGGTATTCGCTCGCAGTTTCCTGAAATCAAGGAAGAAGGTAAGAGCGAATTCTGAGGACGGAATTCCTTTTGTTAGGGGGGAAGAATGTAATACCACTAATTTTAGAAAGGATAGTCTAGGTATTTTAATTAATGATTTTTGGATTCTATCGCATTGTGATTTAATTATGTGACTTATTTGCTTATCTGCTTAATTGATTATTTGTGAATATTTAAATTGATTGTTTAATTATAAATTGTTTATCTGTTTTACTTTAATTGTCTGTTTTACTTTAATTGTTTTAATTGTGATTTAATTTAATTATTTGATTATTGGTGGTTTAAACGACATGTGTTTTATATGACTTATTTGGTACATATTTTATATGGTCGTGTATATAGTTTAGGATTAGGGTTTTTCTTTTATGGTGATAGATTAGCCGACTTGTGATTTAAGGGGAATTAGAAGTAGGTATAATAAAGGCCTATATATATAGAACAATATATGTCTGTTAGGGTTGGAAAACCCTATTCACGTGAATGTTTCTTGAGAGGAAAAACAGAGGCATGTGGTGATTCTTGAGAGGGAAAAACAGAGGGGAGCTTGAGAGAAAACTGTGAGAACCAGTTAGGATTTCGGCCATGGACTAAGGGTCAGACCAAGGAGGAAAGAATGGATGGCTTGGGGAACTGAACCTGAGCAGTAGAAGGTTTACCGTTAGTAGCAGTCGTTGGAAAATTTAGAGACGACGTTAAAAGGGTTTCAAACCGAAACCTAAAGGTAAGTTTCATTCTATCTCCTTCTTGTAAACTTATGTTCTGTAAACTTGTGTTCTGTGCATTCTATGTAGTCTCCAGGAATCTAATTAAAATTTAAAACGGATGGTTATGCATGATAGATAAACTGATAACTGTTTTTAGTTCTGTAACTGCAATTGTTCCTCTTACATAAACTGTTTTGGTTTGGTTTTAAACTTTGGTAAAATAAATCATAAGTGAATGAGAGGAGTTTCTAGGACTGTTTGGATTTAAATTGGACCATAAGAAGTTTAAAAAGAATTGGGATAGTGACTGAAATTTTTGCCGGAAGTGAAGAAGAAGACCAGAGACGGAGGAGCAGGCTCTCAGGAGAGAGAGCCGGCTCCCTTAAGTGAGGGAGCCGGCTCCCATGAAAAGAAAGCCGGCTCTCCATGAGGGAGAGCCGGCTCCCTTGAAAAAAAACCCCTACGAGGTGTTTTGTGACATTTTTATGATCACAGGGGCTTAATTGTAGTTTCTGAAAAGTGAAGGGAGTTTTAAATGTTTAAAAATTAACCTATTAAAACCTTAAAACAGTTGGTTTATGCTAGGGTGCTAATCCTAAGGGGCATCATGAAACATAAACGGATGATAGGCATGCTGTCAAGGAAGGAAGAATGTTTAAATTGCTAGTTTGCTTTAGGAATTTAAATGGACTGGTGTTCAATTATTTATAGGATGTTATATGAATAATATATATATAATTTAATGAAGGTCAGGAAGGTTGGTTTACTGGGTTAATGTACTTCATGACATTTTATAATAGTTTGCATGTAGTCACGGAATATGGAAGATATTTCTAGTGGTCGTTGTAATAAATTAAACGGACTAATAGAAATGTATTTTAGGATTGGAGTGTAGGTGCTCTGTATATACTTTTGAGCATCAATATATCTTGCTTTGGATTCATAATTGAGAATTTAATGAACATCATGAAATTTATATAATAAGTTGCATACTGTTAAGGATTGTGGAGGGTTTAAACTACTGGTCTTGTTTAGCAAATTTAATGGACTGGTATGAAAGTATCTTTGGGATTTTGCTTTGATATGCTCAGCTAATACCGTTGATTATCATTATAACATGCTACGGATGTAAATTGATGAACTGTTATATTTTCTGTTTTGTCAAGTGGATGGATATGGATAGTTTAAATTGTTTATCAATACTTTAGCAATTTAAACGAAAGTTCTATGATTATAATCATATACTGGATGCATGATAGGATCTTATCAATATCTAATTTTTATTATGTTGGTTTCTGGATATACTTGATGTTCATTTGAGTGTGCATCATTTATAGATCATATGCATAATATGCACCGGTATGGGATGGTGGCATATCGGAAATGGATTAGATCAAAAAGTTAAGTCCTTCCTCTTCATACATATGTAATGAATTAACTAAAACAGTTAAATCCTACATGGATGTATGTCATGTCAACTAAAACAGTTGAACGACATAACGGATGGTTGTTTATTTTTCTGTATTAGGAAGGATTTATATATATACCTATGATACTGTGATATGAGCCTGAGTCTAAGGATCATGGTTAGGGTGTATATATCGCAAAGGTTGGATAACTAGATATAGCTGATGTTCCCTGGTAGGTTTAGGTACATGGCCACTGGAAAGTGTGATTTACATGTTACCTTCTACTCAGGCTGAACTACACTATAGGCTAACGAGCATCCTATAGTGTGTATCTATATATATATGGACTATTTTAGTTATTACCGAGCTGTTTAGGATGTATCTGCGTGTCGGGTTTATGAATGGATTGTAGTAGGATGGAACTTGCATGTAAGCCTGACCCACTCATATTTTTCAGGTGTTCGTCAATACCAAGCTTAGAGCTTGATCGTGATGAAGCAAATACAGTCACTCACTCTTCCGACTACATAGGATTTCCTTTCTTATTTTAGTTTTGGATTTTGAATTTTGTAATTATTGTTCATTTGGAATTATTAGGGGTCCACTGGATGGATTCCCTAGTTGTTAGGATTGGAAAACTATAATATTTTTATTTGAAGGATTTTCGTATTTAGAATTTTTTTCAGTTTATTATTTTATTTTTAATTCTTTTGTACTCTTATTTGTTTACATATTAATTATTTGGTATCTCTCGGATTTGTGCTCGGATTTTATCACCCGTGGCTCTAGAATCGAGGGGTATCACACACGGACACATCCACTCCGGAAGCAACTAAGTCACTGGGTAGTGCCCTTTTATGATATTTTAAAATAGCATACCGTAAATGCACAACCAAAGGCACACACAGATCCCACCAAACTTGAAGAAGTGGAGAATAACTAACACAAACCGAACAACATAAGGTTAATTTAGTCACATTTTCAATAAAAATAAAGCAAAATAAAGTTTAGGGCTTGTTTGGTTTGTAAGTCTGAAAACACTTCTCAAGAACTCAAAAAACAGATATTTTTATAACTCAGTTTTCAAAAACAATTTTCAGAAAACTAAACGAAGTAGAGTTTTTGTACAGTTTTCAGTTTTTAATTTTCAAAGAACAAAAAACTGTTTCTAGACCCTTATTTCTTGCTGAATTTTAATAATCAACTGCCATAAACTAGACAGTGATAGCAACCTTAGAATGACCACTTATTTACCCATAAAAATAAAAGATAGAGACGTAATGGCCATCTAATGTCTCTCTTATATCTACCAAAGGTCTATGATCCACGATTAGTATGGCCATCAGTTACAACCCTGGGCTGTTTTTAATCATTGTCTCCTACTTTGGTTAATGATCGGATGTGGGAAGGATTAGAAACTGAAATCACAATTCATGAATTTCAATTTTCTGCTAATTTTGTAACCAATTGTACACAACGTGGGATGCAACTCAAAAACTAATTGATAATTCAGTGATATTTTATATAATTCATTGCAATCATACAGGAAGAGTACATGAATGAAAGAGCTGCTTAATTTAGCATCCATTACAGCTACGCGTAAAAACTGCAAAATACAACAAACAGGAGCACATGGCTGACAACATAAAAAATTCAGATACAAATGGGAAAAACGAGAACGTTGATGTGGAGAAGAGGAATGCCAGAAGGAAATCCAGCAAAGGAAATGATCACCTAAAACTGCAGCAGGTTTAATTCCTTGTAAAAAAATACGAGCTTCAAGCTTCCCAACGCTAATTTTCCGAAGCCACAATGCCTAATATGTAGACTGGAAATGATGATCACCTACTAATGGAGCCGGTTTAATTCCTTGTAAGGTGCTAAAAAATCCGAGCTTCAAGCTTACCAACACTAATGTTCCCCATTCAACAAATAAATAAAAAAAACACTACCCAAGCCACAATGCCAAACATGTAGAGATAATCTAAGTACTCGATTTAACCTGTCTAGGTATTAGTTGGCAGAGGAGGAGAACTCAAACTCGGGTTAGACACTAACCTTGGTATTCAATCCACAAAAACTGATATACAGACTGATGATTGAAGGCACAATTCAACAAACAGCAAATAAGCTTGTTTATGAAATCGGATTTGGCAAGTTTCTGAATGTTTTTAATAAATTCAATCGAATAACTTGTTTTGAACAATCAATGGAAATATTCTAATCTAATTACAGAAATCACCATCATAAAGGTAAAATGAGGACGGATTACCAAACAAAAATAACCAAAAATTTGCATGTTCCCGCTATCACAATCGTGTTTCTTTGTTTCATCAAATGCCTAAATAGATGTCCAATGAGAGTGTTTTCCAGAGTAATCATCCTCAAATCCAGCGAGAACTAGTCAATCCTTAAATATGCTGCCAAGCAGAATCGGCAGACAGAGAGTCTCACAAAGACCGTTAGGTTCTTGTTATTATGAAGTTTCTGAAAAACCAATATGCATATCCTACCCGTCACAATCCACCAAAATATCAAAAGTAACTGATGAAACCATTTCAAAGACAGTTTATGGTAACAACGTCAGAAAGCCTGGATACTGACGACAGTATTATGCTATAACCATCATAAGATAGGTCTTGCCCATTCTTTAAGGAAAAATTATGTTCTTAATTTACATTAATATATCAAATGCACAAAAAACCAAATGAATGAAGGGAAGACAACAACTATCACACCTCAGTACTACAGTACCTCACGATCACCGTTGTGGCACTTCAAGTTATTGACAAGTGACTGCACTCCAAAGATCAGTTATTTAACAAAGTTACCCCCACAATAGTTCTCCTCAAGTTGACAAAGCCTGTGACTGCTCACAAAATTTAAAAAATCCATCAAATTCATAAACACAAAATTAAGCTTATGATGGGAAAAGTATCAGACTGATAAGGATATGACAATTAAACATAAAGCCAATTAATTGCACTATATCTCCAGGGCTGACTAGGAGTCGAAAATTATAAATACGACATAATTTATGAGTGAGTTTATTGGATTAAGGAAAGGGTGTGGAAAAAGTAAATCCATATATTATGTGTGTTCAGAGTGGGAAATTTCAATAATTTTTCTAGAGGTTAACTGCCTAGGAGGTTCATTGATATGCAGGGTACATCTCATAGTGGTGTCATGAATTTATATTAAAAAAAATTCCATTTCAATCACTGTTGCAGCAAAAGTTCCAGCGAAAAAGAAAAATAAAAATTACCAAATCTCACTGCAAGGGTTCATGCCTGGCATTGTGTATAGGAAGAGTGAATAAATAGTTCTGCTATAGTATATAATACAAGAAGTATCTTAATATTGTTCGGTACAACTATTAACACCTAAAGAATTTTGCATATGCAATATTCCAATAGAGTACTTTAACACGTTTTGCATCCTTCTTGTGCATTCACTCACACTTTGCTAGTATTCAGAGATACCACTCATGTATGCAAGCAATTAAACAGTAAATATACACTTTGGGAAGTTTGAATTCACTACATTGCTACGGTCAAAGCTAAAAGAGAATAAATAACTAAAGTCCATAACTATGAAGAAGAAAAAAAGAAGCATAAGTTAGTACTACCTGGGCTAACAACTTCAATTGTGGTAGCGATGCATTATCGCGTAGATATAAACATTATGACTGAATGACATTGTTTTGTTTCACACACGCGGGTGCCTCAAATGCCTGACACTTCCACGTTGATGTTGTCTCTACTGGCGTCACACCATTTCCAGAGGGCTGTACAGAAACTAAGGGCATATTACCAACATCAGATTTGCCCATATTTTCTTCGATCAACGGAAAACTTCCAGATTTAAGCTCTTTCTGGGGGCTTTCTTGATCCCTGGAGGAACACATACTTATGGGAAGTTCTTTCATATTGATTCTTCCCCTTTTTATACCACTGCTACACGCATCATCCAATACTTCCCATTCGTTTTCCTCCGCAGGACATGTTTCCACTCCCCCATTATTCATCTTCGATCGGTCAGCTTTATTAAAATTTGATGTGTTTTCATATACTCTACTCGCATATGATTCCCGGACGGGACCTTTAGAATCTACATTTCCCACTATGCCATTCCCATTGCTTGTCAAACCCGGGTTTTCTTCCCACTCCATACCTCCACTAGAACCCTTATCTTTTTCGGAAATAGATGAGCTTTTTAGCCTTTTATGTTTGTAACTCTTTGAATCAGAAGTCGAAGAGTACTTCGAAATCCTTGGAGAGCTGTTCATGGCCTGATGCAACTTTCGGGCCAATTCTTCATCTGTCTTGTAATTCTTAATTCGACGATTCTTATTGTACAGCATCTTAACTGGTACATGCTTCTTCATCTTGTTATTCTTCAAATTTCTTTCCACACGGGCTGAGTCCTCGGAAACAGTTGCAACCAATTCTAAAGCACACCTGGCTGCAGCCATTGCCTTTGCCGCTATCACGGCCTTCTCTTCCGCAGCAGCTCTTGCAGCCCTTGCAACCTTAACTGCATCTACAGCTGCAGATCTCGAGGCCTCCACGATTTCCTCAGGTGAAAGATTCGGATTGTTCAAATGAGATCTCAATAAGTTATGGAGACCGATGTCGAATTCACTCGAAGTGCTACAAGTGGATGGCAGATGTGAATTGCCATGGGAATTCTGTTTCTTCAATCCGGCAAGGAGCCGTTTTCGAGGAGGCAAAAGGACATCCGAATCCAAGTGATTAACATCACATATGCTACGTTCCATCGTTCGCTGCATTTGTGAACATTAAACAACAATCGGATTTGGTTTTATTATATTTGAGCTATGAAAAGATAATAAGAACAATCACAATTCACACCTTCAGTGCGATTTTTCAAACTAGAGTCACCAAAAAGTCTAAATTGATCAACGATTTTCAAAACCCACCTAACATTTTGCCTACTTTATCCAAAAACTAACATCAATCAGATTACTACCTGAAACTGAATTCAAGTTGGGTTTTTGAAATTCAATTCGACACAGAAATTAAATTAACATAACATAATTCAAACGTAGTCAGGTAAAACCAGAGCCTTCCCTAACTTTTTAACATCAAAACCAAATAATTTGATCAAAATTAAGCATGTTTTCAGAATTAAGAGCTTCATTCAAGAGAATTATACGATTTTTTAATCTAAGTTCAGAGGTGTTTTCGATGAATTTGATATATGAACAAGTCAAAACCAGCAAGAGTTTGAGGTGATGAGAATGGTGTAATACCTGATCTTGTCATCTCAGATATACATACATAGATAGAGACCGTAAGGGATGAAGAGTTGAAAATTTTAGGGTTTTCAGAGGAGAGAGAAAGAGAATGAGAGAGACAATGGCCTGAAAATCTAAGATCACATCATGTAAGAAGGAAATTCGATTGGTTCTGGTTCGAGAAACTCAAAACGTAAATCCCGTTAAATATTAACTTAGTAGTTGTACGGCTTTCAACCCCTATTCTTTCAGTTAATTACCAAAGTGCCATCCTAATTTATGAAGTCATAGTAACAACATTCTTTTCTTTATTCTCTTCATTTTATTATATATATATTTTTAAATGATTTTTTAGTACGTTACTCAACTGAAGAAATTTATAATTACTTAAAAATTATAATTCTAGTTGATTAGTTGGTCGATTTATTTAGTTAGACAACATTAATATATCAAATTAAGAATTCTTATATTTTTAATTTTAGGCAAAAGTGCACAAAAAAAAAAAAAAAAAAAAATTCCCCCAAGTTTCACCGAGCAAGCACAATAAGCTCATTTGGTATAAAAATCAGCAAATTAGTTCTTGTAGTTTTAAAAGTGAGCAACTTATCCCTTTTCATTTCATCTCCAATCGTTTTTAACTGGATGTCATTTTGTATTTATCACACTACCTCCTATAACTAACTTTTTTTAATAAAAAATTAAAAGGCAAAATATCTTAAAATGCCCTCTATAATAAATTGAGGTATTACATGATCCTAAATTGACTTTAAGTGTTGTAACTCCTCATGTGGGCCTCTGTCTGGTTTATGTGAACTCGGACCGAATGGGTTTCCTATTCCTTTTTTTCTACTGAATTGGAGCAGACATGTTCATTAACTTTTTCCTCATTTGTATATTTATTTATTTTTGTAACACTTCTTCATTTGTATTAATGGCCTGGTTCAGTAGATAGCGAAAATACCAAAAATCATTTAAAGTACAAAATTAACTAGAAACTTTTTGAAGTTTCAAACAAATAAAATCCTTAAAAGTTTTTTTTAAGGTGAGGAATGAAAAAGTTTTTTAAGCCAAAAAGGGATTTACAATCCCACATTTAATCATATATAAGAAGGGCTTTGACTACGTATCTTTTATCATTGTATTATGTCCTCTGCTATATTATACTACATTATAAACCATTTGATATAGTTTAGTTCCCAAAACTCTTCTAATAGTTAGAAAAGACAGAAGTGAAAGAAATATACATGAGCATATACACATTGTCCAACAATAATTTATATATATGACAAATTGCTATAATCAAATACACACGCACACATATATATAAATGTTTAAAGCAAAAATAGGTTTGATTGGAACAAAATGAATGAAAAAGTCTTTTCTATGAACATGGGGTATAACGGTCATATTGGAGGGTATTTTTAGAATTAATAAAAAATATCAATCATATGCACCACAATATGAAAAGAAAGTGATTAGAGGTAAAATGTAAGGGGACAAATTGTTCACTTTTGAAACTATAGGAACTGACTTGTCCACTTTTTTACCATAAGGAGTGTTGTGCCCACTTGGTGAAAACTTCAAAGATTTTTTTTGCACTTTTGCCTCAATTTTATGTTTTCTAAAACTGTCACACTTTTTTTTTCCCTCACAAATGCAACCTTTTAATAATGGCGTAAACTTATTTGTGTTTGTAAATGAAACAATTTTGTGTTTAATTTAATATGTGAAAATCGGTTGGAGTACACTCAATCGCTAAACTCAAGTGGGTCAATATAAGTTTGTTTTTCAAAAAATAAAAAATAAAAAATAAAAATGGTTAATGCTCAAGTTGGCCTTATTAGTTGGTCGAGAAAGAATCAAGTTTTAAGAAGTTTAGTATAGGATTATCAATAATTTAATAAAAATTCTACTGATCTTAGTAACACATGTCTATTGTCTTGTTTGGTTTTGGATTTGATTGCCAATACCTTTAGTAGTACTAAAACTGAATTGATATTAGGTTAAAAAAATTCATATAAAACCCAATTGAGTAATTAAAAGTAAATAAATAAGATTGTTTAAGTTCTTTCATTGAGTCAATTTCAGTAGCATAAATTGCACATCTACTTTTTTTTAACTCCACTCTTTGAATTTAATTGACCGATCAAACACAATTATAAGTTAAGTCCAAATAAAACTTAAAATAAATAGAAACTCTTTTTAATTTAATCAACCAGAGCCACTTGAACTATTAAGTTAGATTGAATATCATTTTCTTAATTTTCAACTTCCCATTGAGATTCTCAAAATATCAAAGAAAGTGGTAATCACGAAAATAAAATAAAATAAATAGAAGTTAGTTTTTATTTAGGATAAAGTAAATAAAAAAAGAAGATAAAAAACTCGTATATAAAAAATATTGGTTATGTGCATATAATTTTTTTTTTTTATTCTTGGTAAGAATGTTAAGTGTTAGTTGTTAAAGGGAAAAGAATTTGGGACATAAATGAGCAACTCAACTATTGGGGGCAACACAACACGTGCATGTGTATATAAATCCTTATAATTCCAAAATTTGTAACAAATTATTCTGGTGGTCAATTTTGACCAATTTTTTAAATAAAAATTTAAAAATATCCTTAATAAAATTTATGAATATAATTTTTTTTTAAAAATTTATTTAAAGGGCATTTTAGGTATTTTAATTTTCAAATTGAGAATATATGAACGGTAATAAAAAAAAAAAAAAAAAAATCATAAAAAAACTGTTTACTTACGGTGACAGGTAACTAACGGCGTAGTAATTATTGTTAAACCTGGGTGTAACACTACTCTACAGGCGCAACTTAGAACAGTGCACTGTAAACCATTCTTCGACCGCCATTTTTAATATCCAGGTTTTGAAACCACAAAATCGAACCTGTGCCGCTTCTTTGTTCACCGTTCAAGATTGATTAAAACCCTAATGTTTCCCTTCTTTATTTCCGTCAGGTAAGCAATTATGCGCAATCTTATTTGTTCACATGCACAATATATACACATATACGATTATTTTATTTATTTACGCGCATATTTATATTTTGATTCTTGAAGCGAAACATTTGATAATTTGCAATTCTGCTTCTGGGTTTTGTTTATGTTACAATTTGATCACGAATTTTGTACTTGCAAATGTGATTTACACATACACATATTTTATTTATTTTCGCGCATATGTATATTTTTATTCTTGAAGCGAAACATTTAACAATTTGCAATTCTGCTTCTGGGTTTTGTTTATGTTACAATTTGATCACGAATTTTGTACTTGCAAATATGATATACACACACATATTTTATTTATTTTCGCGCATATGTATATTTTGATTCTTGAAGCGAAACATTTAACAATTTGCAATTTTGCTTCTGTGTTTTGTTTATGTTACACTTGCATCACGAACTTTGTACTTGCAAATATGATTTACACATACACATTTTTTTTTATTTTCGCGCATATGTATCTTTTGATTATTGAATCGAAAAATTTAACAATTTGCAATTCTGCTTCTGGGGCTTTGTTTATGTTACACTTTGATCGCCAAATTTTGTACTTGCAAATATGATTTACTCATACACATATTTTATTTATTTTCGTGCAAATGTATATTTTGGTTTTTGAAGTGAAACATTTAACAATTTGCAATCCTGCTTCTGGGTTTTGTTTATGTTGCACTTTGATCACAAATTTTGTACTTGCAAATATGATTTAAATTATGACGTTGGTTTTTATGTGAATACACTAACTCTAACATTCATAGATTGAAGTAATTGTATATATTTCCTGATTGGGTCTTCATGGGGAGCATCAAGCACTTGCCAGAGGCCGTGCACAGTTCAGTGCGGTCTGGCATTATGCTGTTCGACTTGACGAGGGTAGTGGAAGAGCTGATTTTTAACAGTCTCGACGCAGGCGCATCGAAGGTAACATGATTGTTTTGCATGCTATATATAATATATGTTTATGAATACACGAATATATGGATGTAAACCATGATTTAGTGACAATGTTGTGCGATGTATTGATACGTATATTTTTCATATTATTATTTGAGAAGGTAGGGGTTGAGTGGTGGTGGTGATTTAGGAGAGAATTGTTATTGATGTGAAAGAATTCATTAATATGTCAGGGAATGTAATAGAGATATGAACACACACCCAGAGAGCTGGCAAAAAGACTGACCTAATGGAGCAAACCTGCCAAGAATTAGCAGGTTGGGGACAGCCTATTTAGTAAAAGTGTCGAGTTTGCTTGGTCTAGAAATATTCATTTGTTGATCTAGATGTATATAAACCATTATGGATCCATCCAAACTTCAAACTCAACAGGTTTGGATTTACATGCTGAGTTCACTGGTTGGATTCATGTGACAAGAATTTTACTCAATTATAAGCAGGTCGGATTTGACTATAGCTCTCGGACAAGGACAAACATAAGAATGAAAGAATATCTCTCACATTTGTTACTTTTAATATCATATTATGCTCTCAATGTATGTTAAAATCTCTCTCTCTCTCTCTCTCTCTCTTTTTTTGTTTTTTTGTTTTTTTGTTTTTTTGTAAACCAGTCACTTAATTTATTTTTCAGCGGTTTGTTGAACCACTTTGTGTAATTTTGTGCTTCTATAATTGTTTTAAGTGTCTAACATCTGTCATCTACAGATGTTGAATTGTTGCTTTTAAGAAAGGTAAGGAGACAACTAAAAAAAAAATAACTAAATAAGAAGAGAGAGGGAGAAGGGTAAAAAAATCTTGATAATGTAACAATGTTTATTCTTTCAGGTATCCATTGCTGTAGCTGTCGGGACTTGCTGCATTAAAGTAGTGGACAATGGTTGGTAGTACGTTTAAGAGTTAAATCATGTGGTGCACTTGATTCTATCTTGATTTTATCCATTATGTCTATCACTTGCAGGATCTGGCATTACTCGGGATGGGTTAGTGTTATTGGGTGAAAAATACGGTAACTAATTTCTCTCTCTCTATCCTTTTTTCCCCTTTTCATCGTGACTGTCTCAGTTATTGCCAATCGACGCATTTGGATGGATCACTAACTTACATATGTAGTCATGCTGTATAAAGCAGTTGTTCATTTGAATATCTTACATAAATTTTTTATTTTTAGTTTTTGGGCCATGGGGGTTAGTTGAATTGCTGTAGTAAATATTACTAGTGTAGAAGAATATCTAACGACATAACTCCAGCAAACATATGTCTACTGAAAACTTTGTTTAATTCATATGAGTTCAGATTAATATGCAGACCATAGCATTTTTATATTTACTCATTTTACCGTGTGAACAGCAACATCAAAATTTGACCATTTGACTGATATGGACGGTGCCACTGGGAGCTTTGGCTTTAGGGGAGAAGCACTGGGCTCCATTTCTGATGTTTCTTTGCTGGAAATTGTTACAAAAGCACACAGGACGCCAAACGGATATCGCAAGATCATAAAGGCATGGATGGTTCTTAAGTGTTTAGAGTATATTTTTTCATTACCAGTTCTTAGTATCTTTGTCATAATTCATTCAAGTGTCATGATTTTCGAATATTCCATCATTCATCTCAGGGATGCAAGTGTTTGTATCTTGGAATTGATGACAGTAGACAAGATGTTGGCACAACAGGTACAATTGTCATGGACCTCATGATTGGTCATCGTTAGCATGCACAGCTTAATTTTCCCCTTTGGAAGATCTATTCATTCTTTTCTTATTACTTTTCCCCTCTCTTTTTTCATTTTTTACCAGCATATTAAAATGTTAGATAACTTAGATAGAAAGATGCAGTGCAATTTATCTTTGAAAGGTTTAATAAAACTGTGAGTGGATTTATAAGCGGCAAGCAACTGAAGGACATGACATTGACATTTTTTTGGAAGGTGTTGATCGAGTCTCCACACTCACATAGTCACATATACTGGTTGAACCCCTTTAGTGCTTTAACCTATAATACAATCTTTATTTATCAAAGAATATTTAGGTGGAAGGTATTGCAAACACATCAATTGGAGCCGGCTTAATGGGTGCAGAAGGAAAGATCCTGGTTTTACAATATCAATAATTTCACCAAAATAAGAAATTATTAATATCCTTTCGGTTACTTCTATATTCATTCATTCTTCTTCTTAATGATGTGTTCTCCTCAAATCCAAAAACAGAGAGATTTACCGAGTGAAAGACTCTTCTCGTATGGCTTAGCAGAGAATATGGCTCTATATAACTGGAATGGTGAAATAAGACTTATCTATTTAAATTTTACATGGTTGCAACCAGGCTTTCTTAACCTAAATTGTGGAATGGTGAGATAGAGTATGTTTGTGATGATTAATTTTATAATATATAGCAAATCGATTGCAGAACAACTCTTCCCACACATGTTTTAGCAAAGTACCTTGACTACCTTCACAGCCTTTCAGATGCTGACTTCTTTTTTGATATTTAGCACTTCTTTATAAGCAAATCGTGTTCCATTCAATCAGTTCTTAGATGTAGGAACAAAATCTATTACTTCCCCTCCTATGTGAGCAGTTACAGATAAATACCATAGTGTTCTTGAGATCATGATTTCAATGTTCACCTGAATTCTAGACACCATTTAGGAAATAGTCTTCATTTCAAGCCGAGTCACCAGAAAATGCTGAAACCTAGTGATTAAAATTTTGAGATACATGTTCCAAAAATTGGTACACAACTGATCCAAACACTAATTTTGGAATGCATGAAATCATCATCGTCATTGTTGTTGGTGGCAGTTGTTATCGTCGCCTTTATTGAGTGGTTGTTGATGAATATAATTGATTTGTCGTTGCTGTTTGTCGAGATCTATAGTCGTCGCTGTGTGGTGGTCGACGTTGTTGCGGCAGTGGCGGCATGTGTGGCTGCTGTCATTGTTGGGGAGATCTCTACTGCCTAGGGTTTCTAACAACAAATAGAATACAGGGAAGAGGTCTGACCCCGTATTTATCCACCCAATTCAACCCGATGTGTTCCTACTCGGATAACCCGATAGAGCCAATTTGGCTTGATTGGAGCATATTTCGACCCACATGGTATGACATGGTATCAGAGCAGGCAACGTCCTCAGTTGAAATCTCACCATCATCTAATAATTAAAATTGAAACATGTATTGCACCAAAAGAAGGCCACATGTGAGGGGGCGTGTTAGAGGATTTAAATATTAAAGTTGCACTCTCTCTAGTAACTTAAACTTTTAGAGTAGATGGTAGTTAACAAATAGTTTTCTCTTATTTTCTAGAGTAAAGTAATATATTTATATAACATAGTATTCAATAGAGGAATTTCACTCATTTGAAACAATAATATTATAAAATTATATTACTTGATATACTTATGAGGGGCATGTCTAACAAAAAGTATCGAACATATCCATTTAGGAAATAATGATTTCAATGTTCACGGGAATTCTAGACACCATTTAGGAAATAATTTTCATTTCAACAGTCACCAGAAAATGCTGAAACCTGGCGATTAAAATTTTGGAATGCATGTTCCAAAAATTGGTACACAATTGATCCAAACACTAATTTACCTGTCTGAAAATTTTCCCTCATCTTTGTTAATTTTCTTTTTTAAGTGTGAAAAGAAACAACCAAGGGGAAAGGATTAAATGTAATCATATAGACTTTTTAAAGTGATAATTCGAAGCAAGTCAGCAAATAAAAACTTATGTGAACTTGAGTTAATGTATCATTGGTTGATCTTGATGTTTACTTTGATATATGCTTTATGAAATATAATCTGAGGTGAGCAGTGAATGATTTGCAAACGTTAAACTAAATGTTAATTAGGAATATATCCAGGAATTGATTAGCCGTTTAGAATTTCAACTTAAGATTCTCCTCTGGCGACATTTGATTAATATTTTCCTAGTGCAGGCAGAACATTTTCATTTTTCATATTATTCTTTATTAGTTATGAATAAAAAATTGTTTTTTTCTATGTGGCATAGAATGCAAACAGATGTCCAATGTTTTATATCACTTTTCTCAAGTTCTTTCTGTAACAATGCCTGTTAGAAGTGATGAGAAAGCATTGCTTTGCACAACTCTTTTCAGTTTTCGCTATATTGCAAATGTTATGGGATGTTGTCTCTTAAAGAAATTATTTTTTGGTATGCTGTCTGTGAAAATGAGAGAGGTAGAATGTATAACAAATGCTCTATTGGATAAATATTTGACAGGGGCATACTTGGAAATGTAACTTTCTCAATGTCCGAATAGGTTTGCTTAATTTATTATTATTTTTTTTTAAGCATGGGTGTTAGCAAGCAATGTCGTTTCTGTAACCTGTTAAGAAGAAAAACCAATCAATAATCAAGCACTATGAAACTATTGTAGATTTGTTGTATTAGCTAATTAGTAGAAGTAGGGGCATCCGTTTTCTTCGAGGGTTCGAGTTGTTTGACACTGCTTTCTCCAAATTCTCTTATATCTTTCACATAATATCCGATTTTAATGATTCCAGGGTGTATGTATATATGAAGTTTCCTTTATGGGGAACAAAATTAATATTATTTTCCTTTGTCAATTACCATGAAAGAAATTTTAGTTTATCTATAAATTCCCGGCTCCTTGCAGTCATTATTCGTGACTTATTTTACAATCAACCAGTTCGGAGGAAGCATATGCAATCAAGGTACCTCTTTACCTAGTATATTTTTTGTAGTTTGGTCTAAAATCTATCAAAATGGTTCTCAACTACCTTCAATGATTATTGTACTGATGATGCTTTTCCTCGACTTGGTGTGGATGTGATTTGCATAATTAAACTGGAAGCCCAAAGAAGGTCTTGCAGTCAGTGAAAAAATGTGTACTTAGGATTGCCCTCGTGCACCCGAAAGTTTCCTTCAAAGTTGTTGATATTGAGAGGTTTTCCCCCACTCCATTTGCAAGATAGAAGCTGTATAAAAATGTATCTGTTTCCTTACATTTTCTATTATCTGCATGCAGTGATGATGAGTTGCTCTGCACATATGCTTCCTCCTCTCCTTTGTCACTCTTGACGAGTGGTTTTGGATTTGAGGTTTCCAGTTCTCTGCATGAGTTGGATGTCTCTCATGGTGACTTTAAGCTTTCTGGATACGTCTCTGGTCCTTTTGATACTTCCTCTGCGAAGGTATAAAAATTCATGCTGATGTTATAACTGATTTAAATGTGTTTTTTTATTTTATTTTTTATTATATATTTCAAATATCCATGCTGGGTGCTTGTTTTTGCAGGCCTTTCACTATGTCTGTATCCATGACTGTGCTTATCAGTGATGATGTACAGAGTTTATCTTGGTTTGGATGGATTGGTATTAAAGAGGATTAAGTATTTTATGCTTTTGTTTTCTTGACCTCCAAATGTGTAGACATCAATTCACGATATATTTGCAAAGGGCCTATACATAAACTGTTGAATCAGTTGGCAACAAGGTTCAACTGTTTGGATTTGTGGAAGGCCAACACTACATCTCAAAATGGGAAGCAAAATAGGTCTCAAACATATGCGGCCTACATTTTAAACTTAAGATGCCCACGTTCTTGCTATGATTTAACATTTGAACCATCGAAGACATCTGTTGTATTCAAGGTAACACTTTTCCTTGTTTGATCATCAATTGTGATATTATTTATGCGCATATTAATTGCAAGTTTTTCGGGATTATCACATATTTATTTGCCGCTGTCAACTTGATTGTTTTCAGTGGCTCGATGTTAGTTTCATTTCTCAGAGTATGTTTTAGAGCCTAGGCTGAAATCTGAAATCCGGGATTATTGAAATGTATATGTAGTTTTCATTTTGATAATTGATTTTAAATCAAGAAGTTACTCTTTATCAGCTTCCTTTTTTCAATCTTTGGTGTCTATGAATGTTATATTAAGCTTCTGAAAAGTTGTGCATCTTCTTGTGAATTAAGTAGCTGAAGTGAAATCATAACCTGGAAAATCCTCTATATGTTGAAATGTTCTAGAAAACTCAAAGAGATTCCTCTGTGCAAATGAAATTAGTTTAAAGATCTAAAGCAGATAATAATTTATGTCTCAATTCCTTGAAGAAATGTGGTGATTTCTAAGTTGTTGAACCTAGAAAGCAGCCCTAGGAGTCTTTCTGTACAAGGCAAGGTGTTCTAGCTAACGCGAAATGAATACCTCTGTGCAAATGAAAATAGTTTAAAAATCTGATTATGAGCAAAAGAAATAATTGGTGTTTTAATTTATCTTGACGATATAAATTGAAGAAATTTTTAATTCCTTAAGTTTTGAACTTTTAGTACGTTCTGCCTACTTTGTAGTTTGTTTGATATTAGTAGTAGTATATTCACAATATTGCGTCTCTTAACAATCTTTAGGTAAAATTTTGCTGAACACACATTCCCATTGGTTTTTTAGTTTTAACCTATGTAATATGGAGTCAGGACTCTTCAAAAGTAGGTTAAGTGTGAGTGTCGGACACATAATACTAGGACACGGGTATAGGATATGCTCGATACTTTTTGTTAGACATGCCCCTAATAAGTATATCAAGTAATATAATTTTATAATATTATTGTTTCAAACTGAGTGAAATTCCTATATTGAACACTATGTTATATAAATATATTATTTTACTATAGAAAATAAGATAAAACTATTTGTTAACTACCATATGCTCTAAAAGCTTAAGTTGCTAGAGAGGGTGTAACTTTAATATTTAAATCGCCCACCCCCCCCCCCCCCCCCCGGCGCGCGCGGCCTTCTTTGGTGCGATACATGTTTCAATTTTAATTATTAGATGATGGTGAGATTTCAACTCAGGACCTTGCCTGCTTTGATACCATGTGGGTTGTATCATGATCGGGTTAAAAGTCTGCTCTAATCGAGCCAAATTGGCTCTATCCATGTGGGTTGAATTGGGTTGGCCCAATCTGGTTAATCCAAGTAGGAACACATCGGGTTGAATTGGGTGGATAACTACTGGATCAGACTCTTCTCCTTATTCTGTTTTTTGTTCGAAACCCTGGGCAAAGTAGAGATGTCCCCAACAATGACGGCAGCCACATGCACCGCCGCCGCCGCCGGCATCGCAACAGCATCGACCACCACACAGCGGCTACAGATCTCATCAAAACCACAATGACAAATCAATTACATTCAACAACAACCACTCAATAACGGCGACAATAACAATTGTCACCAACAACAATGATGACGATGATTTCATGGTGACAACACATGTTTAACTTGCTCTAATACCATGTTGACCACCCATCTACTCTAAAAGCTTAAGTTGCTAGAGAGGGTGGGTAACTTTAATATTTAAATCTTGTAACACTACTAAATAATATGAGTATTTAGCAATATTCCTGTGTCCTTCTGTTTGAGGAGTTTGATGTCCGACGCTTGGATATATTCCCGCACTCGACACATATATCCAAGTCCATGTAACAAAGGTTTTAACACTAACAAGTGACTAATTTTATGTACATGAATTGAGGAACCGAGAACCTCGTTTTACATCTGGGTAAATCATGTCTTATATAGAAACTATGACCTTCTGCTAACCTTTGGGATCACAAACAAATCAGGACATCGCTATAAATGGACTATGGGAATGCTTCGTTCAATGCACATAAGTGAACAAAAATGAAAAATTAGTCACATGTACATTAGGTGATATCAAAGAATATATAGTTGTCGAGACTTCGGCTATGATCATGCATTTTTTGTCAGTGATTTAATAAACTCTGCAGTAGGCTTGTCCATATTAAAGCTTCTTTATTCCCAGTCACTTAACATTTCCTTTTTTTCTCTTTTCTTTTTCTTTTTCTTCTTCTTCTTCTTTTTTTATTTTTATTTTTTATTTTTTTATTTTTTATTATTTTATTTTATTTTATTTTATTTTATTTTATTTTATTTCTTTTCACGAATTGGGTTGATTTGGGTGTATTTTTATTGTAAAATAGTTTGAGAGTACAGTATCTGTGATGATCACTGAATCCTCTTCCTTCTCTTTTTCTGATTCCAGGATTGGATTCCCATACTTACTTTTGTAGAGAAAACCATCTCAGTGTTTTGGAGTGAAAATACAACTTATGGTAAACTGCTAAACTTAACGAAAAAACATATTGCTCACTTTTGTCATAATTTTGATTAATTTGTTTCTGAAACTTGTGATAACTTGTTGATGTGATTCTAGGAGAATCCCACGGTCATGGTTGTGAAAAATCAGGAAAAGGAAATATTTGGGTAGAAGGTGAGAATATGGTATCAGCAGAAGAGGGTATTATTCATATTTTACCTTTAGTCAAAAATCTTTTATTTTATTTATTTTATTTTTAATTTTTTAAAATACTAATACGAATGGAGTGCGAACCATTTCTAGTTGTCTTCCATACTTATTTTATTGAGAAAACCATCACACAGTTTTGGAGTGAAAATACAAACTTACGAAAAAACATATTGCTCACTTTGTTCATAATTTTGAGTAATTTGTTTCTGAAACTTGTGATAACTTCTTGATGTGTTTCTAGGAGACTCCCACGGTGATGGTAGTGACAAATCAGGAAAAGGAAATATGTGGAAAGAAGGTGACAATATGGTATCAGCAGAAGAAGGTATCATTCATATTTTTACCTTTTTAGAATCGAACATCTTTTTTGATACTAATATGAATAGAGTGCGAATCATGTCTAGTTGTCTGAGCAGTTAAATTTCTCAAGGTATTTGAATAGAAATAGCACCACCTTCGCAGTATAATATATATCTTTTCAATGCTGTCTATATAGCATGCTCACAACTGAAAAAAGAAAAGTGTTCCGGTTTCCTCCAGCCCATACCTGAAGATCTCTCTCTCTCTCTCTCTCTCTCTTTAAATCAGCAAACTATGAAATTGCAAAGAAGTGGGGCAAGATCCAAAATCATCAGGCTTCTTTTGGCCTTCCCTCCCCACTCCTGGGGATAATAGCTGAAGAGAGTGACCACAAATGTCACGGGAAGGACAGCATATTTTGGAAGTCTCACCAAAATGTCACAGAATTTGAAGAGCATCAAACTGGGGTAAGATTTGTCGATCAAACTGACCAGCCATTCCAGTCATTTGATGGATCTCTTGCCCAATGCAGAGTGACAGAAAACAGTGACAGCCTGTGGGCAGATGATAATATTTTCTTTGCAAAAGACAATTCTTTGAGGAATAAGTTCTTTGTTACGGAAAAGTCCAATGAACTTGCTGACAATATTATAGGTTCGAGATGGGAGGATGCTTGTCTTAATGTTGGTGCTAACATGAGCAATGGATTTCCACAGAGTGCATTATCTTGTGACTATTGTTATGATGTAGACGAGGTCGGCAATGATCTTAAAAAACCCTTTCTGCAGAGTTGCTCCTCAAGGAGAAGACTGCCACTTGATGGGGCCTCATTTTCTAGTGATGGAGAATTTGAGTTCCAGACTGATAGCTTCAGAGCCAAACGGAAGCGGTTCAACTCTGATGATAGTGTTGATGTTAGAGAGGTTGATGATGGTTACCAGGACTTAGATTTCTGTTCAGGGACTCTATGGCAGGAGGAGGCAGCAAGTGGTTGGTCCTCTCCCAAACTATCAACTAAATGCGAGATGCATACGGGTTTGGAAAAAGGATTTCCACAGAGTGCATTATCTTGTGATTGTTTTTATGATGTAGACGAGGTCAGCAATGATCTTAAAAAACCCTTTCTGCAGAGTTGCTCCTCAAGGAGAAAACTTCCACCAGAGGGGGCCTCATTTTTGAGTGATGGAAGATTTGAGTTCCAGACTGATGGCTTCAGAACGAAACGGAATCGGTTCAACTCTGATGACAGTGTTGATGTTAGAGAGGATGATGATGGTTACCAGGACTTAGATTTCTGTTCAGGGACTCTATGGCAGGAGGAGGCAGCAAGTGGTTGGTCCTCTCCCAAACTTATAACTAAATGTGACATGCATTCGGGTTCGGAAAAAGCCAAACTGGTAAGTAAACGTGACATGCATACGAGTTTGGACTTTTTGTCAAGAGATTCAGAAAAGTCCTTTCCAATTGGTGGAGAGTGTCTTGCCGAAGAGAATGACCTTCCACCTGACTCAGTCACTCAAACTAGAAAATTTGGTTCAAGTCATTGGTCTTCTGATTCTGAATGGTCCTCTCCCTTACTTAGGACTAAATCTTGTGATGTGGAACATTTCATGTTCAAGAATACACTTAGAAGGCCCATTATACGTGATGACAACTCTATATATAACTACTGGGCAGACAGAGAAGGGAAGGACTGCATGTATATTTATGATACCATGCGGAATTGCTCAAGGCGAGAATATTGGTCTGCGTCAAATTGTACAGACATTTTGTCGGATATCAAGAATTTTACTGGTTCCAAGGAAGATATTTGTAGATCTCTCCAAGGGTATAGTTTGGATGATGTGTTTTCCCCCAAGTGTTCTGATATGTTTGCTAATGAAACAGAGTGGTTATGTTTAGACTCCCATGGCAACGATGGTGCTAACACTTATGCAGTACCATCAGGCCACATTCCTTCATCAGTTTACCTAGACAAGGTTGAAAACCAAAGGGATCATGTTGTATGCAAAGAAGAGAAATATGTTCGTAAAAGAAGGACAAGAAGAAGCCATTCAGCTCCTCCATTTTACAGAGGCAAGGCAAAATTCTTTGCCTTAAACAATCATTTAACTATGGAAGCAGGAGAACCAAATAGCCCGACCATCCTTGATGCCTCTACTTCACGAGGTGCTCCTTCAAATACTAACTGTTTGGAGGGGACTTATAGGCAGTATGAAATTGGAGGCCAACTGATATACTTGTATGTTGTGCAGAAACTAGTGAGTTGAAGCGTTCACAACTATCATCTGTTGTAAGCCATCTACATTCTAAGCCAAGTTATGTGGAAGATTTATCATTCTTTAACAGGTATTTAAACCTTTTGTATTTCCATATCCACTGTAAAATGCCAACTTCACTCACTACTATTTTGTGCAGACCACATAGAAAAGAAACACCAGATGTGATTGAGATTCCAAAACGTGAAATGCAAAAGAAGTCCCAAGGTCTTGACATTTACAATAAGGATTCAGCTCAAGGTAATTCTGCTGTTATTTATAGGAAAAACTTGTACTCATTGTAATGGAAGAACTTAACAGGTTCTATAGACAGATGTCTATATGGTATATTTGTACCGGCGTAATCAAGTATCAGAGTTTGAATTGTTGATTTACAATCTCTGATGGAACTTTTTCTACTCTGGACCCACAACTTTTATTATGATATAGAAGCAGTTATGAATAATCCAACAAAGAAATAGGGGCAAATTGCATATAACCCCCTCTACTTTCAATTTATGGCAAGAAACTCCCTGCAGAAAAAAGTTGGACCTAAAACCCCCCTAACTATCCCATTTGTTGCAAAGTGATGTTATTATGACGCAAATGCCCCTTAATATAAATTTAAGAAAATGGTTTCTCTTAATATAAAATTAAAATTAATACAAATAACTCAATTCGGCATGGTGGTGTTAAAATTTATCTGAAACTTTTTTTTATTGGTGTGTCTATAAGAAAATGAAAATACCTTGGAATTTTTATAAAAAAAATTCTTAATTCTTTTCTTTAAAATGAAAATCATTTTAAGACAACCTAAATTTTCTTAAATTTACATTAAGAGGTATTTTCGTATTATAACTTCACTTTAATGGTGTGTATATTTTTTAAAATTTTCTTGGAAGTTCTATTTTTTTTTAAAATTAAAAAGAAAAATAAAATAAAATATGAAAATATTTTTAAAATTTATAGTACAGGGCATTTGTGTCATTATAACATCACTTTGCAACAAATTTGATACTCAGGGGGGGTTTTATGTCAAAATTTTTTCTTCAGGGGGGTTTCTTGCCAAAAATTAAAAGTAAAGGGGGGTTTTATGCAATTTTCCCAAGAAATAAAATTCAAGTTTGTCTTTTAAAATTCTTTACCATTATTTGCATACAGCTTGTGCCTATTATCTTACCTCTGAATACTTTTATCATGCCCATAACGATGATATGCTTCTTATTCCATGCCATCTCATCCTTCAGACACTACGGCAAAGGAGTTTCAGGATTCATTGGATTCTGGGCTAAAATGGCGAAACAGCTGTCCACGCACTGCAGTTGAGTACCTTATAATTGCCTGCCTTAACAGTTTCAAATGATATATTTTGCTACTATTGCAGTTCACTATAAGAAATTGGGCTTCTTGTGAAATTTGTGGTTTTAATCATCCTTATTATACAGAAGGGAGACAGATCACATAACCTTCACAACCAGGATTCTATACTTGACATCTTTTCTGGGCTCTTGCACCTTTCTGGTGACTCATTAGTTCCTGAATCTATCAACAAGAATTGTCTGGAGGAGGCCAAAGTTCTGCAACAGGTGGATAAGAAATTCATTCCAATTGTGGCTGGCGAAGTACTAGCTATTATCGACCAGGTCTGTGCATGTTTCTTTTTCCATTTACTTTCTTGAGATGCAGCTTTTATTTTTTCCATTTCCTGTGGATAAGAAATTCATTCCAATTGTGGCTGGCGAAGTACTAGCTATTATCGACCAGGTCTGTGCATGTTTCTTTTTCCATTTACTTTCTTGAGATGCAGCTTCTATTTTTTCCATTTCCTGATGACATTGAATGATGATGCTTCGTAAACGATATTTTTAAGATTGCATCTAAGTTCACAATCGCATCTTAAATTATGCATGCATTTGATCCATTATTGAATCACATATTGTGTAAGAGTCAGGAGTCTTAAAAGGGCACTGTAGATATTGATCCTGACAAAAGTTTCTTGTATGAGAATTTTTTAGAAGGGAATTCACATCAGCATTAGTCAAAAATGATATTTCAGTCTTCCTAAGCAGATGCCTAGAAAAAAAAAATTTGCGTGCGTAAACACCTGTATGATCCTTTGTGGGCTTATTTATCCGTATGTGAACATGCATGTGCACACATAGAAACATACACGCATAATTGAATTGCTGAAGCCTGCTGCAGGCATTTGGCTATATTTATGACTTTTGGCGGTGGTTGTCTTTTACAGCATGCCGCAGACGAAAGGATCCGACTGGAAGAACTGCGTCAGAAGGTAAATGCTTTGGTAAAATTAATTTAAATTTATTTTTAAAATGAAAATCAAGTTTTCTCAGAAAACTAGTGAAATTCTTAGGTGCTATCTGGAGAAATGAAGGCAATTACATATTTGGATGCGGAACAAGAATTGGTATGTACATAGTGCAATATGATGTACTCTGATTATGGCACTAAAGCTGCTTTAAGTTCTATCTATATCTGAAATTCTCAAGCTCTTTCAGTAGTGATTTTCATTGTCTTCAAACATGTCATAACAGGTCCTGCCTGAGATTGGGTATCAATTACTGCACAATTATGCCGAGCAAGTTCAAAATTGGGGTTGGATCTGCAACATTCATGCTCATGATTCAAAGTCCTTCAAGAAGTAATTCCTATTCCACCATCTGGCAAATGTTGAAGTCCTATTCATGATCTGTGTACTAAGAATACTAATTCAGGGGTCATTATCCATTAAAAAAATGACCTTAGAATGATGTGAAGTATGTTATGAGTAGCTGTAACTTAAGAAGTATTTGTGCAGATAACACCTATAGAATATGCGAATGTGGAATGTCCTTGTTACATAATTCATACATTAACTGGGAATTTCCTTGTTTATCTAATTCTTTTTTTTTCTACAGGAATTTGAACCTTCTACACAGGCAGCCATCTGTTGTCACACTCCTGGCGGTAAAGCACCATCCCTTGTTTTGTTGTTGTAACTTGGGCATTCAACTCCTATTGCAAGCTGAAATCAGCTGCTTTTCTCGGTCACCTTCCCAATCCCAATTGTCCATTATTTAGTTACATATACATACACATGAAGGAAATGCTACTGCTAGAAAACTTATTGTTACTTCCTTTCAAGTAATGTTGACCAATCAAGTTCTTTAAATGGCAATAAAATAAGATCTGCATTTAGGCTATACCTGCACTGGTGCTCATGCAAGCACATACATCGAATCAAATCAGGGGAAGGTTCCTTACTGTGGTATTTTTATTGAACCTTCTCAAGACTGGGGGAGAGATTGCTAGGTTGAAGTTTATACGGGTGCAGGTGGACCCGAAGAAAGGAATTTTAATATATAATGAAAACTCAGAATTAGGTCTTGAAGAGCCTTCTCTTCTACGTCCTACTCTCTTGTCACGTATGAATATTTCAAGTGTATGGGCTGATAAATGGGGGGGAATTTGAGGATCTGGACAAACCATATGGACATTCAGGGATCATTTCTCCATCCTACCTTTTGTTCTGACATTGTGTTGTTGGGCAGCCATTTTTTGAAATTTGTTTTGTATTCTTCTGAGTTTCAATTCAGGCTGCCCATAATGTGCCAGCCATTTAATCATGATTACTATATAATAATTATCTCTAGTGGACATGCAGGTTCCATGTATATTGGGAGTCAATTTAAGTGAAATAGATCTTCTAGAATATCTTCAACAGGTGATATGGAGCATTCTATTTCATTTCCTTGAGTTGTCTTGAAATTTTTACTTTTTTATTGTTACCTAAATATTTCTTTTCTTCCAGGCATCCTTGATTATCCTCTTTATACCATATTTGATGTTTTTGCTCACTCTAAATTATATTGCAACCTACAGCTAGCCGATACTGATGGATCATCAACAATACCCCCATCTGTTCTTCGGGTCCTTAGTTTCAAAGCATGCAGAGGTATGTCATCTGCAACTCAATGAAAAACAATTGCTGGAGACATGAGCAAGTGAACTTAGTATTGGTTGTCACATATAAATGGTTTGTATGAAAATCTCAAACATTGCATGTGACTAACACTTGTCCACATGGGCCATTTTAAATTTCAGGTGATACATAGTTCCTTTTCAGATTTACCCAAAAAAAAAAAAAAAAAAAAACAAATAATTCTAAACCATATTGCCTACATGTGGACCAGTGTTATTGGGCTGGGCAATATAATTTTCCTTTTTCCTTGTTTAGCAGGTATGCCTAGGAGACCTTTTTCGTTGTTTATCTGCCAAATCTTAAGCATGTTGATAAAATTTGCACCACCATTCTTTTCTTGTCTCTTTCCTGGAATTAAAGCTTTTATGAAAAACGGTTACTTTGCTTATTGGTTTGACTATTTAGGTGCAATCATGTTTGGGGACACGTTGCTACCTTCGGAATGTTCTCTCCTTGTTGAAGAGCTGAAGCTGACCTCGTTGTGTTTCCAAGTGAGTTGACCACGTCTTAGTTATTTTGTGGATTTGACTGTACAGGTAGAGAGAGAGAGAGAGAGAGCTGATTTCTTGAATAAATGTGTGGAATTTGCTCTGCAGTGTGCTCATGGGCGACCAACAACTGTTCCTCTTGTCAATTTGAGGGCATTGCATGAGCAGATAACTAAGCTTGGATTTGAGAATGGTGATTCGGATGAGTTGTGGCATGGGTTACGTCGACATAAACTCAGTGTAGAACGTGCGGCACAACGTTTAAGCTCTTCTGGAGACCAGTGTTGAATAGTAGCCATCCAGGATCTCTGTGGTATCCATGTATAGTTGTATTTTTAACAGATATTTTCACTGTAGAGTCATTCTTTAGATTCCATTCTTATCAAGTCCAAGAAAAAAGGAACAAAATAATAATAATAAAAATTCCTCGTGCATAATTCCCGCTCAGTACCATTTATATGTTGGCTCTCCGTCTTGGCCAGTATACAAAGCAACATCAGCAATGTGACAGTTTGTAATGACTTTTTTCTTTTGTACATATTCATTTTTATCGATGGTGAAGAAAATCTGTTTAGAGGGTATCACTATGACTGTAGGTTCAAGTGTTCAACTATGGTGAATTTTAACTAAATAATGGTCTGTGGCTCGAAGGAGATATTTGCCCTCGACTTTTTTCTTTTATCCTGTGTCTGTACATGTTAGAGCGAGCAGGTGGAGGAACATGTTCTCAGTAGGCGAGTGGTTCAATAAACCATCGGTAGCAGTGAGCCAAGTACATGTTCGGTCCTAGCATGATAGGAATGAATATGTGGCCTAGTGCCGGACATATGCCTGACCCAAAAGGCTTAAGTTGCTAAGGATTAGGTTACCGTCTCCCCTAACAACAGAGAACGATATGGTCTTGAACTCCACTTCAGTGGGCACTTGGCATCATACTGGAGCGAGGACTAGGTCTGGTCCTGATACCACTTGTAATGGCCAGACGTTTTTGACTCAAAAACTTAAGTTGGTGGGTCACTTGGGAACCTAATTCTTAGCAACTTAGGGGAGATGGTAACCTAATCCAAGTAAGACTTGAAATAAATTCAAATTCAGACATTCATGCTATGGTAATATAAAGGAAAGTCGAATGCCAAACCCCAAACGTGAAACAATGAGGTGGGTCTCATTGCATTTATGGTGTGGTGAGACCCATACCATTGTGTGAAGTTGGGGTTTGACTTTCGATCTCCAAATCACGGCTCAAATGTAAAGCATAATTATTTTAAAACACACATTAGTGCTCTTCATTTAATATTTCGAAAAAAAAAAAAAAGGTAGACATTACTTTCAGATGGGAAATCCATAGCTTAACATTAGCTGAGACCAAACACTAGAACTAAAACTAACGAGCAGGACCAAACACTACAACTCTTTTTAACACTTCTTTTTATCATGAATTCATGTTACATTTTTGAGAGCAATGGGGAGGGAGAAATCCTAAAAAAAAAGGACATTGAGATGTTCATTTTGTGCAATTTCCCCTCTTTTAACATATCGAATGAACGTTAGGTACAACCACACCTTCAGAGAAGTAGGTATCATTTCGACTCATTCCATAACGGTGGTGCAACAGGCATATCAATGACCAATTGGATTGCACTGCATCACAGTTCTTGATTCAACAATAGTTCAAAACCATTTACCATCTTATGTAATTGAGTCTCCGGTTTCTAGACAGTCAGTGGCGGCGCACAGAGCCTTCCAGATGGGTACTAACATTTTCACAGGCGGCCGTAATCCCTGGAAATGATCAAAGCCTTGTAAGCCAGTAGAAATGGAATAAACTTTAAAAAGTAAGAGGAACCAACAATGGTTCTCCATAAAATTTGCTTTTTAATAGGCAATAAATCACCATGTACAAACCCACAACACCCACCGAGATGTATCTCTTTATTGTCAAGTTACACCCATCAAACAGAATATCCTGAAAAGTACAGAATGTGCCTATGAAACAAGATCATTTTACCTTGAAAACTAACATTAGTTCTTCTTCCCCACGTACAATCAGAGACAAGCACCAGTAACAAGTAACTGGGGTCACACACTCATTCAGCACAGGTTTCAAAATTTTGCCAATCGGAACAAAACGGCGAATTGTTCTCCCACTGTATGAACAAATAGGGGGGAAGGGAAAAGAAGAAAAAAGGAGGATCTTATTAGGAAAGTCTGTGATCAGAAAAGGCAAAAAGGAACCAAAAAAAAAAAAATCCAAAATAATGATTCAAGTCTTTCGTGATATTTGAAACTGACAGTACACAGGAGATCCAAACATAAACTGCTCAGCCATTGCTAAGTCAGCTGCAAGGGCCACGGCAAGGTTTGACATATTTTTGTTAGGCTAGCAAGATTGGGAGAATGTTAGGTCTTGAATAACAGACAGGGCAGGGAGATAGTAGCTGATAAATTTGCTGCAAAAGGATTAACTTGATTACTAAAATTGACAGGCAAGCCCAAAGAAAAACCTACTAAAGTCTCTTCAGTGCCAAATTCAACATATTTCTACAGCAGATAATTCTCATGTGATACTATATATAAATTTCCTACACAAAGGAGCTTATGGTCGTTCTAATTCTATATAAAAAGCAAAACCTTCCTAGGATTTGGAGGCATCTGTATTAAATGTTACCCTTCCAAATATCTTCTGAACATTAAATGACATTCAAAATAAACATGCTATCCCTAACCGACTTTTCCCTATTCAGTAGGATACTAATGACATGTATTTGCAAATAGTAGTTACGTTCACTTCCCCCAATAAATTGAAAATTCTCACACATGAGAATAAGTACCTTCCATACTGAGTTTCAAGTTGGACTCCAAAAGCTGGGAAAATTATGACGGACTCTGAAATATCACAACACAAAACAATTACAAAAATGCTTTCCCAAAATGAAACAAAACGTGAAGTATTCTATGCTAGCTGTTGTTTTAGGATAAAAGGGGGAAAAGGGGCAAAAGACAAGTCACACTTAACAATAACTACAATCTCACCCCATAAAATACCAGACATCTTATGGAACATACAGATCACAATCAATACTTAAAAGTAAGAAATGCAATATTCTTTAATTGTACCGATGTAATTAAAAAGAAAAAAAGATTTTATTATTTGTAATATATAAAAAGACATTTTAATACAATACACTAATAAAATACATAGTTGCCAAATAGCTGACTCTAAACAATAAAACAGTCCTTTGGTACATATTTTTCATTCAAGAATCTATCATTTAAAAGCATATCTTAAGGAACAGGAATGAATATTTGTGCAAGTCTCCTAAATCAAGAAGCAATAGTTTGAAGAAGAAAATGAGAGTTGGAACAGTGTAAATGCAGAAATGATGATCGACAGAGTTCCAGGGGGTGATTTAAAATTTAAACGGAAGTTTTAAGCAAAAAATATGAAAAATAAATAAATAAAAATACAGGTTGAACAAGAAGATAAAAGTATAAGAGATGGCGAGCCAAATTATAATGTTAGATTTGAGTTCAATAACTGCTTTAGTTACTTATACAACAACAATCAAGCCTTTTTTCCAACTACTTGGGGTTGGCTGCTTTAGTTTCTTATCTAAGCTAATAAATATTAGATGAAGGCCCAGTATAATACAAACATAAAAACCATGTTTTGAACAGCTAAAAATTTCCTGGCATGGAATGGTCCAGGCAACCAACAGCTGGGCGTTCAGAAGGATCCTAGGTGTCCTAGACTAGATTTGACAATAAGCTACAATTTACTGCTCCTACTCAACAAAATAAAAAAATAAATCACGTTACAGCTCTCTCCTCCCCAGCTACTTTTTATTTGAGGACTTAAACCAGAGAATATTATCCAGATGGATATTGTTCATAAAAATCCCATATTTCAAGGACTTTTTATATGAGCACCACATTTCAAAGATAATGGAAGCAATTGAAACAAAAGTGGACGCCATAAGAGTTAGAATTTGTAGCAGATAAAAAGAAGCTTCTTTCTGGTCCTATGTTCCTGAAAGAATAAAGACATTCACAAAGTAAGACAATAAATAGTTAATGCATTCATATCTATTACTAATTTAATGTTGTACCATGTTACATGGATTCAGGTACATGTATCCAGTGCGGGTATGTCGGCTATGTGTCAAAGTGTTGGACCTCCCTCAAACCCAAATTTTAGGATACAATGACTTGTGTTGAGGTGTTTTCCAAAGTTGGATACATGTATGGGGACGCGCCTTGTACACTTAGATACATAATATACTAAATAAAAGGTGTAATGTATGATACCACTATTTTTTGAAAATGTACTCAATAATAGCTTGAGTTAAATGAATGGTGAAAAAAAGAAATTCCATCTATCTCATAAGTGAAAAACATTTTCTTTTTTTTGCTGTCATATACGAATTTTTCTTCTCCATCATCACAATCAGAGAATCCAGGTGTCTAATATGAATATGAGCAGCCAGACAGAGATCCCATACCTATACCAATATTGTGTTGGGTCAATAAGGGTATGTTGAATGAACTTACAGAGTCCAAGTAACACAAATGATGTTCATGTGTCCGTCTGAATGTGTTATTTGGAAGAATAACAAAGTAATCTTCATTAGTCAAATCAAAATGTACTGGACATATATATTTTAAACAAAATACCATGGGCCATTGAGCAACGCAAATCAGTGACCAATGCATCCTAAAGTACATAACACTTGAGGAAATAATAACTTTCTAATAAGTCAAACACAAAAAGGCACAACACAAATATACTTCCGCAAACACCATTTTTTTTTTTTAATAAAAAAATGAAACCCTTCCCACCTGGTGACCTTTGATACACGGGGCTGCAAGGTAAACCCCGGATATGTGCAATCGTTAAGTTTGGGTGTTTTGTGCCATGTGAGAGTCAAACCTAAGGATGTCGGAGCTTACCGTTCACCCTAGGTTAACCCCTTACCACTTGGCCACCCGTGTAGGTTATACTTCTGCAGAATTTTAGGGCAATTAAACATGACTAATTTGAATGCCCAAATTGGTATCGGACACCTTTAGTCACAGGTGATGCATCAATAAAATTTAGTCAATGCCAAATCTTGACAGGGAAACGGTGTAAAACTAGAACTTACTGTAACACAATTTTACACTTCCAACTTTATTTGATGAAGTGCACTATAGGAAGTAAATTGATTGCTTCGGGATTTCATTTCTTAACATATAAAAGATTAATTAGTAAGGCTATAGTTCTGGAAATGACACATCTGACTCTGAAATCTCAATAGTCCAATCAGCCTCAACACTTTCTAATAAGAAAATTATAGACAAGGAAAACATGCGACAAATGATTTATATAAGATGAGTAAACAACAGAGATTCCTCTGCTGTTGCAATACCTTTGATACACAATAAATTAAGATGTACCAATTAAATTTAATATGCATAAGTATTATCAGAACCTAAGAGAGCAGAAAACCTGTTTTCCCAGCTTCTCACCTTTCTCAATGGGCTTCCGAAGAAATTGTTTGACAATGAATCCACTAAAAAGTATGCTCCACAGAAGGAAGGTAATTGATTTGTCCTGTTTATTACAAGGTCATCATGTCAGATATTACTACAATTTAAACATAACTAATGTCCTTTTATAACTTCTGATATAATAACTCTAAAAATATATAACAAGTATTTATTTCATGTAGAACTCTTGGATGTCACAGGTGCCTGAAAATTTAAATACTTCCTTCATTCCCCATTTCTGTTTATCAATATTAATTACAATTATATTATATATATATATATATTACAAGAAAAAAAATGTATTTCAAAAGGCTTGAGGTATCGCCGAATTAATTTTCCTAAGCAACAATGAGGATTAAATTCTAAATAGAACTAAAACAAATCCATTTTAGTGATTCTTCAGTATCCCAAAGACTAAGCAGTATACTGCTAATGCATCCATACAAAATGTGAAAAAGAAAGATGAACCGAGTTTCACTAAATCATGAGCAAAAGAAAAAATGTTGACCTACCCAATTAAGATTCTGATGGTAATTATGGTGACAGTGAAAATGTAGTGTGTGGATGGGTGTGGGTATGTGTATGATTATATCATATAGGTGATTGGAATGTACTATAAGTGATGATAAAAACATCAGCAGAGACAATCATATATACCTTGAGTAAAAAGAGAAAGAAAGCATTAGCTATAAGAAAAACAGCGGATAGGTATACGAGGAAACCCTTCGCAAAGCTCTTTCGAACAACAATATGGTACGTGTCGATTGCTTCAAGAGGCCTCTTTTTGACATCATGTATGTATATATATCTCGCATTTGCAATACTGGACTCTGCCATTTTTCAAACCTATGCATTCAGATCATTATTGCCTCCACCTACATTAACGTATATAAGAAACAAAGAGGGGGGAAATCACATAAAGGAACAAGCAAAGCTCGAATTGATTTTATGCCTGAGTTTTGGTGTATTTCTCAAGTACATAATTAAAATTGACAAATAAATACCAAAAAGTGGATCAAACAAAAATATGCGAAGAATTTGAAGGTTTCACTGGGTGATGAATCGACAAGTGTGATTACAGAGAGGTTTGGGAAATACCTTGATCGTTTCTGGATCGTAAACCAAACAACGCCATAGATGACCTAAAATGATCTCTGGAAATCAATTATTCGTTCGAAAATTGTACAACTATGCTTCGCTTAGCTTAGCGGGAAGTGATACAGTTCGATTTGGGAAGTGACAAATATATATAGTGTATATATACACACACAGATATATAGAGAGAGAGTGAGAAAGACAGAGGCTCACAGCCCCAGTAAACGGCTCGTTGTTTGCCTTATCGAACTATGGCTTTCGCGGCCCTAATTGGTCCATTCAAAGTGAAGGACTTCACGTCATTATATATTTTTAATTATTATAATAATATTATTATTATTTTGGCGATCTTTGTTCAACTTATTCCTATGTAAAAAAAAAAAAAAAAAAAAAAAGCAACAGCTGATAACAGTGTTTTTTGAAATAAGTTCACATGATTAATGTTAAACTCCTTGTAGCAACCTCCTCCTTGTTTGCTACGAGCTGTCGAAGCTCTCTTCTCATTTTTCATGAATAAATAAAAAATAATAATAAGTAGTCTAAAGTAAAATATATTCACAACTTTATTATTTTATGTAAATAATGATTGATGTCATGATAACTTAATTTTTTATTTATTTCATTTTAAACTTTATATCATAACTAATAAATAAAGATAAAACACCAGAATGTGATGTGATATATTTTTTTGATTTATATCGGCGGAGATAGGTCTTGAACATATAAGGTTGGATATTATTAATTTAGTATCACTTAATAGTTTAGGCTTGAGGCTTTTGAATGGGATTACAAAACACTCAAACTATGATAGTGAGCTCACCGAAAACTCTTAGCTTGTTTTCTTTTTTTAATTTAAAATAAATAAATCAATGCATCCCAGGAAAGGCTGCATAAATGTAATAAGAGTACGTTACTTATATTACCGTAGGCTCCATGATTGCGGAGGAATTATTTGAAGGCTGTTTCATGGTCAGCTTGACCACATGATTAGTCTAAAGTGTAAACTTCTAATTAGAGAACACAACATTTTGTTTTCAATAGTGGTGCATTTTTTGGATTGTTCTAATACAATTTTAGTGTATAACGGTCATCAATAGTGCTAAGAAACTTCTTATTTGAAGCCAACATTTCAACATCAAAACAGATAAAAATTAAATAAAAATTTGAGTCAGGCTCCTATTTAATCACTACATAGAATTGTTGCAAAATTTACACCGCAACAACTCGATGTTCAACATTTCAACATCAAAACACAGAGATGCTATCGATTTTTATCTGTAGTTCAACTTGCAACAAGAAAGAAGACATGCATTTCATCAACTGATCAACAGAAAATCCATAGAACACATGAACTTTGAAATCATCAGGTCAGCGAAAGAAAGCCCTTGGTATTAACAAACTGTTAAGTACTAAACTTTACTATGCCGGTCAAGAAAGAACCATCATATATATCACAAACAAAAAAAGTTCTTTTTACTTTTAATTGCTAGCCAGGCTAGTAAACCATCTGAGGTTTATCCATCTTCTGGTCACAATTTAAATTTGTTGTTCGAAAATAGCAACAGCTGATAACAGTGTCATTCTGCCATGTTATAATCTTCCGTATGACGCAAATAATTATTATAGCTCCCCGATGCTTCCATCTTTCCAATCCCTGCATTCATCAATTTCGCAAGCGATTAGAGAGTGTTGCCATTGATAAATTCATCAATATCAAAAAACAAATATCTCATTACTGTAAGAAGGCATACTTTTCTCTGATCGACGTGTCGAGAGATAAGGAATTTCCATGGTTCAACCATACACCGCGTATCTAATAAATTAATAAGTCACAGCCTACAACTTCCACATTCCTCACAACCTCCATAGAACATTTCCAGATAATACAAAAAAAATTCTTTAGACAGGGGCTCTCTAAGTATCTACACCTGGAACCATTTTAATAATATCAACAAAATTTCAATTCTTTTATAATATTTGTTGCATGTAACAACTACAGTCGCGCCGCTCATAGCAAACTAACTTCTCTACAGTCATAGAATCTCATTGCTCAATCTGGCTACACAAAACAAATGGCAGTGAACATGAATCTTTGGCAAGCTAATCTCCAAAAGCTGACCTATTAGTTAACTGAAGAGTCCCATTTACTCGTGAGATAGTTATAAAGAGGGAAGCAGGTAGCAGACATTGAAGAGTGCGGTACGGACTGGATTTGATTCAGGCACTTCAATAGGATAAAGTAATTCTTAAAAATGAATATGCACTGAAGACGTGAGCACACTGGTTTTAAGAGGGAAAAAAAAAAAGGCGATGAATAAGAATATGTGCAGGTGTGCGTGTTTAATTTGTTACATTAAAAGTGAAGTAAACTCGTGTAAGGGTAATTGAAATTTATAAAAGTATAATATTTCTTAATTGTTCCGATTACCATATGCATAATGCGTTCACTTGGACAAAATGGCATCATCAATACATGAGGCCTCAGAATTGATCTGTTAAAACACCACAATAGGTTACACGGTTGACCAGGAAAAAAAAAGAAAAAAGCTAGAGGTTAAGGAGTATACATACTTGGGTTGGATGCCATACACTTGTAGAAAGGCATTTGGCCCAAACTCCTTTCACATTTTGAACTGCCATTTGAAGAAAACATGGGCTCCATTTTGTTGCACTGTGAATCTACAGTCTGCATCCCAGAGCTTTTCTCAGGGTTCTGGAAACACAAATCCTTGGCCATTGGTGGTGGGTTAGACTGAGACTGGAAATCCTCTGGCTTAGTCTTCTTCTCATTCGGTGATTCAACCTCTGTTTCAACTTCTGATTCAGCATTGCTTGTTCCTGCAACTTGTTGCTTTCTTTTTGATCGGGCACGCCTATTCTGAAACCAATTATAGACATTTGTTTCAGAAATTTGGCCGTGTTGAGACAATTCGGAGGTTATCTCTTTGATCTTCTGCTTGCTTGGAGTCCCATTCCCTTGATCAAAGATACGCTCCAGGATTTGAAGCTGCACAGGTGTTGGAGTCCACCGTTGTCTGCCAGTAATTTTGTGGCCAGCAGATGTCACTAATGGATCACAATATAGATTTCCCAGCCTGACTCCTGAGAGTGCAAAAGCAAGATTCTTAAGATAAAATCTAAATAACTAATTGAGTGGTAATATATCTTCTTTCCAGGAATATATTTTGGCAGAAAAGGAGTGGAGAAAATTCGTATGCTAAGTAAGAGGTAGAGGGTCAAGAAAATAACCATGTTGATAATTAAAGACACTAGAATCATGAACTCGAAATTGGTAACAGAAGAAGCCACACACAACACGGGGAAAAGAAAAGAAAAAGGGAAATGTATAAATATACAGATCATAACAGCATTTTCCTCATACGAGCATAGGAACATACTGAAGCATGCAGAAAGTTGGACAGTAATGTTAGTAACTAACATCCATAATACCTATAGTCTATGTTACCTGGACTCAGGTACCTATATTGGGTATGGGAATGTATCTAAATCCCAAATTTTAAGGTACACGGACTCAGCTTGAAATGCATCCAAAACCTATATATGGGTTAGTGAACACGTACATTAAAGTATAACACAGATTTGATCACTTCTGTGACTAATGTCAGATGCCCACCCACTCCTATATTACCCCAACCCTTGATGCTATTATTTTTCAAAAAGGTACTCAATAATAATAATACATTATATGGAATATGGTTTAAAAAAAAGTATATATTTTTTTTTTGGCTATTTTGCCAATAGGCCAGTGGCTTAGCGGTATCAGGCCCTTGCTTCCCAAAGGGAAGTCAAGAATTCAAGCCTCCATTGAGGCGTGTGTGTGGGAGTATCAACTATGAAAAAAAAATAAAAAATAAAAAATAGTGATTCCATCTATCTCATAAGTAATGCTTCTTTGCTATCACATTTGAGTTTTTTTTCTTCTTCTTCCATCATCAAAATTGGAGGATCCAGGTGTCTGCTTTTGGTACGTGTCAAACACAAATCCCATAACCATACCCATGCCATGTTGTGTTCACATGCGTACGTTAAGGTGAATAAGAGAGTCCAGGTAACATAGCCTATAGTCAGATAACATAGCCTATATATAACCAAAAAAATAATGGAGTTTCCTGTTTAACAAAGTTGCTCAAAGATTCGATGAGGATCCAGTGTCATGATTTTCATGCAACTCAATTGCTCATGTTAGGTTTGCTCAAGAAGAAAAAGGAAAGAATTTAAATGAGCTTACACTAAAGCATTCGTGGTTATGTACGAACATTGTGGCCACAATTTCAATACCAATAAAGGTAATAAAGGTCAGAGGAAAGGACTCGAGTAGCATAGCAAGATATGATCCCGCTTTTAATCAAAATCATAACAAATTCAAGTCAAATGACTCATTGAGACTAAATTCATGATAACAGAACTAATACGGGAGGAAAAATATGGGGTGACAGTCTCCGCTATAAAAACCAATTGAAACAAAATCAAATTATTAAGATGACAAAGCACCAATTCTACTTTTCGGAAATCAATATATATAGGGGATAGAAAAAGGCACCACAATAACAGTTTCTTCCCACCTAAAATTATTCTGAATAATGGTACAGCTATTTCTTAAAATAATGATGGTTAGTAGAGCAGTGAGTCATGAGCATGGATTAGGAAACTGCCCTGATATTGCAATTTTCATGTAGTCCAAATCAATCAATACAGTACATATCATCATTTTCAAATCCAATCAAACCCACCTTAATAATTCCAATTTTGCTCAAATTGCCGGCAAAATTTATCAATAATTTACATCATTTGTCCAATCAAATTATTTGAAGAATAAACCTAAACGATCATAGTTCAAAGAAGTTTGAAACCTGATGAAAACAACTGTTAAAAAATAAGAAAAAAAAAAAAAGAAAAAAAAAAAAAGAAGAGGAAATCAAAATAGAGATACAATTAAAGTCTTCATGAAGGCTCTTGTTGGAGTTCTATTTACAGTATAAGTGACATAAAATCAAAGCATGTTAATTTGGTAGTGATTATTTGAACATTGGAGTAATAAGAAAAATGAGAGTAATTATAAAAATTTCATAAATGAAAGTAGTTATGTTTAATAAAAAGTAAAATTTTCAAAAAGTTTTTTTTACTTGATTTAGGTAACTTTTTGAATGATATTGGTGGGATTTTTAAAAGGAAAACAGCGAAGCAAATGAAAATAATTTCAATTTTAAAATATCCGATTTTAATTTATTTTAAGTAAAAAAAAAACAAAACATATATCGACTTACAAAAAAAGGAAAAGAGAAGGGTAATTGGCAGATCAAGAACTGAACCCTATTTACCAATTACAATTGTGTTTAAAAACATTCAATCAACACACTGTATAACAATTGGTTATAATAAATACACATACAAACAGATGTGTGTTCGTGTATATATATAGAGAGAGAAAGGGAGAGAGAAGAGACCTGTGAGATCGTGGTGAGAAGTGAGGGATTTGTGCATTTCGACGAGCTCTTCACAAATGGTGGCGTAGACTGCGATTTGTTTGCGGAGGACTTCCATTTGCTCATCAGTCATGACCTTCACAAACATTCCATTGTTGTTGTTGCTGCTGTTGTTCACATTCAACAACAATTCTTCTTGCTGTTGCTGTTGTTGCTTTTCCCACTCCATCATCATCCTCGCCTCTGTCATCTCATTACCCTCTTTCTCTCTCTAAAACTCTCTCTTTCTCTCTCTACACCCAAGTAAACGAAGTCAGTACTCTCTGGAGAGAAAAAGTAGCGACAAAGTAAAGAAAATGGGAGGACAATAAAGACATACATGGACGAAGGCGGCGTATGCTATTGGTGTGTAGTTCCCACATCGGCGCACTTTAGAATGACCATGTGGCTCGTGCGCATTTCGACTTTTTTTTAATTAATAGTAATTTTTACCGACATGATTGAGACTTAAATACGACGTCTCTTTATTATTTAAGGACGGTAGAGAATGTTTTCCTTCCTTTTTAACAGTAAATGAGAGGGAGGGAAAAAATAAAATGAGAAATGATATTCACATTTTAAATGGATGCAATATTAATATTATACTTTTTAATAAATACACTCCATATTTTTTCTTTTTTCTTAAATAAAAAAAACAAAAGTGATTAAACTCATAAACATTTGATTTTCTTATTTATGAGTTAGAAATAATAATATCATTTATTTTAAAAGTGAAATGCAGGATATAGAGGGCAAATATAGCTCGCATATAAAAATTAAATAGAAAAAAAATTAAAAATAGAATTTCCCTCAAAAAAGGTACTCTTATGTACTACCACAATAGGTATTTTTATCTAACATGTAAGGTTGAAATTTAAATTATTTGACTTTCTAAAAGAAAAAGAAAAAAAAAAAAAAAAAGATAACAAATATCTTCAAATATGGAATTTGGGAGATTTTGTGAAATGCATATAAGTACTTACCCTATAAAACATAATAAATAAATAAAAACCTTCGAATCTATTTTGAGAAAATATAAAAAATAATATCTCATCGAATTCCACGTGGCATCGATATCATCTTCATGTACAAAAGATCTTTGCATTTTAAATCAACCATAAAATACTTTACATCAATCCTACAACACAAATACAAACGCTCATGCAATACATCACCTATTGATTTAATTTTATTATGTGGGGTCACATCCTCAATTTAATTGAACCAGGAATTATAGTACACAAAAGTGTACTCTTAGAATCCATTACTTTTAATTAGGCCTGGAATTGAATTCGATTCAAATCGAATCCGTCATGATTCCGTTAGATAACTTATCGGATTATTTTTTTAAAAATTCATATCTCATAACATATTATATTATATCTTGTTCGATCATATTATTATAAGATCAAATTAATCATAATTGATAATGAATTATTAAATTCATTTCATTATCAAATTATTAATTTTAAATGAAAATTTAATTAATTAAAAAATTATTATCCTCCAGAGATGACTTGTCAACTCAAGCGAACTCCAAAGCAAATTAGTTGTAGTCTCAACATGGTGACTAAAAGACAAAAAAATTGTTCAATGACAATATTGTTTTGGAGAGAAAATATAATAACATGCCCATCAATCATTACAGATCGACCAAGGTTGGATTGTTAATTTGAGTTTAGTTTTGGCTGAATTTGTCCCACATTAATTAAACAAACATGAGAGCATGCCATGTGAGTTTTACAGTAATGTTGTAACAAATGCATGCATCTAATAGTCATGCTTATTAGATGCATGTGATCCTCAAAACCACATGCCCCATCACACAACATTAATCCAGTAATTGTGATTAAAAAAAAAAAAATAGGGTCCTTAAATTAAAAAAAAAAAATGTATTTTATTTTATATTGTCAAAAAAAACTTACCTACTCATCCTTTACATTAAAAAATAAATAAATAAATAAAAAAAATAATGTGAGATAGAGTCTTGGGTTTAATTGAGGGTGTTTACATTTTACTTGTACAAGTACAAACGTTTTTTATAATAAAAAATAAAACTCTAATGGAACAATGAAAAGCGGAATAAAAGTGACACGAATCATATATAAAATGTTATGGTGAATCTTACATTTATAATTATGTTTCTATGTCGATTATTAATTCTGAACGATTGTACCACGGTTAAATTATTATGAGATAACAACGTTTAAGAGCGACAGTTAAATTACTTTTTGTGCCGCTTAGAGATATTCTGCTCAGAGCAGAGAGATCGGAAGAGAATAAAATGACAGTAATTCTGAAATATTCAGAATCCCTATAACAAGGTTGGATAAGAGCACTTTATGTCCATAAAAGGCCTTATGTTAGTATATATACAAGTAGTTGATTTCCTATATATATATATATATATATATATATATATATGTATGTATGTATAATATATACAGTGATGGTCAGAGCTATTCCGACATGCCATGTGCACCTCCACCGTCACCACTATTCAAAGGGGCAAGATCGTATACATCATCATCACATTCCATGCATGCATACGAGGGCTAAAATATGAAAGACTCACTGTTTGAACTTTGAACCTTAAAATTAGAATTGAAAAAAAAATCCAATTCTAAAGTGTTTATTAGGTTTGAGAACATCAAATTAACGTTTTAGAATTAAAATTAAAATTGAAATTCTTTCATGAAACAGACAAACAAATTTATCTGTTAAAATTGAAATATAGACACTAAAAGCGGAATTTTAAATGCTAATTGTAAAATAATTTTTTTTTTAAAAGTTATATTTGAGAGTTCCAAATTATTGTCTTATTACCAATTTCAATTTCAAAATACAGATGCAGCATTAATATATATATTTTTTTTAAATTTAAGTGTTTTAATATGATAAATGAAGTCTCTCACTTTAAATTTTAACCCCTTTTTAAGTGACACTTATATTCTTTAAAGTGACGCTCATATTGTTTATGTTAATGTCCTTAATTGAATAATTTTATTTTCATTTTTGTAAATAAAGAAAGAGTAAAGGAAAAGGGATATTTGAACAAACCAATGTTGCCAACTAAAGATAAAAATTTGTTAAAAAATTAAATAAAAAAATTGAGGTTCACAATCAAAATGTCTCTTCACCAACCCACCGTCTAAAATAAATACTACTAAATCATAGGGCTCATGAAGTGGGACCCCCACACCCACTCCAACCAATACTCCTTTCTGGCAAAACGTTGTAATCAACTTTGAACGCCCCTATGATTGAGCCCTAATTCATGGCCCAACCTAGACAGACACCATTAGACTCCAACGGGACAATTTCGTGTACCTGACAAGACCAAGAAATTCTATGCCCATATGTGGAAAATGGAAATGAATACAAATTAGAAACTGTTACTGGACGCCCTAGCTCATTCACACCACTATTTCAAGACGAGTAAGCCTTTAAATGGGAAGAAAATATCTTGGTGTGAACAGTAAATCGCGTTCCGAATATGCTTCGCAAAAATAGTTAAAATATTTGTTAAATATCACAACCCTTTCATAAAGTGCTTCCCAAAGGTTTTACTGTTCCGCTCTCATGATCTATTAAATTGGTGGAAGATCTCTTTTTGCTCTTGGTTAGAGAAATGTTAGTGGGAGATCTTATCAAAAAAATATTCCTTGATTTTCTCTTACTATTAGTAGTAGTGTCTTATGTTAAACATTATTATTCTTTTTCTTTTTCTTTTTCTTTTTCTTTTTCCAAGCTATAGGAATCAAACCATTAATCATTTCCTTATTTGAGATTCCTAATTCGGTTAGGATAACTAGTATAACTTCCCCCGCTTTCAAACTGGAATGCTCTCTGTTTGGTAGGAAGGAAGAGGAATGGAGGAAAGATAGGAGATAAGAAACAAACTTCATTCATTTGGTAGAGAGAAGAGAAAAGAGAATGGATAAGTAATTCTTTCTCCTTTACAAATTTTCATTCCTCCAAATATGGACCGAAGACATCATAGAAAAAAGACAAGGCTATTATAAAAGCTTTAAAATTACAAAATTTTCCTTATAATTTTTTTTTTTTTTTTTTTCCTTAGTTGATACTCACACACACATACCTCTACCGAGATTCGAACCTCTAATCTCCCTTTGGGAAGAAAGAGTCCGGTACCGCTAGGCTATCTGTCTTCTCTTTTATCCAACTAAACAAAAAGAGGGAATGACACAGTCTCTTCCATGTTTGATTCATATCTTCTTTTCTCCCCTCCATTTAATTTTCTTCCTTCCTATCAAAGGGAGGCTTTGAGACTTGGAATGGGCATTTATGAGTGTGCATGAGTATTTACCAAACTAGAAAAACAAAAACACAAAACAAAAAAATTGCTACTACTATATTCTTGCATAATTGCATTAAAAACACTTCAGAATAGATGCACTACTTTAAATTCAACACATCATTTTCAGAAAAGTTAAAAAGCAATTCCAACACAAAAAAGCACTTTTAGGTAGTGCATCTTCAAACACAAAATGCGTTATATTAGAAGATACAACCCCAAATAGGGACCAGGGTCCCATCACTAACAAGACTACAAGCCGCTTCTACTTCTCCACACATGGTTTTGGTTGCTTGGAAGGTAGTAGTGTGGGTTATGTAACCAACATATGACCATACAAGAAACTTATAGTTGACATGTTGAAAAGGGAGGTCATTAAACTTCTTATCACCTCATGGAATTCACTCCAAGATTGCAGGAAACACCAGCACAAGGTGAAAGTTTTGAGTACCTTGTGCAGCATCTAATTCTTGTGCAGTAAATCCAGCAGTTGGGAGTAAATGTGTTCTTTAATAGAATCCCGATTACTAGTGTTCAGTGTCAAAATCGTCGCCCCTGGATGATTCCTCAGCCTCGCAACTGCAGAATTTTACACGAGTCATGTCAACAACATCAAAGGGACTGAAAGATTGGGAGGCATTGCTACACTATTAATAAGAGGTTTGAAAATCCTCTTATCAAGATAACCAATCCAATTCTCATGACATGAATCTTGTACGGATACAAAAAGACACAATATGGAAACCAAAAAACAAACATTAATGGAAAAGTATAATGTTTTTTATTATTGAGAAACATTTTAAAACAATGCTGAATTAAGAAAGTACCAGTGAAAGTATGTACCTCCAGGTATATCTCGGCCAGATCTCGGAATTGGGATGGAAGCCAAGACTGGGACATTAGATTCCAAGATTTTTAATACTGCAGGGAAGAATGAAGAACTGAAAAGCTCCATCTTACCAACTTCATCAATGATGAAGAGCTCAGTATCTTCCTTGACCTAAAAACAGAATACACATAAACTAACCACTTCTAGAATTGCAAAGCGGACGCAAAACTTAAATGGTAACTCAAACATTGGATATAATCACTGAAAATTAACCCCAAGGGGTTGGCCTAGTTGGAAAAGACTTGGGTTCTGGTGCCTCGTGAAGAATCAGGTCTCACAATCGATTCTTGCTAGGTACAAACAATTCCTTAGAGAGGGGTGTGTAAGTACCAACTATTGAAAAAAAAAAAAAACACTGAAAATTTTGGGATAAGGCAATATGCCCAAACAAGGCAGTCCATATAGGAGGATTATTAGTATCGTGATAATTAATGTTGTACTAAGAGAAAAATAGTTAATACAACTATCACTCATACTTCCAAACTATAAATAGACGAACACATTGAGGTGTAATTATTAGAATATATAGGTTCATTGATTCAAGGAATACATGGAAGAGAGAAGATACTTATACAATTTATCAAAAAAAAAAAAAAAGAAGAAGATACTTATACAAGAAAACTTGTGTGGTCATGTAAGAAACAATCATAAAAGGTACGAGAAAAGTGTTGACAAAAAGCATAGTGGACATGGATTTTGCAACAAGAATGATGCTGGGAGGCTATATGCTTGGAGTGATATATAATCTTATGATTACAAATACATATTGAGAGAGAGAGAGATGAACTTTCAATAACATGCGGATTAAATAGAAGTAAGATTCTTCTTTTTTATCTAACAGGAAATGTAGATCGGCCAACTTGCAAAAGTTAAGTGCTTGACCTCACAACACAGGCTGCCTATTTAAATGAATATACTATATATTATTGGACAATCAGGAAAGAGAAGAAGTTATAAACTCAAAAGCTAGGAGTTAGAATTTAAAATGGGAGAAAGAAGAGCTATTAAGAACAAGATGCTAAAAAAATAAAATAAAATTTTGAGGATGAACCGATGAACCAAATGTGATGTGGAGTATGATGCCTGAACTTATTAAAAGAACATTTCTTTAAGATTGAGAGGATGGAAGATCTGGTGATGGAATGAGGACAAAGCAATAGTAAAGATAAAGAGTTACAAAATTTGAAATATACATATATAATAAAATAAAAAACTAGAAGGAAGAAAGTTTTGAAAGATATAAAGTTGCAAGAAGGAAGTCAAAAGTTAGATACAAAGCGGAGTATAAAGCATAAGACAACTTTTATTCTTATTTGGTATAAAGGACAGGCAGAAAAATTCTACAATTTTGGAGAGAGAGAAATAAAAAAGTCATCTTAGTGGCAAAAGAGAGTGAAGATATAAGGGTTTTGGCGAAAGATAATGAAAACAACCCTTAGTAAAATGGAGAAAATGATTTTGCTTATAGGACCAGAGTATCCATAAATAATTTGCCCAAAAACTACTCTCATGGAGTAGACAAAAACCTCACATCTATTATAGAAGCTTGTCAGTTAGAAATTATTATGAAAACATAAAAAATAAAAAAAGACCCACCTGCATCTCAGACAAAGCCAATGACTCAAATGATGCAACATCTACTCTGTACCTTCCCACAGTGGGCCATCTAAGAGAGTCTGGGCTGCCATGGCAAAAGATGTTTTAGACGAATGTCAATTAAGATGGTACCATTATGGGAGATGCTTGAAGTGAAAATATAAGAAAGAATATATGGCAGCTAGTGACCGGTCAAACTGAACATTCTCATAAATTTTAGATAATAAGATCAAATAACAATGTAGAAAATCTAACTAAGATAATCGGAAGTGTCCTTCATGGACATTAAGAACTATATAAATTAGCCAATTTGTTCATTAGGGCATATCAACAAAAGTGGAATACCATTTTTTTTTTTTGGCTCTCTTTTTTTCCCTAGAATTTGATGATAACTACCCCATTCATTAAAAGATTTTATTTCTCGCATAACAAGCTGTTCTAATATCACCCTGAATGTTATCCAGATTCTTTGCAAAATTTTCAACTTTGTCCAGGTTTTGGATGGCATAACATAATTAATCAATTTAAGAACGAAAAGAGAAATGTTATTATGTAATCAAAAGAAATTTTAAAAGATCGTGTGAGCATTCGGAGTATAGGAACATTCACAATCTATACTTCTTCCAAAATATATTTAATATTTTGTTCTGTCTAGTTCTAAACAAATATTCAATTTTGCCCTTCTTGCTGAAGTATGTGCTCATGTGCTCATTCCTATAAAACCACATCTGTCAATACATGATTTAGAAAACATTGTTTGCAGAATTATATTCGTAAAAGATGCAAACTACAAATTTGGAGAGAATTCATGTAAATCTAGATCCGGATCGAATCCAATGAACATGATATATATATTCACCATATAATCTACACATGATTCAAAGAGAGTGAAATGTTCCATTATGGATCTTTCAATGAACATCATATCCGACCCCCTTTTTTCAGAATTTGGATTCAAAATTAAAATCCAAACCCGTTAAAATAGACCGGATTGGATTTTGAGTCAAACTCTCTCCATTTTATGCCTCAACTCTGGTGAATGAATTAGGCGTGAATGCTTGTGTAAGGTCGCACTATACTAAATCACAAATCTTAGGATATAGGATTTAGTTGGGAATTTGTCCAAAATCTAGGTATGTGTAAATAGATACTTCAAGCATCTTCAAATGCATTATATGTTATATATAACAGTGCAATGCAGGATATTATTGTTCTTTAAGTGGGATAAGGTTAAGAAGAAAAAAAAAAAAGGATTTTCATCTATCTCGAAATCAAGATAGCTTCTCTACCATTTGACAGTTTTCACCTTCTTACATCATTTCATGTAGAGTTTACGGTATTTGTTTTGGTCCATGTATAGGACACGTATCCCATGTCCATATACATATCATGTCATATCATGGCGATACAGGTACAATTATGGTAATCGAAGAGTTCATGAAGTACAATTAAATTCTGGATCAATGGTGGCACATACCATTGAATGAAGTATTTCCAATTATTAAGTAGGAAGTAGATTCCAAAATTTTTATTGCTATCAAAATTCAAACCAAGATCAATCTATCATGTTTATATGCTTAGTAATGCCAAAATCAACATGCACTGCTGTTATATATCCGTCCAACAACCGTCCATAGAAAGCATGGACACAAAGTTACTGAAGATTCAGTTTTGGTGTTTCTATATCTACCATTGGATAACTTAGCCATCTAGCAACGAAACGCGTAGATGTATGCTTTGCAGGCCTTCCCTTCCCCTATATAGAAGCTCGAGTTTCAGGGTAAAGTCGGTAAGCTATTAACTTTAACAAATTTAAATTGGCATTCAATGTAAAAGCCCATTAAAACCATCAAAGTACAAAAACACAAAATTAATTTTAAAAAATAATAATAATACTTCAAGTCTTTAGCAAGTTTTCTGTTAACTCAGAAGTTAATGAAAGAGACATGAAATAACCCACGTATAAATGGGCAAGTCAAATCAACCTAGTTTATGCAAATAAATAGGGTGTTTCAAACTGCCAGATGAATAAGTCAAGCTGATAAGCACCATAACATGTGATACAAAAATTGGATGGGGAAATCGGATTCCAACTAAACATGCATTTAGTTGTGCTCGTTTTACCACTGAAAGCAACTTATTTTAACTCATGGCAACACCGAACGATAAACTAATAATTTCAACAGAAGATTCACGGCAGCTTGTTTTACTACATTGCGGAACAGTCTGATCACTTCATCCCGACCATATTTGAGGGGGGTAATGAGAAGATAAATTCGCACTTTTCTCAATCCACTTGTTTGTCATGCTCGTGGTTTTGTTTCCTTACTTTGACACCAGAATTATTCTTGCCCTTATAGTTGCAATCTATGCAATAACTAACCATAACAGATGTAACAATCTCTCTATATATAACAAAAGCACTATCCTCACCTATAGATGATCAAAATAAATTTTTTGGGCACAACAAGAATTTGGCCAGGAAGGTCAAAGAATAAAAACCTTTAGTTCAGCAATTCCAATAAAATGCAACCCGTAAGTCTTCTCCCATTCTTATGAGGATAAACAATTCCATAATAATTGTATAAAATCTCTGAAACTCACACACAAACACAAACACACACACACACACACACACACATATATAGAGAGAGAGAGAATTACCTTGAATTCTTTGTAGAAGCAAGAGGCCCTCTACGACCATCTATTGTAACCACTTCAAATCCAACCCTTTCACTTTCTTCCCTAATCTCACCTAATTCATCATACTATCAGATAAAAGTGCCCAAAAATAATTATACGTACACATTAACATACATATATCTATAAATTAAAAGGCCAAAAGGGAGAGGAAGCGAGAGCGCATACGAGTATAAAAACCCTGAACCTTTAAGTTAGGGTTTGAAATTCTAAGACTCTCCAATACTCTAATAATCAGAGTTGTTTTGCCCACACCCTGAGATAGATTTTATCAGAGCAAAAATAAAGTTCCATATCAAACATAAATCGACACAGTTATATACACACGTGTGTGTGTTATGTGTGTGAGATATTTGAAACTTACAGGAGATCCAGTGACAAGGAAGCATTTTCCGGAAGCTGCCATTAAAATCCAATCAAAGGTGCAAAATGTTTGCGACAGCTTACAACTTAGAATCGTCCTCGCTGAAACACTACTTCAAGGCCTTTTTTTCTTTTTTCTTTTTTTCCCAGGAAATTAACACCACTTAAATGGATTGTCATAAAAATAAAAATAAAAAAATGTACAAGGTTAGAAGGGTAATTTGCTCATCATATGGATTAATAAAAACAGTGCTTTTTTCACCTGAAAAACTTGTTTGAGCATGTATGGAACCGAAGCAATGAAAATTTTCTTGGTTTGGATAGTGTGGGGGTGTACCTCACTTGGAAAAAAGTACACCATATTAGTGGATCCTAACACTACTGTGAGTGAGGGGCGTCATGCAACCGAATCAAACAAATTTTTCTCTTTTTTCACATAGTTGGATAATTTTAAAATTGAACTTTGAGTATTCATGTGACTATAATTTCAGAATTTTTTTTCCTTTTTTAACCTCATTTGAGAATCTGAATTGTAGTTTATTCTTTCTCCTTTCTATTTATTACTGTAATTAATTAAGAGAAATTATATATTGAGAGTCAAATAAAAAGATTTACTATACTACTAAAGATTCTACTCGGGATCTATACCTAAGAATAGGGGCTCGAGTTTTTTTTTAAAGGGAAAGTCGTATCATCATCCCTTCTATTTAATTTATCCAATGTAAAATAAAAATTATAAATAAATAAAAATAATCTCTCAATTTTCTAAATCAATTTTAACTTCAAAATTTATCTATTATTTTTTCTGAAACAAAAGAACTTTTTTTTTCTTTGAATTTAGGGATGTGTATGTGCAATTGGTAGGGTGGCCCAAGTGAGGCATTTTCGGACGAGCAGATATTTGATGTGTTCGGTGCACTGTGCATTGGGAACATTATAGTCGCGTGTGCACATCGCGCACGGGCATGAACGGTTAAGAAAAAATTATAAATAAATAAAAATAATCTCTCAATTTTCTAAATCAATTTTAACTTCAAAATTTATCTATTATTTTTTCTGAAACAAAAGAACTTTTTTTTTCTTTGAATTTAGGGATGTGTATGTGCAATTGGTAGGGTGGCCCAAGTGAGGCATTTCCGGACGAGCAGATATTCGATGTATTCGGTGCACTGTGCATTGGGAACATTATAGTCGCGTGTGCACATCACGCGCGGGCATGAACGGTTACGATATGATCAATGCACGGTTTTTTGTACTAAAATTCATTAAAAAATTCAAAATGTCTCCTCCAATTTTTTCAAAACACTAATTTATTGCTCCTAAACTAGAGAGTTTAAAAATAAATTTAACTTGTGTCATTTCAAACTTCTAAAAAAGAATTTTACTTAGGACCATTTTAATCATACTCTTGAAAGCCCAAATCTTGTAAAATGATATTTCAATTCATTCTTATTGTATTCTTTACCTACAAATATATTCTAAAATACTTTTAATTGTTATTTGTTAAATGACAAATTCTATGACTGATTTTTGTATAAGTTATTCAAGTAATAATTTTGTTTTGTTGAAACTTGCGAAATTTTATTTAGTTAAAATTTTACTTAGGACCATTTCAATCATACTCTTGAAAGCCCAAATCTTGTAAAATGATATTTCAACTCATTCCTATTGTTTTCTTTACCTACAAATATATTCTAAAATACTTTTAATTGTTATTTGTTATTTGTTAAATGACAAATTCTATGACTGATTTTTGTATAAGTTATTCAAGTAATAATTTTGTCTTGTTGAAACTTGCGAATTTTTATTTAGTTAAAATTTTACTTAGGACCATTTTAATCATACTCTTGAAAGCCCAAATCTTGTAAAATGATATTTCAACTCATTCTTATTGTATTCTTTACCCACAAATATATTCTAAAATACTTTTAATTGTTATTTGTTAAATGACAAATTCTATGACTGATTTTTGTATAAGTTATTCAAGTAATAATTTTGTTTTGTTGAAACTTGCACAATTTTATTTAGTTAAAATTATTTTGTTTCTTAATCTTTCATCAAAGGTAATAATGCTATATTTCCCTACTTAAAATGTTTTTCCAATACTTAATTTTAAAAAAATTGAAACTATAAGTTGTGTGTGTGCATATCTTTTTTTTTCTTTTTCCTTTTAACGTGGCAATAAGAAACAGCCATACAGCATCTACAAAACACAACCAAAGATAACAATCATACGCAAAGGCATAGGAAAAACCCCAAACAAAACCACCATAATATGAGAAATGGGCACAAAGACCCTGCATGCATTCCATGCCCAGCCCAAACGAAGACCCATAGACAATTGGTCCTTTTTAATTGCAAGCCTCAGAAATGGGCTTAAAGTTAGACCAAAATGAACATAAGCCCTAATGAAGAAACATTACAGTGATCTAAAATTTGTGGGCCCACCGTTCTAGAAAAAATTGTCCTTGCATTTTCCCCACACAGCAACAAAGGAAAGTTTGACTCGGGAGCTAAAAGCGGAAGCCACATTTTACGACATGAGAAACGAGGGGGACCTTGGGGGTTGCACGACGACCAAACGAAGGGAATTGACCCATCGCCGGCGAACCACCATCAGTGTGAGCCTCTGCTGTAACAACAAAACACCACCAAGAATAGAAAGCAGCAGAAAACCTATGCACCGAATGATTTCCAGCCTTACAGATCTTTCCGGCATCAACCAGCCACGACTCATAATTAATGGCGGCTAGAGGAGAACGCTGATCAGAGTAAGAGAACTGAGCAACAAACCTGCTGCAAAAACACGTCCAACGCGCAACAACCCTAAACGTGAGAGAAACTTCGGCATGCAAGACCAAAAAACAACATACCACAAGAAACGAAAAATCCCTTCCCAATTAGCGTACCCGCCGACAAATAATCACTTGTAACAACCAACCCTAACCCAGAAGCCACGGCCACAGACGAAAACTCAGCGCTTACAAGCAATTGGCCAAAAAAAGTTAAAACTAAAATAGAAGTCAAGAAAACCAACCCAATATCTAAATCAAAAGGGAAAAATAGTGGAGATTGGCCAATAAACCAACCACCTTTCAATACACTCGATCCAACAACCCATAGGATCCAAATTTCCATCTGATCCGACCATCCGCAATAACTTTTTCCGAAATTGAGTAAGGAATCCATTCAATAAAAACACCAACTTGGAGAAAACTCAGACTCTGAAGAAACATAGCACCTCTACTAAGAGAGGAGACGCATAACTCCTCTCTTGGCATGAAATTTTTCCACATATGCCATGATGATTGATTGGACAAAAACAGATAGCCAATCTATCAAATGGTCTTTGTGATTGGTGTGGATAAATTTCATGTTCACTGGTATGCAAGACATCATTTTAGTGTGTACACATATATATGTATGTATTCTCTCAAAACTAGAATGGGACTGGTTGGAGATATTTTAATAAAAATCTTATTAATTGTGCATTATTATATATTTTATTACCTATTAAATGAGTGTGTTTCTTATAAATTAAATTATTACATACTTTATTAGGATGTTAATTCTTATAATTACTTGACCATTAACCTTTACAATTATATTATTATACAAATATATAGTCATCAATAATTTGTTACACGCTAAGAAGAAAAACCAATATTGAGTCTCCCCCTTCTCTCATTGTTTCTTTACATATTTCTCTAGTATCTATTTTATGTGTTTATAGGTAACAACTAACAAGACATGTATAGATTTGAACTTCGTGCTTTTTTACTCATGCACATAGAGAAGACGTCATTGTAAATTGATTGGGTTGTATTTTTTATCTGATTAGTGTTATCTGCACCTGCACGGAGGGGAGGATTACCAACTTTAGAATAATGTGTTTTACACATACCTCCCAATCAGCTAGCTCTTTCCTATTTATTTTACTATTATCATTTTTTCTTTCTCAATTTCTATTATTGAGCTAATTTACTATTATTAATATTATTTGTGTTGTTTAAGTTATATGACTCATTATTATGTCCATATAATTCACATCGTTGGATTATTCAGTTTAATGAGAATACTGTGATTATAAATTGATGTATTATTTAGTGTTATTCGTTTTATTATTGAAGATAATGAATTATTTGTTAATGTTATATTGGAAATTCATGTTACATTTTAAAACATGCTTATAGTGATGAATACAATATCTAACAAGACTCGCATTACTTGTGCAACATTAGATATTTGTTCTGCACTTTAAAAAAAAGGATAAATTGTGACACCTCCTGATGTTTTGGTCAATGTCACTTAGATGCAGACCAATAAATTTTTTTACAATGACACCCATGTAGTTTCAAATGACACATTTGCCCCTAATTATTTAATTCAATTAATTTACAAAATATCAGTCCTATTAATTGACGAAACTACCATCATCATTAAGCGTCTTTCTCTACCCTAATCTCTAACCCTTTTTTTTTTTTATTCACTTTAATACTTAGCCATCGACACTCCTTCTCTCTTCTCGATTTCTCTCATTCCCCTTTTTCTTTCTATGTTATTTTATTTTATTTTTTTGGATAAATTGCACCCCTCGTCCTTTTTCTCGCCAGTAGAAGAGCTACCGGTGTCCAATGGAGGGAAACGTAACTAACGGTGGATGAGATGGCGGTAAAGCCAAGTTAATTCACATAATTTGGGGAAAAAAATGTTATAGTGTGGTGGTTGTGGTTATATATAAATTATATCTATACGTATAGAAGAGATGAATAGGTTAGTTTGGAGAGTGTAGTGTTTTGGAGTGCACCTCCTCTTTAGTTATTGTAATTTGTAACAGGTCAAGTGCTTCATGATTCGACTTAGAGCAAGTGCCCCATATAATATTCTCCTTCACTCTAACTCGCAATGCCCTTGTTGCAATCAGGCCATCCTGCTTACCCGAACTTCTCCAAGCCAGACACTTGGCGTGACACCGGATCAAGAAATAGGTCTGGCTTTGGCTTTGGCTTTGATACCAACTATAACGGGTCGGATGTTTCGTGATCCGATCCAAAAATTTAAGCTATTAGGTGGGGCTAACATCCAACTAAAATATACTTATTCACTTCCCATTCGGATCCGATGTGAGACAAATCCCATGTAACAATTATTTTCTTTATTACTTTATT